ACCTGGGCCATGAGTAAACCAACTATGAATTCATGATTATGATTGATTGCCAGTCCTATCGTCTGCATCCAACAAAGAAATCGTAGCACAACCTCTCCAAGAGAGACGACAAATAATAGTCAGCTTGCACCACCCAATCCAAGTCGGCTCGTGTCGCACATGTAATCATTCAGGAGAATATTAAATTGAATGTGACCTATGGCTGTCATAGAAGAAGTGCGTTGAATTAACGAGCAATCATATTCTCCCAGACTCCGTACGGCGCAGCAGATAATACCAAAGATGGACATGATTCATGATCTGTCACTGTCATATGTTGATCGTGCAACACTCCAGACTTCTCCGTATGGAGTATTACTTGAGGTAGCACGAGTACGACAGCATAATAATAGTATCACACCGTAATCAAAGCAATAGCAGCGCTTACTATGCGGTATTTATTTTACATTACTATTACTCTCTGCTTATTGTTTTTACTTTTTATGCTGTATCAATAAAGTAATTCATTTCAATTTCAAATCTGACATGGCAAACATTACTGCAGCATACGAAGTAGAGGAAAGAGTACGAGTGCGGACGGATAGGGTACATCATGGTAGTAGGCGAGCTGGCTGCCTACAATAGTACTCAGTATGCGATGGATTATGTTTGCTGGGCCTAGAGCGCTAGCCAACGGTTTTATTTCCTATCCTATCCTAGTTAGTCTTAGTTCAATTATGGAGAGTGCATGAAGGTTAAGAGCAAACATATTCCTACGTACGGGATACTCCTCCATACATAAGTGTCCTCTAGACTACAGTACTAGACTCGGCTATGCACACCCGCTCGTGCGGTCGCTCCAATGTACATACAGATAGCTAAGCTAGTTGCGTAGCGTACGGAATATTCCATAGCCGGTCATTAGCTATCACCCTCTCCAAGTAGGAAACAAGTGCAGTGCCAACGGTCCATCTTCGGCAGCAACTCAAGACTCTTCCCACCTTTACTGCGGAGTGCTTGTTCTGTGGATCTCGGGTTCGGATGGTGGGGCCGGTTTAAGTTTGGGCTCAGATCACATGTTCTCCATACTGTGCTTTTACAAGTAACGAACAAGTTTGTACGGAGTACTCCGTACCCCTGGTAGAGTGCGGTGGATGGGGAATCGGAGGATTAATGCAGTTTGCCGGTGGAATATTTACCGAGTATGCACCCAGAGTACGGAGCACTTGATGCAATTTGTACAGCACTCCTTACTAGTAGCAACGTAAAGCAAACTGACAGAATGGAGCACTAGTCCTATCTCGATAGGGTTGATCCGCCCAGGGGCAGAGCATTCGGCCCCGGCTCCGAAATGCCAGTGACCCTGCATCGATCACAATACCCGGACGCTATGGTGCAAGCGGCGCAGTCTTTGCTTGTTGATTACGACGATGGACGATAGTTATCCAACGGTTTCTACAAAGTAGATATTCCGTACTTTAACAGATTATGCTGGAGGACAGTAGTCCGTGTCCCAACAGGACACAGTACTATGACACTCTACGGAAGATACCACGCAACGGAATTCTCCGGAATTTTCCAGTTTGCTTCAAAGTTTGCCTGACTTGACTGACTTATGGCTGGATAGGTATTTCTGGTCTTTATCTCCGCCCACTACACCGGCCGTGCATTGGGCACAGCAAAGTGGAGCTGAACCAACCAACGGGCGATGGTGGTGAATCAACTCACTGAAACTAGTACAGAGTGCTGCGACTCGATAGGATGGTTCTGTAGCAAACATGCTGAAAATTTGCCATTCCGGGAGCATGAAAAAGGAGGGTAACACAGCTGACACAACTTATGAAGAGGGGGGGGGTAAAATAATACTTGTCCTTGTGCAGTCAGGTAAGATTGTTCCGTATAAAATACGGATGGTATTGACACACCCGTTAGTGGTTTCAAGTTTATTTAAACGAGGAGAAAAAATCCTTCCCCGCATTGATTGGTCCAGACCATGACATGCCAATATCATTGGCTGAAACAGACTTGGCACTGGTGCAGCTGAGCCGAGCTGACCATGGCAAACATCCGAGTACTGTATGGTATTGTAATATTGCCCGGACCAAGGTTGGCAAAGGACCGCGCCGATCTCCGGATACCGCACAGGCAGTGGAGCTGTCAGAGTACATCGAAGTACTCGGAGTATGTACAGGTACGCTGGACACTATGGAACCCACTAGGCATGACAAAGTACCTGGACACACACTAGAAAAGTATGTCTCCTCTGTCAAGATATCAGCAATTCAAGTATGGTAACCAATCTTATGCATTCCTGCCCTCCGCTAAAGAGATTACAATCTTCATGGCTTCCTTCCAGTCAACCCTTGGACCAGAAGCTGTCTCTATCCTCGATGGCACCCTCTCTCTCCACCCTTCGGTTAACGGCCCGGACAGTGGGAAGTAAGTCTTGTCTTGTATATTCGACCAGTCTGATTGCCCGGTGTCGCATCTCTTCCACGCACTTGTTGTTATGCACATCATACCTGTATCTTTCCACTCCCCCCGGCTTCTCTCTTTCTGATCTTTTTAATTCAACAAAAATAAAATATTAAATAGAAAAAAAAAAAAAAAAAAAAACAATCTCCTGTCACATTTTTGCGATTATCTGCATCCATCCTGGTCGAGATTACACCACTTGCCGCTAGTTGCAAGCTCAATCTCTTTATTCTCCCTCTCCACTAACTGTTCAATTGCTATCGATTCTTTCTCTCGCCTTCTCGGTGCCTTTTCTCTTTCTTTCTCTTTCTCTCTTCTTTCCATTCTCTTTCTTCTATTCTTCTTACCCTCGTTCCATTCTCTTTCTTCTCTTTCTATTTCTCCTTTTCCAGGATCCTCCCTGGTCTCATCCTTTCCACTCGTTCACATCCCAGAATGAGTGCAGCCGATTCCTAAAGATCAAACATCCTGGACCCTCCAACAGCACTTGCAGCCGTTTTTTTTTTTTTTTCCGCGATTCCTAGTCCCTGGCGTTGGACTAAGCTTCTCTCTGAATTCTAACCATATTTAATACGCAACGGTCAGTCATGACTAGCATGGTCCACGCTGACCTCGGGCCTTCTTCCTCGGTGGTGAAATACAAGGACGACCCCATTGAAGACCCTGTAAGTCTCCTTTTGTTCTCTCTTTCATTCTTGGTCCCGTCTCAGCATCCGAGTATCCCAGCCTCGTACCCCAGTCGACGGGGATACGGACAGGGTGTTTATCATGTTACCTTTGTCTCTCTGACTCGTACTCGCTTTTTGTATGCATCAAACATGTATGGTCCCGAGACAGATTTGATATCGATTATTCCCTCGCGTAGGCGTGACTCCGCGTTTACTGTTCATGGCATCTTGCTTTCATCATTCTACCATAATGGGAAGAAGACATTAACGAATGACAGCTTCGATCCGGACATCCTCGACTCCACCATCCTCGTTCAACCCTTCTCCAGCATCAATCCCACCGTCCGAGCTCCCCTCACCAACCACCTACTACTATCCCTCCTACTACCTACGCCTCGCACTCGTTGTCCAACGGTCTTCCCCATTCGCCCTACGGACCACCTCCCCAGGAATCCTCGTACTACGCATCGCATCCCGCTTACACCGCGGCTAGCGCCTCCAGCCAGTATTCTTCTAGTGGTTAGTGGGCTATCTTTTTCTTTGTTGGTCACGGTTATTCTCCCAAGCACCTCGGTGTGATTGAGAACTCCTTTTTTGGTCAGTCGAGCTGACAAACTCAGGTCCTCCGGAGATTATGGCAGCCACCGCGCAGATGCAGAGGCCCTATCCTCCCATCTACCATACACCACAATCAAGCTCGCCGGCATCGGTAGCCTCTCAACCACACGATCAACGAACTATCTACGCCCAGTCGCCCCAGATGACTCACCAAGTATACGGATACCAGCCCTATCCGGCGTTGAGCACCGTTCAACCGTCGCCGTACACGGCGCATCCATCGCCTCAGTCCCATCCTCTCACAACCCAGCCATTGATGATGCCACCCCACCAGGCACCCTCCACGCAGATGCCTCATCAGCCATCGACGACTGCTCCCATCAGCCCGACTACGGCAGCACCGCAGCAGCAGCATACACCACCGCAGAGATCCGTCTTGAATGCTCCACATCCGGTGACTACAGCACCAACTGTTACCACCACCGTGAGTGCCCCGGCTTCAGTGTCTCATACGAGCCCTACCGTGGGGACCAGCTCTAGCGCCGCACCTGGTCCTATCCCGGCAACCACGCCGCTAGTTGTGCGGCAAGATTCCAACGGGGTGCAATGGATTGCCTTTGAATATTCTCGCGATCGCGTCAAGATGGAATACACCATCCGGTGCGATGTGGAATCTGTCAATGTGGACAGCCTCAGCGCGAGCTTTAAGTCGGAGAATTGCGTCTATCCACGGGCGTGCTGCAGCAAGGACCAATACCAGGGCAATCGGTTGGTCTACGAAACCGAGTGCAATGCTGTGGGGTGGGCTCTGGCCCAGCTCAACCCGAGCTTACGAGGCAAACGCGGCCTGATCCAACGCGCTGTCGACAGTTGGCGAAATAGCAATCAGGACCCGCGACTGCGCAGCCGGCGAGTGCGAAGGCAGGCCAAGATTACACGACGACAGACTGTTGCTCCACAAGCACCTATCCACATGGCTGCCGGAACTCCTCTCACTCCCAACTTGCCTACCGTGGGCATGTCGCCGCCTAGCGCCGCACGACCGGCGTATGGTGGTGGGTTGGCTATGGGCCCTCCACAGTTGCATCATCATCACCATGCTCGACCTGATGGTAGTCCACATGAGGAAGTCAGCGGTATGTTCCATCGCATATAACATTGCTGCCCCTCCCTTTGTACCGGGAGTGACCTTATAATTCTCCTGTAAACTTTTTTTTTTTAATGTTTTTGTATAATGCCTTGCCTTGCCCTTGCCCTGATGGGATTGTGGATTTGTCTTGTCCCTTTGCACCGTTGGAAGATGTACTTGATGTATTTTTATGCGGTTTGTGGATGGCCTTTGTTCTTTTTCTCCTTCGTTGTGTTGATATTGACTTCATACCCTTTTGTGTGTTGGGAATTCCCCATGTTTGCGATCCTTCGCTGTTGTGGCGTCGAAAGCCGTTCTTCCTCGTTGTCTTACAGCGTAGGCTAATTGTTATATACCATCCTTTCTATACATAATAGGCACCTCTGAGTTTCCGAACGCTTCTCACCGTCCATCTGTCACCGAAGGCCCCCGGCCAACTACAGCAACAACGGAACTCCGACCAGCACAGGTCTTCCACGGCTACCCAACATACCCATCACCAGCTTCCAGCGCCCGAGCAGGCCCCTCGATGCCTCCTCTCCTACGAGAAAACGGGCTCAGCGCCATGGGCCGACCCCCGACCGTCGCAACCAGCACCACCGCACCAGCAGCTCGACCGGACGCAGTCGACGAGGACGAGGAGTACCAACCAAGCAAAGATGAGCTCTTCGGGACCCAGCCCACCGGCAAACCGCGCAAGTTTATACTTGTCCCTGATCCGCATCGTGGAGAAAGTCGAGTGCGCGTTAAGGTCAACCTTGATCAGGCCAAGATGGACGAGTTGCCCGACTCGTACCGGATGACGCACTCGGTTTATCCTCGGTCATACTTTCCCGTGCATTTGAAGAACCCGCCTGGTTTGACAGTGCCCGGGAAGCGGTATTTCAGAGACGATGCGGCAGAGGCAGAGGCGGATGATGAGGCCGCGACTGTCGGACGAGTCACAGTACCTGCGCCGTCACTGGATGGAGAAAGTGATACGATCGTGCCGCGGATGTCGAAGCGACGTCACCGGAAGGATGCGATTTTGAATGATTTGGGATACCGGATGACATGGTGCCAGAGTAGGACTTTTGTGGGACGGATGGTATTTCTGCAGAAGTCATGTGTGTTCCTGCTCCCTTACGTTTTCCCCTTTGTTCCTGACAGGTGACTGACATGTGACAGTGGATATGTACCGCAACAAAACGCGAAGCGCCATGCTAGGCGCGGGCCAGGATCCGGCATCGATTCCCGAGCATCTCGAGACGCGGGCTGGTAAGCGACGTTTCCTCGAGCGAAGGAAGCGGAAGACGACTTCCGCTTCGGGAATGAATGCATCCCGACGCAGCGCGGAAGAGGTCGAGGCTTAACCTGCATTTGCATTTGCCTCTGCATTTGGAGTGATGACCTGATCTGATTGATGATATGATATGTTACGTACGCACGGCCATTTATGCTTGATGAGTGACGGATCTACAATGTCTAAAAATTGTCTTTAAAAATATGGGACGTGCGGGATTAGTATGGGAGGCGTCGTTCTTGATTTTTTTTTTTTTTTTGATTATGCTTATGTTCTTATGACTAGTATGATGATGATAATGAGCTTGATGGATAACGATAATGCCATTTTTGTTCTTTCTCTTGCATTACTACTGTTACTATGTACTTGGGCCCTATAGGGACTTGTCCAGGTGTGCAGACTAAAAATAACTGCCCCACCGATTTGCAGGGTCTGCGTAGGCTTCCCGAAAAGGAAAGACGAGGTTTTACTGTGGAGTACAACACAGTACTGCTTTGTACAGAGTATGAGAGATAGTACTCATAGCATTGGGAATCGAGATTGCCTGGTACAAGAATTAACAAATCAGACACCATCGAACTTAACTCGCAGTAATATACATACTAATAAAGTGTGTCTGAAGTAGGAACAAGATAAGCAATGATAATGTATGTACGCTGTTGTCGGGGCCACCAGCCGCCATTCCACATCGAGGCAGCCAAACACACCGACCGCATGCGGAGATCTTTTATTCTTTGGTTTTTTTGTCTTTCGCTGGTTTGATAATTTTTTTTTTCTCTCGTTTCTCTTTTCACTTTACTCTATTCTTTATCTTTCTCTGCCTTTTGATTTATTTCATTTCTTTGTTCGCGCTGCTTTTTCGCTGTTCTTTCTGTGTTAGGGTGGTCGCATACAACTACATCAGCTTCGATCTATATACTCACGGCTAGAGTATACCCTATTATCACTCTGCCGTGCTTCTATTTTTTTATTGTTCCTGAAACTGACTCGACCCTCCATCGGTTGAAAGGCTAAGCACTTGAAATATCTGTCTCTGGCACGGCTGGCACACTGGAACCGTGGTTGAGTTTCGATCCAGGGCCCATCCGGTTTCGAAAAACGTCTCAACCACCCTCTTTTTTAAACCTTTCCGCTCTCCTCTTTTCACCCACATATATACATTCCCCTTCCCCCGATTTTATATTGCCATACCGCAGCCATGCCCCGAACATTCAGCTTCAACAACGGCGACGACCGCCAAGGCCCTGGATCCCCCATTTCCCCCGTCGGAACACCACTACCAAGCTACGAAGCAGACCCACGAACGCAAAACGCAGCCGCAACGCCTGGAATGGATAACATGGGCCCGTCATCTGTGGGTGGCGGGATTGGCGGGATTGCGATTGGCGTTGCTAATGGCCACGGTCACACCAACGACCTCGACGACGGCTACGTCGGTCCCCCGGAACGAGGATACAACACACCCGGCGCTGATAACCCGTATATCCCTTCGCCGCCGTTCGCGCCATTGCCAGAGGCTGGGATGAGCTCGGATTCGCTGCGACCTAGGGATTCGTATGGCCAGACGGGACAGACAACGCCGGGGCAATCGTCATCGCAGAATTTATTATCTGCGCAGTCTATGCAGCCACAGCAGGGGGCGGCACAGTCGCAGCCGCTTTGGGGCGGGACTGCTGCTGGGGGGATCATGAGTGATGGGCCGTATCAGCGGAATTCGGCGTATAGTGGGGGTGATTATCCGTTGTTTGTGAATCCGGATGAGATCGTCGATGATGGGGATGATGGGATTTTGCCGCCGGGGGGAAATCGGGGGATAGGCGGGGGTGCGGCAGGGGGCGCGGCAGGGGGTGCGGCCGCGGGGGGGTTGTTTGGGGGGTTGTTTAAGAGTAAGAAGGCTGCTGCTGAGACTACGCAGTATGGGCCTGTTCCCGGGGCTGGAGGAGCTGGGGCTGGGGCTGGAGCTGGAGCAGCGGCCCTGGAAGCAGGGGAGCAAAAACATTGGTCGGCGGGGAGTAAGAGGAGGGGCTGGCTTGTTGGGCTGTTACTAGGATTCATCGTGGTCGGTGCGATTGTGGGTGGTGCTGTGGGAGGAATCCTGGGGCATCGGGGGAACACAACGCGAGAGAAAGGCTCGGTTCATTCGGCGCAGGACGATTCAAAACAGAACGGTGACCTCGACAAGGATTCCTCGGAGATCAAGAAGCTTATGAACAACAAGGACCTGCATAAGGTCTTTCCAGGTGTGGACTATACCCCCTGGGGAGTGCAGTATCCGTTGTGTTTGAAGTACCCGCCATCGCAAAACAATGTCACTCGCGACATGGCCGTGTTGTCGCAGCTCACAAACACTGTTCGTTTATACGGCACCGACTGCAACCAGACCGAAATGGTCCTGCATGCCATCGACCGCCTGGAGCTCAAAGACATGCGCCTCTGGTTAGGTGTCTGGATCGAATCCAACAAAACCACCACAGACCGCCAATTAAAACAACTCTACAAAATCCTTGACGATACCGAAGATACCACCATCTTCAAAGGCGCCATTGTCGGCAACGAAGCCCTCTTCCGCGCAGGATCCACGAAATCCCAAGCCCAGAAAAACTTAATTGGTTACATGAACGACGTCCGCGATGAGATTAAGAAACGTGACCTCGACCTCCCCGTCGCAACCTCTGACTTGGGTGATAACTGGAACGAGGACCTTGCCAAGGAAGCAGATTTGGTCATGTCGAATGTGCATCCTTTTTTCGCGGGCGTTACTGTCGAGGAAGCTGCGAGCTGGACGTATACTTTCTGGACGGGACATGATGCGTCCCTGACCAAGGGGACAGATAAGAAGCAGGTTATTTCAGAAGTCGGGTGGCCGAGTGGTGGAGGAAATGATTGTGGTGATGGGAATAAGTGCAAGAGTGACAGTGATGGATCGGTCGCGACTGTTGACAACATGAATAAGTTCATGGAGGACTGGGTTTGTCAGGCGCTGGAAAATGGGACAGATTATTTCTGGTATGCCACCGTTTACCCATTCCCTTTCTATCTATATCAGTATGCTAACGAGATCAGGTTCGAGGCCTTCGACGAACCATGGAAAGTCCAATTTAACACCAAAGACGAAAATTGGGAGGATAAATGGGGCTTGATGGACTCGGCGCGCAAGCTGAAACCCGGGCTCAAGATTCCGGATTGTGGAGGGAAGACGGCCTCATAAAATATAATTCCTTGCGTAACGGTATTACGATGATTGTTTATGATGTACATACGATATATACAGACCTTGCAATGCAAATATAGTATAGTATGTTGTGCTATAAGTAAACCCTCATTCCCCAGAATGCTTTTTCATCGCCTTCGAATACCGGTACTTTCTTTCCAATCTTTTCATCTAGGAATGTTTTCACGGTGTCGCTATCGCTCATATCCTCCAATGGACCACCGAACAGGGCTTTGGGTTTCTTCTCGAGAATCTCTTCGAGATGTCCTTTCTCCGCGCCGGGACAGAAAAGGAATGACCGCTCAGACACTTTTTCAAAACCAGCCGGATGGTCAAGTACTGTCAACCCCAGGGATTCGAAAAGCATCTTGTCGAGGGCGTTGAAGACGGGGTCTTGGACGTATACCTGCACATGGTCTGTATCGTAATGTCAGATGGATTTGATTGGGGTGGAAGATGTTGGGAAGACGAACGAAATAGCTTTTTAATGCTAACGAGAGCCACTAATTGAACGAGACTGACTTGTCGTCTGTCTACCCAGCCGCCGCGCAGGAAGCCGCTGGGGCTGCCGAGACCGACGCAGATTATATTGTCTATCTGCACTGTCTCTGCTCCTGCATTTGCAGAATTTACACCCGTATCTGTATCTGCAGGTGTAGGCGTCGATGTAAGAGGGAAAATAATCCCTCTCACCACCCTCCAACTCTCCGACGTCATCCAACGTTCATGATGCCGATTAAACTGTTGCTGGAGACCATCTAGAGTCAAGGTTGAAGGTGCTTCTGCGGGTTCCAATTTCTCTTTCTCTGTCTTTTCTTGGCCTGTGTTTCTGTAGGTGCGCCGCGCGCGGGTGGTGGTGGTGACGTGCGACCAGCCAGAATCGTCGGTTATAGTTGTGCGTTTGTTTTGGGAGGATTTTTGGCTTTTCTTGGGGCGGGTTGTATGGGGCATTGTACTTATTTGGTGCTTGAGATTTGGAGTTCAGTACTCTGTAGATGTGGTTAGAATGTGATGTGGTTCCTAGTTCGTTGGTGGGGATGGATTTTTCTATCAACTACGGGGTACAAATACAACTGCCCTCGACACTCGTTGCAGTAAGCTTCAACTCCGAATGGAGTACAAATTAAAATAGAATATGGAAGACAGAAAATCAGTCACTAAAAGTACCCATACCCATACAGCAATGTGCAGTGGTACAGTCCCTCTACAAAGCAAGCGCTGAACCCGGCGCTTCGACAGCAAATCACAACCGCCGAAAGTGTGACATCTCCTGCAGCACATGGACACTCTGCCCAGTGGTCGTTCACAATGATGCGCCCTCTATCACATCTCCTCACTGCAGTCCAGTTCTTTTAGACGTGCTCGGATCATTCAAAATGTCGCTCTCCCTGTGCAAGAATCGTTGTTCTTCAACGTTGATACCACCTTGAACAATCACCATGGAATTCCGGCTTGTGCTTGCCTTTGCTCTTTTCTTCTTTGGTCTTGTCGACGCGCATACTGTGATAGTTTACCCTGGTTATCGAGGGAATAACCTCTTAACCAACGGAACCATCGAGGAGGCAAATGGCCTCGGCGTCGCATCGCAGAATGACTCTCTAACCTACCCATACGGCATGCAATGGATTTATCCATGTACTTCCTACACTCACCACATATCTACATGTCTTCTTCTAACCCTTGGCAGGCGGCGGCATGCCCACTTCAACCAACCGTACAAAATGGCCCATCCGCGGCGGCGCCATCTCCCTCCAACCGGGCTGGTTTCCCGGTCATTCCTCGGGGTTCCTCTACATGAACATGGGATTCGGCACTGTCCCAGCCAACATGAGCAACGCCATGATTAAGCCGTTTGCCTTCGAAGGGCCCAGTAACCTGCCGTACCCGGGGACGATCTGTTTGCCGCAGGTGCCGTTGCCGGCAGGGCATACAGTGAAGGTTGGCGATAATGCGACGATTCAGGTGGTGTTGGCGGCGCAACATGGAGCTTCTTTGTATAATGTATGTTCCCTTTTTTGCAACTTGGTGTTGATGTATGATGGGCGCTGACGAAATAGTGTATCGATATTACATTCGCAGAGCCAGAAGACGTCGCGGAGGTGACGCGGGATAACTGCTTCAATTCGAGCGATATAACATTCCAGGATATCTATCGGACAGCGCCGTTGAATCAGTCTGGATCGGGAGCAGGGCAGGTTGTAAGAGCGCGATGGGTGGAATTGGTGCCATTGGTGGTGGCGGTGGTAGTCGGGTTGTGGTGATTTTATACCTGATTTTTTTTTATGCTTACTAGTTCATACCCCGATTGATGTTTTCTTTTTAATGAAGCCTGTTTGGCGTAATGGATAATAAATTGGTTGATGATGGTTGGTTGGATGATCTGCAGACTCATAATCTGCATACCATTTTGGGAAATATTGAAGCTATTCATACCACCGGAATTGACTTTGGAACCCTTAGCAAAGTATATGATGAAAGAGTTAGATAGTGTAGAGTACCAGAGAAACTCCAGAGTAACATAACATTAAGGATTCAACGATGATGATACCAAGACTCGAGGCAGGCCCAACGGTGTCGCTCAATGGCTAGGAAGGCTTGTTTGTATAGATTCGGGCTGAAGAGATGAACATCAGACATGCATGATGTCTTAGGTCTGCATTTCTTTCTAGCACCTGCAGTAATAGAATGCCCCTGTATAAAACCAGTATATACTAGCCGGAACCTATCTCTGTGGTCATTATATCACACTCCAGTCATGACGCAAGTTCCAACTCAAACTCTCTTTTTCCCTTTTTTCCTTCTTTTTTTCCTCATTTCTTTTCTCTCTCCTCCTTTTCCTCTTTTCTTCATCTCATCTTTTGCTTGTCTATTTTTATTTTACGTTAATAATTAATTAATTCCTCCCTCTGCTTCTCCGTTCATTTGCTTGATCTCCCTTTTTCTCTCTTGCTCTTCATTGTATCCTCCCTGGGCGACCGTCTCAGTACTCGGCGAGTCGGCGCCCACGTTCTCTCCTATTTCCTATTTTTCTTCCTTCGTTGTATAGAGTCATTATTATTATTCGTCTATTCTAATTTTAATTTTTATTCTATTTTATTCCTTTTTTCTTTCACCCACCAATTTATCGACGACGTTCAGCCGCATTCTTCTGCAGCATCCCACTTGCTCGAGGCAGCAAGTTCCGAGGCCTGACCAGCCATGTTCCGTCGCAAGAGGAGCTCTTCGCAACATCAGGTACCATCGACATCCTCTGTTTATAAATATTCTGTACTAATCCAACAGCCCCTCGCAAGTCCATCACAAACCGCTCATTCCGCCGCCTCTCATGCCTTTCTCCAATCGCAACCCTCCTCCAGTAATCTCTCGTCCGCCGCAGCCGCCGCCGCTCTACGAAGTCTCACGCCAACCCCTCAACCCGTCGAAAATGTCCAGACGAAACGCATCCAGCGCCGGGCGTCCATCACATCCCAGCCCAACCTCCGCGCCGGGCAGACGCATACCCTCCGCCGTGCCAGCAGCTCCAGTTCCATGAGCAACCGTACTTTCCGTCGCGATCAATCTCCCGGTCGTCCGTCTACCAGCCAGAGTCATTTGATAAACAGAGATGCGCCACCATTGCCGTCGCTGCCTCCGGGGTATACGTCGCCGACGCCGAAGCCGTCGCCTTCCAGCCGGCGCTCGGTCAGCGTGTCGCCAACCATGCGGACCATGTCTCCTCCGAGGCGGACGAACACCCGTGGTATGAGCGTTGGTCCGGCGGTTGCGCGAAGTCCAACGACATCGAATGGTTTGGGCACGGTCCACGAACTTGAGAGGTCCGGTAGCAGGAATTCGATCAACTTCTCTTATCCGATGGCCTCCCGTCCTATTTCGCCGTCTCCACCGCCAAGTCCACAGTGCCAGCATCCAGTGCCTACATCATTAGCGGAGCAGTTATCACCGTCGGGAGGCGCGGCTTCGAAGACGGCCAATAAACCTAGGGCGAGAGCTGCGGCAGATAAGAGACAGTCGACTGGAGCGCAACCGTCAGTCAGAACGGCGGTCGCAGCGGCGCAGGCGGCCATTGTCCCCGGTGCAACTGGCACCCGGGAGCAAGCCCCTGCTCCGTCGCGGCCCGTTATGGTCAAACGACCGTCGACTGTCCGGGAGGATCACCATGGCGAGGAACGTGCTGAGGCAGGGACAAGCAATATCGATCGTACCTCTGTTGGGGAGCAGAATCGAAGCCGAGAGCCAGTTACGCCAGAACCTCAAATAATCAAATCGCCTCCCACACCTGAACGGTTGAGCTCACCGCCGCCTTTCAACCAGATAGGATCTCCAGCGTCGAACCGTTCGGTTGAACTGGAGCGGGAGCCCGTCAAACAGTCGCGGGCACGGCAACCGAGTGCCAGCCCAGGAAGGTCGGCTCGGTTCTCTACTCAATTGTCAGTGGTTGGCACGGGCGAGTTACGCAACCCCCCTCCAAGATCTGTCTCTCCCGTCAAATCTGCCATGAAACACTCGCCACAAGGGTCTCTGTCACCGGATCGAGTTGGGACCATCTTCCGACCAGCACCTCCGCCTAGTGAATTGTCGGATGGGACATCTATAGGATCGGACGAGGGTTATCGGGTCCGACGGAAGCCGGCCAAGGTCAGTTTCGACGACGAAGCGGAAATCGTGGGTATAGCAGCGAGCCCGCCTACATCTCCCGAGGACATGTTCCCACCAGAGTCTCCGCCAGGACGATCTATATCCAAGACCACGTTTTTTGGCTTGGGCAAGAAGAAACCTACCGCGTTTAACAATGCGGTCGGTGGTGATGAGTTCGATGAAGTGTTGAAGCCTCGACCGGCACTCCCTTCGTTTGGCAGTATACGGGCCTCGAGAGATAGTGGTGAGCTTTCTCAACCAACCCGGGATGAACCCAGTGATACTGAGTCTATCGCATCGTCGAATTCTAATATGGTGGTGCCCGGCTGGTCTTTCTCGAATGATCATGCTCTCGGAGGGGTCTTGACAAATGCCCAACCGCCAGAGAATGCTATCAACCTCACCGAAAAAATCGAACACCCGCCATTGCCTGCCAAGACTTCCGAAAACGGAAATGTCGATGAGGTCAGCGAGTTTGTGCCAGAAATACGCCCTGCGTGGGTGGATGGAATGCAGGCTGCAGAATTCGTGCAAAGGCCAAAACAACAGGTTTCTGTGCCTGCCACTTCTGTCCCTACTACCGTTGCTGCTGTTAATACAAGTCTGGCTCCTGCCATCACGGTTGAGCCATCATCACCTGAGCTTGAAAAGGGACGGTCAAGTCTGGAAGGATACGATGTCCCCGGAGGGTTCCCTCGGACGTCGTTGGAGTTTATCAATCCGAAAACGGCGACAGAGGTGACGACTCCGGCAGCACCGACACCGCCGCCCGGCAAGAAGAAAGTCAAGAAAAAGTCTCACAACCGCTCAGGCTCCGAGTCATCTGTGGTCTTTGACGAGGCAGGAATACCAATTCCAAGCGGCAGGAGAACCGACGACGATTCTGACGAAAGTGTCTACAGTGATGCCGCAGAGGACATTGACGGAGACGGCTTTGGATCTATTAATGCCATAGTGGAAGGTCGTGCAGTTGAAGAAACAGAGCAGCCTATGACTGGGGTTTTGGACAAAACGAAGCCAGCAGGGGCTGAACTGCCCAGTGTGCCCGAGGAACCGCAGCAGATGATCGGTCGTGCGGTTTCTCCTCCGCATGATTCCCTTCCATGGGTTCCAGACTCCCCGGACACAGTCGACGAACCTCTCCCCTTCTCTTCACCTTACCCGCCATTTCCGATCAAGCGCAAGACTACGAGTAAACCGAGACCTGTATCGGGGGTTTTTACAAGAACAAACACTACGGCCAACAAGGGCCAGCGGCCTATGTCAGCGGTGGCTTTCGCTCCAGAGACTATTACGAACGGTGTCCCTCGACCAAGGGCTGTCCCTGAGCGGAAGAGACCGGTGTCAACGGGCCCAACCCTCACCAACGGCAAGGGCCCTGTCCGTGAGTCTAACACTCAGAGACCGATGACGGGAGCCAGCGACTCCTCCGGCGGCTTTCAGCGACCAGGGGCTGGCTCGCCTACGGGGAAGTCGCATACTATGCGACGGACATTGCGGGCTCATTCTCAAGAACCACCAAGGGTGCAGTTTTCGCCAAGTCGACAGGAATTACCTGAAGAACGCCGACCAATGTCGGCGGGGTCGATGACGAACAGGATGCCTACCACGCTACGCGGAACTGGGCCAAACAAGAGCGGAAAGACCTCGTTTTTCTCGACGGGCAAGTCGCCTAACAAGAAGAAGCTTTCGCGGGCTCCCGGGACGTTGTTCTCGTCGCCATCCCGGTTTGAGGACTCGGACGGTGATGACGATGAAGGTCCTCACAGGACCTTCCGCAGTCGGTTTGCGGATTCGAGTGATGAGGAAGATCCCGGGCAGAACACCATACGACCCGTACGAGGTATCCCTCGTCGCCATGGTATGCAAGATGGCGAGTCGACGGAACTTGAAGACAGCTCGGACGAAGAAAAACGACGTCCGGGCTCGTCTGCGACGGCGCCCGCACAGGAGACTAGTAGCCCCTGTCCAACCGACGCGACCGCCATGGCTGCAGTAGCGCGATCTCGCGGTGTGAGTCGCGATGAGCTGGAAGATTTTCTCCACCAGCCAAGTCGCAAGCCGGGGATCCTCAGTCGACTAAATCTCCGCAAAGGGCGGAACCCCGAACCCAAGCATCGCAAGATGGCCTCGGAACCAATAACTGAGAATCCAGCGGTCCAACACCAACGCGGAAGCAGCGTGACGACCACGGTAACGGCCAATAACAGCGACAGCCAGCCAACGGGCATCAGAGAACAGCAGCGGGGATCCCGTCTCTTGGACGGATGGCCGTTACGGCACGACCGGAAGGGCGTTTCCGAGGTTGACGGCGATGCCGGGGCTGATGCAATTACGACTGCTAGTGGTGCGGTGACATTACCGGAGGAACCATCCCAGGTGAATGGTAACGAGAGCGGGAACAGAGATACTCCGGAGGCTAACCCGAGTGAAAGCGCGGGACCCGGGGAGCAGGTGGCTGGCGAGGGAAGCCATTTCAAGCGCCAGAACACGCTCGCACGGGATGTGGTGATCGCAGGGTCGGGGCGTAAAAAGCGGTTCCCGAAGCTGCGTAAGGCGTTTGGATTGCGCAATTGATTGATTGTCATTCTTTGATTTTTCTTTGATTTTTCTTTGATTTTTTTGGTATATTTCTTTTCTTATACCTGATACTACGATCTTTTCTTTCCTTTTTGGGGAGAGGGGGGGGTTTTTTTTTTTTTTTTTTTTTTTTTTTTGGTATATGGTGTTTACCATTTAATTTTCTTGTTCATTTTTTACTGTTACAGTACTTCGTACTAGTACAAGCTGAAGAGGACACGAGGCGAAAAGGGTTAAGGTTCACGATACACGGGCAAAATGAGGGAAATCGGATGGGCGGGTTGTTGAGATACCAGGTTGTTTATTTTGATAATCACTCGATATTCACTAATATTCGATCAAACCCAATAATCGGGACTACTAGAGATGATAGCCTCGGTTGATATCAGCCAGCCACCGCCCCCCGTCACCGCCCAGCCACATGTTACGTACAATACAGTATTGTACTATACGATACGGTCTAGAAGTGATTAGCATGAGACATACAGCAGATTGCAGGGAGCGGTTATTGGCCGGAGCGGTGGCAAACCGGTGGCCATTTCTCTGTGCTAACAATTGAACACCTGTCCTGTGCAATTGACCTGTACACTGCAAGTATATGTAAGAATTGTACAGAGTACATGTATGAGAACGGAGTACCCCGTACATGGTACATAGTACCTGTATATCGACAATAAAGTGATCGTTCCAGCGGAAGAGTACCGGCGGGAACACCGTACAAACATCTTGGGTCGATCTGGTCCGATCCGAATGGCCCGTGGGTTGCCATGGAGATTTCCATGGACGATGCTCGGCTGTTGATCGGCGGCTGGCCAGCCATGTACTTTTACTTCCATGTGAATACTGTATTTTACTGTACTTGTACTGTATGGGTATAGTACCTGTGGAGAGCTGTGCAGCTCAGCTGTAGCTGGATGTATGGAGTAGCTGCGAGAGCTGGCTGAGCAATAATAATGGCTGATGGCCATTATACACCGTAAGTACGTACTCTTTACTCTGTACTCGGTATCATACAGAAACTGACTCAAAAGAACGAGGTTGGATTTCCTAAATTGGCAAAGTCGTAAACAAACACGTAAACACCAAACGGGTATTTCAGCAGCCTCAGTCCTCGCCTTCAATCTGTTCTTTTCCATCCTCATCTCACATTCCTCCAATCTTCCCCCAATCTCAAATCTCACATTCTTCGGATCTTTAAGATCTACTTTTTTTTTTTTTCTATCTCAAAACAGATAGTCTTTTCTCGCCTTTCGAGTTCTTACGTGCTCCGAAAGGCTTTTGAGAAAAGACGCCCCGCAAAGTCGCCAATCTGGACTTTGACGCCCGAGTTCCCATCCCCTTCAGTGTCTTCCCGTCGTCGTACCGGAGTGACGCTGCAAACCATCAACAACCTGCTCCTGCTCCTGTGAACGAGCCGGAACCTGTTGCTTATCCCGTTGAGCATCATCACCACCACCACGAGGACAACCACTCGCTCGTCGACCGGGAAGATACTCGAACGGACGCTCCTGCACTTCCAGATCCCGCTGTTTACGGCAAGGAAGAAGTTCCGCAAGAATTTGTGAATCACCAGTGAGTCTTTATTTATTTTTCCCCCACTGTATTTGTGTATTCAGCTGTATTTCTTGTTTTGTCATGTATGGCGGTGCCAGCTGAAGTGACCTGTTCGGTGAATTGGCTTGTTTTTTTACCCGTAAATCGGGCCAATTTTACGCCCGGTTACGTGTCATAAGCTCGGGCCAATCACAGTCGGTCAATGGGTTTGTTGTTTTGTTTATTTTGGGGCCCACTTTATTTATATCTCCGCGTCCCGTCTAAACATATATTAACCTCTTCCCTCCCCCAGGTACATCGAGGAACCTACTCCTTCTCATACTCCTGCTCTTATTCACGCTCCTCATCACCCTGAGCCTGAACAACCTTTTGATAACCAGCTTGACTTTGTTGAGACTGAATATCGTCGTCGGACCAGTCCTGCTGCCTCCGTCATCAGCTCCTCTTCCAACTCTTACCCTTCTCAAGAGTTGACCCCTTCCTATCCTCAACCTTTCGAGTCTCAAAGCGTCGTCTCTTCGTCGCCTTCCCGAGTCTCGTACACCCCCAGCCAATCTCCGGCTTCTTCTGCTCTTCAGGTTTACCAACCTCAAACCGCTATCCAAAACCACCCTCAGTCCAAGATGGGTTACTACGACGACGACGGTAACTACCACTCCTTCCGCCGCGGTGTCGAGCGTGCTGCCGACCGCATCATGCATCCCTTCCATCATGAGCACCATGACCATCACCACCACCACTCTCACTCTCATCCCAGCTCTCCAAGCCTAAGCCCAAGCCCCAGTCAAGAGTTGGTTGTTGCTGACAACCGTCGCCCAGCAGCCCCCGCCGCCGGTGGTGAGATCCGCGCCATTGAGCGTGGTGGCAACAAGCCCGCTGGCGAGCATGTCCCCATCCCCTGCAACTACATCCGCCTTGGCGACATCTTGATCCTGCAGGGTCGTCCTTGCCAGGTCATCCGTATCTCGGTCTCCCCCCAGACTGGCCAGCACCGCTACCTTGGTGTTGACCTCTTCACCCGCAAGCTCCAGGAGGAGTCGAGCTTCATCGACAACCCCTCGCCCTCCGTCGTTGTCCAGACCATGCTCGGCCCTGTCTACAAGACCTACCGCATTCTGGACATCTACGAGGACCAGACCATCGTCGCAATGACCGAGTCTGGTGACGTCCGCCAGGGTCTCCAGGTCGTTCCCCAGGGTGACCTCTTCAACCGTATCCGCAAGGCCTACGGTGAGGGCCGTGGCTCTGTCCGCGCTGTTGTCATCAACGACGCTGGCCGTGAGCTCGTCGTTGACTACAAGGTCATCCACGCTTCCCGTCTGTAAGCCTGTCGCACAGCTATGGGTCAGGTTAATATGATTGAGGTACGTTTTGGTTAAGCTTCCCGTCCCGAACCGTTTCACATTCCTCGGATCGTATCCCTTGCTAACCCGTTTTTGTGTTACAGCATTTTTCCTTTGTCGTTCCTTTTGTGATGGAAAATAATATTAAACCCCAGTTCACTTACCAATGACTGTTTACGATGCTTGTATTTTCGGATGGAGGATCATGCGTGATGAGATTGGCCTGTCTTCGGAGAATTGTTACGTTAATATCTCTTGTATCAAACTTGGCCATCTTTGTATCTAGCTACCTAATGATCATATTGTTTAGTCTACTAATTTTCTTGGATTTGTAATGGAGTCTCGGTGTTTAAGAGTTGTTTGTTTACTCCACGTGTTTGTAAACGTGCATGGGTGAGGACACGTACTCTTTCATGCGGACATGGTCTTTGCTGAGGGAATTAGAAACACCTCCGTCAGATCCCTGCGCGTCGCATGAACAGCTAATGATGTACACTTAAGCCAGCAAATTCATACCGATTTGATTTTCTCGATATAGCGCATCCAGCAAATAAACAAAGCATTTGATCAGTATCAGCATGAACACTATATGTAAATCCGCTTATGTATTTAGTCGTCACGTCACGACCAAATCCGACCGACTCGAATGCAGGCGGCCACGGTTTTGTGGATACTTATAACGAATTCAAGTCCTCGATCTTATTCAATCCTAGTGGGCTCAAATTCTGTTGCAAGGGAGACCATTTCCCGAAAGATAAATGGTAAAGGTGACCTGTTTGCTCTGTACACCAAATATATATGTTGCTTGCCCAACAACATCCAGCAATATATTGACAGCGAAGAAATATGCACCCTGTCATTTTGACCGCCTACATCCAAAGTTGCCAATATACGTATCCCATGTGTTTGTGCCCGCAATCCAATCTATGCCAGAGAGGACTATCGCAAAGGGTAAGGCATTACACTATGAATTGGCACGTGGTATTTTAAGCAGCGATTGAGTTATGGCTGGCATACGAGATTGTAAATCCGGCAGAATTTCGGGGCGGTGCATAATGGCAGAAACCCACCGGGTGCATACTTTGTTGCGTGAGACTGAGACGTACTGCCTTGCTTTTAGCAGGGAAAAAAAAAATATAATATAATAAAATAAATAAACTTCAATTGTTACACATAGGATATATAAATGAATAATAATCACTAAGGAGCTTGAATAGAACGACAAAAAAAAAAAAAAAAAAGAGCTCACGTTCCAAGATTTTGAGCCTCACACATCATCGGATAAAGCCTTCCCTTCCTCCACATGACTCCCAACCTCCACAATCCTCCCACCCCCAAAAACACAAATAAGATCCGCGTTCCGAACAGTCGACAACCGATGTGCAACCGCCACCGTAATCCTACCCCCCCGCGAAGCCGCCCCATCCAGGGTCTCCTGCACAATGCACTCCGACAGCGTGTCCAGTGCACTCGTCGCTTCGTCTAATAGTAGCAGGCGCGGGTCCCGTAGTAATGTTCTCGCGATCGCTATGCGCTGCCGCTGTCCACCGGAGAGCTGCGTCCCATTGTTCTCGCATGGTGTTTGGAGCCCGTCGGGTAGGGAGGAGATGAAGTCCCGTGCGTTGGCAGCGCGGCAGGCGGTTTCGATGGCGCTGTCGGGGAATGATGGTGTGTTTTCTCCAGTCCCAGTTCCGGGCAGTTGGTTGGGCAGCGGCGTCCCCATGGAGATGTTTTCACGGATGGTGCTGGGGTAGAGCGTGGGCTCTTGCTGTACGAGGGCTACTTGGTTTCGGTATAGTCGTGGGTTCATTGAGTCTAAGTTTCTGGCGCTGATCGTGAGGCGGCCGGATATGGGGTCGTAGAAACGCTCGAGAAGGCCGATCATGGTGTCCTTTCCGCAGCCGGATGCGCCGACGAAAGCTATGAATTGGCCTTTTTTGATCTACACTGGAAATCAGTTGACATGCTTTGTGACTCGATTTGAAAGGGAGAGGGGGTAAGGGCTGGCTTACATGAAGGTCAATGCCACGGAGTACGCGAGCATGGGGTCTCGTTGGGTAAGAGAAATGAATCTTTTCGAGATCGAGTGAGTCGAAGTTGTCAGGGCCAATGTCACGATTTTCTGCATTTTCGCGAATAGTGGGTTGAAGCTGCTCGAGCCAGAATATGTGGTTGGCTGCGTTTGTTGCCTGAAAGAAGCTTTTAGCATCTTGCATCCAGAGAAATTTTGGAGTATCGCCTTACTGCTTGAGAAGCCGAAAAGCACAGAAGCTTGCTAGGAAGCAATACTAAACACTGCGTGAATGCGAAAGGAAGCATAATAAGAAACAGCGGCTTCGTAGAAGCTGAAATTGCATCGTCTAGCTCTTGCGTGTATTGCCCCAAGACTGACGTTCCGATTGCCAACGAGGATACTGTTCTAATGGCATTTACTGCTTCTGAAGCAATTGACGCACTCGCAGAAAATGAAAATGTTTTCGATATTTTGTAGTCCATGGCAACTTCCATTCTGATACGAGCATAGCCGGACACCAGCATGGGCGGAAGTCCTGCTAGGATGATCACGAGGCCGAGCTTTCAAGCATGAACCAAGGCCAGTATGCAGCAAGCCACTATACCCATGGTTGCAGTCAATATCAGAGCAACATTGAAGCCCATGAGCTCAAACACAGCCTGTGGATAAGAGTCTGCTCGGCTCGTCAGGGCACCAGTGGTGTTTTCGGTACGGCCAAAAAATTCGAGGTCTTGCTTGAGCATGTCGTTGACGATTTATCTTCGGTACTTGTGATTGAGTGTTTTTGAATCAAATCAGTCAAAGCGATATTCATCCAGGAATTGCGTGCATAGTCCTACCTGTGCCACGATATTCGATGACCATCCGACAGCGAAGTAGACAATAAGGGAGCCAAGTCCTAGTACGAGAAACGTAAGGGCAAAGAAGTTTCCTTTCTGCTGCATCTTTGTTCCGGTGAGCTGAAACACGTCAATGAACCTTGACATCAAGATAGCTTGACCAGGGTATGAAGCAGCTGTGATTCTGTTCAGCCTCAGTACCCAGAAATTTTGTTTCAATGTTTATACCTGCTGCCAAACATCCCAGCACCAGGATCATATAAGTCCATTTTAACTCCGGAGAGGATTGATCCAGTCGCCAAACCGTGTGAAGGTGCCCTATTCTTTTCCAATCGTCAAAATCACACCGACTAACCTGCTTGTCCAATATCTCTTTTGTCGGCGTCGAGTACCGGGTTGATTTACTAGTAAGCTTAGGTAGATCTGCCTCGCTCGTCTCTTCCGCGCTATTTGAAATACTTTCAGAGTCTCCCGTGGCCGCGGATAGATCCTCAGCCTGCACAAGCCGCGCATATGCACCATTTGATTCCAAGAGTGACCTGTGCGTGCCTTGCTCAGAAATGCGGCCATTGTCCATGACCACAATATTGTCCGCGCCTCGTATAGTGACTAGCTTGTGTGCAATAGTGAGTTATGCGCGCCTGCGAGACATTGTCCAGAGCTCGCTGAACAACTTCCTCGGCATGGGGGTCAAGTGCGCTGGTTGCCTCGTCGAGGAGAAGGATTCGCGGCTGTGAGACAATACTTCGAGCAATTGCGACTCACTGCTTCTGTCCGCCTGACGTCGGTCATCGGCCTCTTCAATTTATCATGCTTACTTTCGTGCTCTTAGGACAATTTTGTTTACGCCTTTCATCCCATTCATTATAATATTCTGCTATGCCATCGAGGCAGGAGACAGTGAGGGCTTGCGTCGAATGCATGTCTTCGTTAAATCCATCGAATGTACCTGCCAGCACTCCAACGCCATTTCCAAACATCATCGCCTCTTCCAGGTCTTCCACGGTGTCACTGTGCGCTATAATGGATTAAAATCGTCACCATTGTTATTTCAAAGAGAGCAGGTACGGCTTCGAACTGAGATGGATGCGCATTTGAGTGCCCTTGGGTTACAGCCTCAGCCTAGTATTGGCCACCGTGGGCAAGAAACAGATCACATGGCATCTTCAATCATGCCCAGCGTAGAAATTGCTGAGAACCAGGATTCTGAAGAAAGTGACTGGGGGCAGCAGGGTCTGTGGCTGGGGAACTGGCTTTCCTTCAACCAGCAAATGATGGGTGTGTTGGACCATAATGATTTTGCCATTCTGACCGAGTTCTCGGGTTTAATAAGTATACGTACATATGTATATGCAGTCAACCGCCTGTTTACTTTTTGCGCGTAATGTATAATTTTGAACTCTCAATACCATCAAAAGACATTGCAATGTCCAATTCTCTGGCCGTCTTTCGCGGCGGCAATTATTAAGAGATGATAGTGATGAAAGTTCTCGAGCTCGACCCATTGTATCAGAAATAGCCACAGTAATATCATGATGGTTTGTACATTTGGCATCTGCCTCTACGCGTTTTCAAATAGTCCGGGAGAAGAACAACTTGAAAAGCCCGATACACCCGGCGGCTCCATTACCCCTTAATTGTTGGACCACGTACGGAACTCTTTCCCCGCGCTTGGGAAAGGCATTACGGAGCCTTCGGGACGCCAATGGCGATCTGGACGGACATTTAGGAGCGCTCACCCCCAATGCCCGAAACTCCGAAGTGAAGGAGCTCTCGGTTTGTGCTATTCTGGGCCTTGCTGACAATGGGCTGCCCTGTGAGATTAGCCATTTATATAAACAGCATTTGTCCGTTCATGGTGATTCCATCATTCGTTTATTCACTTTGTGTATGTCTGTCATTAACAACCCTATTCGAAAGTTTTAGCTACCCGCAAGCTCAGTATCTGCCAAGATGGTCCCTGAATTGGTTACCAACGTTCTGGTATCTCCTATTTTTGGGACATTTTTAAATATAATTCTCATATAGCTTCTTTATGATGCGGCCTGCGGACCACAGCTTTATCCCGATTTCGCGCAGCAGGCATCGACACAAAGGATGGCCATTCCCAGGGGCTTGCGAAGGCTCGGGAGAATTGATTCACCCATGGGAAGGAAATCCTTGATCAGGGCCTGAGACAGGCAGGTATTCGTATTCTTCGGCTGTAGAGTGGTGGATTATGCTTCAGTAGTTTGCAAGCTGCTTCCAGGTCTATACGGACATCGGGCCCAAGCTTGTCCCACCCAACAGATTCGCAGACGAGATACGCAACCACCCTGATTTGCATTTTGGTAAGGCCATTTCCAATGTATGTGGTATTGCAACCGTTTGGTCTCCAGCCTGTCTGAAAGTGTGACCAGGAATTCTCTGGGTCATACCCCGGATTCAAGCCCTTTACTTCAGACAGCTCATCTCAGGCTGTCGTCAACACTGTAAAGGAAGGCTCACGCAGTCACTCAGTTAAGTTGTCTCGGCAGCCTCCAATGTATGACTGGTACTAACAGTGTTTGTCCATCCCACAGATATTATTACCGAGGGGCTAGCAGACGAGACATCCAAGGCTATCAGTGAGCTCTTCGGTGAGCCGGAAAGTAGGTGACTTCTCAGATTCCGGGCAGAATGCTAGAACGCGACCTGCCTCGCGTAATCTCTTTCATATTCTGCAGGCTAACAAAATAAAAACTTATTACAGCTTGGACGGAAATCACATATAAACCGAAGCTTCTGCAGCTGGTTGCTCGTATTTCATCACGGGTCTTCATCGGCCCGGAGCTATGTACCAACGAGGAATGGCTCAACATCAGCCAACAATACGTCATTGAGTCGTTCATTGCTGTGCGCACCCTGTGACAATGGCATTTTTCCTTGCGTCCTATTGTCCATTGGTTTCTGCCAGAATGCCGCCAGCTCCGAGCAACTCTCGACCAGACGCGCAGAATCCTCAACGCTGTCATCGAGAAACGCCGGGAGAATAATCGCCAGACATGCGAGGCTGGACAACGTCTTTCCAAGATGGCAGACACAATCGGCTGGATGGGTGAGGCCGCCAAAGGACAGCCGTACGACGTAGCGACGGCTCAGCTTGGTCTCTCACTTGCCGCCATTCATGCCACGACCGAAATGGTGAGCGGTCTCATCGGTGATCTTTGCACCAATCCCGAATATTTGAACCTCTGCGCAATGAGATTGTCTTGGTTTTGGGTGACAAGAGCTGGTGAAAGAGGGCCCTGCATGATTTAAAACTCATGGATAGTGTAATGAAGGAGTCGCAGAGACACCACTTTGGCGATATCGGCGAGCTCCGTTCCCTGGCACGTCGAGCCTGAAAAATTGCTAACGTCATGATCTCCGCACTAAGCTGCAATGCATCGAGTCGCTGAAATGCCAATCACTCTGTCAGATGGGACACGGATCCCCAAAGGCGCTATTACTATGGTTAGCATCGACATGATGTATGATGAAGGCCTATTCCCGAGCCACATAAATACAGAGTCGGTTTGTTGAGATGCGCTAGCAACCTGGACATGAGCACCGTTGGCAATTCGTTTCGACTTCACCCGAGCATCTCGTCTTTGGTCACGGCAAGCATGCTTGCCCCGGACCATTTTTTGCCGGGAATGAGATCAAGGTCGTGCTGATCTACCTGCTGATGAAATATGATCGGAAGTTCACGGCTGAGGGTCACAAAGCAGACAAGTCCTTTGGCCAGGAGACGGATACAGATCCAACTGCGAAGGCGATGATCACAAAGAGGACACAAGACATTGTGCTTTGAGGATATACTGGACAGCAGCAAGTCTCCGTAGATACATAGTCAATTTGAGTTAATGGAGGTGGCATAAATCATAGCATGAGCGACCGAGAGAAACAAAACAATTGAGTCAGGAAACAGAATCAAATTAAATATTTCCATTAAGATGACCAAACAACCAACAAATGACCAACCGATAGACCAGGCAACAGATCAAAACTCCCCAACGCAGCCATTTTTGCAAACAAACGGAAACAAATGAGAACAATTGCATTGCGATGAACAGCGAAAGCCAAATCTCAGACGCCAGATCCAATGGTATGAATATCCCATGATGAATAGATCAAGAAAGCAAGTAAGCAAGCATGATGATGGTCGGTTCAAAAAGCGTAAGTGTGCGGACATAGTATACATATAATTTCCCCATGGCGCGTGGGACGGAGTGGTAGCAAAACAGGGTATCGTGTATCGTGTATATTCAGCAAAAAGAAAAAGAAAAGTTCCCTTCGAATGCATGATATATAGAGAAGGGGATAGAGGAGGCTTTTGGAGGCGTAAGTGTATGAGGGGCAAGTGAGGAGACAGGTAGGAAGGTGAAGGTCACCTCTCTCCAAATCTGCCATACTCCTGTTGCCATTTCATAAGATGGCGCGTGAGCACATCCATCATTTCGAGGCTGTTGAGTTCCTTGAACCCTTTCTCCTTCGAAGGTTGAGATTCGCCGTCTGTTGCTGGCCCGGATTCCCCACCCTCGCTGGCGGCGGTCGATGGTGGCATGCCGACCTCTCCTAGGTCCGCTGTACCTGCGGCACCGTTTAGCCGATCGCCGTTGCCCGCCAGACTGGAATTCTCCCCCGCAACTGCCATCTCGACCTGCATGCGGGAGATAAACTCTAAGATCCCAGCCACACGACGCTTCATCTCATTCATCGTCGTCCGTTGTGGATGCATATACCGTGGACGACTTGGTTTCCCCGACTCGCCGCCATTGACATGCGGCCGCGGCGAGTCTGCGCCGTTATCATGTGACACACCCCGCCGCGGGGAATTTGTTGAGCCAACGTCAAGCCCATTCCCGTTCATGTCCCGATCCCGTGTATATTGGTTGCGTCCAACGCGACCACCGCGACGCGCAGGTGGCCTCCCGGACTTGCGCGTGGATGGACGAGAGGGCGCTGGTTCTGGTGCTGCAGAAGGAGCTGGTGTGCCTGGACTGGGTTGCGAGGGTTCGGGCTCGTTAACCACGGGTTTCGTTGGAGAACCGACCTCATGATCTGATTCTGCGGTTTCATTGAGTTAGCCTCTCTTCTGCAATCGGATGTGTTCTTTTCGAATTGTGGAATTACAACTTACCATCGTTTCGATCTATCCGTCCTTTCCGACGGTTGGCAGTATCTGGACGTTCAGGTTCAGGCTCCTCTGGCTCTTTGGTTTCTTTATCGCGCTGGTTTCGTGATGCTGTCTTTTGTTTCTTGGCGCCATTGGTGGCAGCTTTTGCTTTCGACTCATCCTCAGATGCGGGCTGTGATATCGAATTGCTCTGTTTAGAAGTGGCGGTTGGAGACGGGGAGCTAGTACGTGGTCGTTTGGGCACTTGTTTAAAGCTGGACGTAGGAAAAAGCATGTCAGCACTTGACCACTCTAGCAAAACGTCCAGTTCATTGCACCAATTGTCAACTTACGCTTCACTATCACTTCGACTTCTCTTGCCTCTGCGGGTTGCGACCTCATCGGCCGTCGATTTATTTTCTTCCTTGCTCTCCTCGATCGCACGTCGAAGCTGTTCCTCTTCGTCGTATGCAGCATCGCGACTGTTCATCGTCGAACGGCGTTTGATGCTTGAGGATTCGTTCTGTCGAGATTTGGAGTCCTTCGACCGTCTGGAGCTATTGTCTCTGGAAGAGTCTCGAGAAGAGGCAGGCGGGGACAAGGGGGGCGCGACAGGAAGATATGAGGAGGAATGCTGTCTGCAAGACCGTAAGCGAGATGTCCGCATTGTTGCAAATGATGATGGAAGTGCTGCGTAGAGTACTACACGAAGTACCGAACAGCAACAGTTGAGCTTCATAAAGAGAACAGCAGAGGCGTCCAAGCGAGCCAATATGCAAAAGAAAGGCCACCAGCCCTTCAAGGCCAACAAAGAAACCAAAGAAATCCAAAAGAGGAAATGAAACATTGGAAGACAGATACTCACCCATTTGGTTCATTTTTTATTTGGTGGAGGTCTTTCCGACACTCTTCGCAGTAGTATTCATCAGGACTCATGGCCTCATCCATAATTCCCACACAACCGCCATGCTGCCAGACCTTGCAGGCGTCACATTGGATGAACATACTGCCAATGTCATCAGACATCAAGTCTGATCCATCATTTGGCAGATGCGAGGGTCTCTCGTCCCTACCATTGCGACCGAAGGTCTCTCGACGGGAGGGCGGCAGGCCCGGGTATTCTTGTTGTCCACAGAGACACCGAGTGACCTCTTCTTCCTCCTCTTCATCCCCTTCTTCTTCATATTCCTCACCCTCTCCAGGCCTCAGCGGGTCTTGTTCTTCATCTCCTCGGGCGCGGCGCTGCCGCGTCTGTGGGAAGTCATTTTTCGGATCGACATCGTCGGTGGACTGGGACCGCTGGGTGGAGGATCTCCGAGGAGAGGAGATTTTGTGATTCGAACGGGTGCTTCTTTCTCGAGTCATGGAGGATGAGGAGCTAGAGGAGTTGGTATGTTGGAGAACGGCTGGCGAGGGTTGGGAGGTGCGGGCTCGAGAAGAGCGACGAGGCGTCATGACGGGGAAGGAACGCAATAAGGATAGGAGAGGACTCTGCAGTCGACGAAAGTGATTAATTATAAGAACGAATAGAAACAATGAAGGAATCACGTAGACACTACTCGTGAGCAGGTTCTGTCGCACGCGGTGGAGAGACGAGCTTTTGCAGCGAGTGCAAAGAGAAAAAGCAGGCAATTGCGATAGGAGAGAACAAGCAGAGCTCAAAACAGCGAAAACAAGCTCATGACACAAAGCCGAGGACTACATAGTCTGGCAGGATAACGTATATAGGGAAGAGAGACGAAGAGCGGGGGAGCAGAGGAGAAGAGGAAGAAGAATGCGAGAGCAGTAGCAGCAGGACGAGGAACGGACTGAGAGCGAAGCGGACCGACTGGCGCGGATTTCTTGTTGCGGGTAATTCCCCAATTACCACTCGCCGCATTTAGCAGTCGCTTTGCTTCCTTTTACTGTTCACAACGCAAAGAAAATGGAAATAATCATGATTTGTACTTGAATTGAAGTAAGATTCTCTTTTGTGTTCCAGACACTGACTCTTCTGGATAGCGATAGGTATGCTCCCTGCTGTGCCGGCAAAACCCCGCTTCTTCGCGCAACCGACGCGACTGAACCTCCCTCGTTCCTTTCCCCTCTATATCGCGAATGACGAAAGTATATCCGGGCGATCGAAGCTATGCCAATCGATAGCCTACGTGACGGCCCCGAAAAGTTGCATGATGCAGAGACAGAGCAACAGTTGACGGTGTTTTGCCGTTACCCGGTCATCACGGCGTCAGACAGCTAAAACCAGCCAAAACCGTGGATGGATTCCAGACGAAAATCAGAGTCAGTTGATATGTATTTCAACGATACTTCGAGCTGTATGAGATCCGCTGTGGTGGTACAATCTGCTTCGCCTAGCTATTTCGCGTTCCTGACGGGCGTGTCGCCCGGTAGCCGTCCAGTGGTCGGGATGGATATCACTTACACAATCAGGACAAAGACACCCAGGTATCCAGGTATATGGAGGATATACGTACAGGGATATGCAGATTGACTGCCACTTGCGCATAAGAGCCCTCTCCAGATGGTCCACACAGGGCAGCTTCCCGAGGGTTACTGCAGGTACCAAAATTTTAAGTTGAGTAGTGAAGCGTAGCTACTATAAAGCATATCCTCTATTCAATAACTCTTCTATATTCCTCCCTATAATCTCGTCCGTACGGAGTAAAGAACAATCGTTGTCTCTGGTGTGTGTTGAGCAGTCATCAGAACTACCTAATCGGGACTAGTGCGGTGGCATCTTGACTTTCCACATTGGGGACTCTCGTCCCCTCCACATTCAACTCTCCAGATAATTACAAACCAACCCCCCCCCTCGCATTTGCTTCCTTTCCCCAGGCGCTACTCTTTTCTCGCCTGTTGTTGTTCCCGCAGCATTTGCATTTTTTGCATTTCTTATGCCTCGTCTCATTCTGAGATTGTAGCGTGCCTCTCCTTTTCTCGGTTCTCAGACTCTGCATGGAGACGGGCGGATTCTCGGTTCCTGTTGTGTGTAAGTCCAAATCTCTCTGGATTCGGAGTTGTGCATTAAATGTGCCTTGTTGGAAAAGAATGCCCCCCGGCTATTTTTTTTTATATTTTTCATTTGCGTCTACCCTATACTTTCGCGGGCGTTAGTTGTGGGCATGGACAACATGGCACTGACTATGTGGCTCAAGACAGTCCGGACCTAGAATTATTTCCCCGGATCCCTTCTTTCCTTTGATGCATCCATACACGTTCGCTCAACTTTGACACGTGAAAACGACTACTCAAAAGAAAAGAAGGCAAAGAAGTGAAAAAAAGTGTGTGACTCGGTGATCTCCACTAGTAGTGGACTGGCCTTCAGCTGTGATTGTGTATGGAAAGATCACAACTGGCAGCCTGCATTATGACTACAGCTACGTTGAGTATGTTGCCTTTTCATTTCCCACAGAAGGGGCAGGAAGCAAGTGCTTGCTTCTGCTCTGGTCGTGCCTCGGTTACTGATCGACATCACCCCTCTATAGATGGGGCATTCAATTCGGCCGCGGATACACCTTCACCCGTCTATCCAGACCGATTAATCCGACCTCTCCCCAGACGGACCTTGCGCTCACGTCTATCCCTCGATGCCGCCGATTCGATTCTATATCCTCCGACGCCCGCTGCAACCCAAGTCTTCCACGGCGTGCCGATAGATAGCGGGGATGTTGAGAATGACTCAAAGGTCTATGTACAGGAGTCCGTGGAGCATGAATGTCCAGACTGCAACTCGTGGCATCACTTTTATGAGGATGACGTAAGTTGTGACTGTGACAGCGCTGATGAGGATGGTCCTGTTGTGGTACGGCGGAGTGCTGGTTTCCGGGGGGCTTCTCTGTCTCCGTCGGCTTCGAGCTCTCACCTCCAGAGGATTCCGGTTAACGGAGAAGGGGCCCGTCAAATCAAGTCTGCTTCAGCAGGCCCTGATGGGTATGATGCCTTCGAGAACACCAACAACAAGAAGAAACGCAAGATCCCAACACCGGGGAACATGGGCAATAACCATTCTAGCTTGTCTCCAGAGTTTTCTGCTATGGGTCTCGCGACATCGGCACCGTCGACGCCTTCCGCAATGACAGCTGATACTTTGACTTATTATGGTGTGGGCAATCCGGCGTCTCCGGTTGGGAGCGGGGTTTCCGGTTCAGGCAGAGGCCGCCTTGGGCGCCAGGTGCCTCGCAGTGGCAGTGGAAAAATTCCATTGTCAGTCCAAACTCAAATTGGTTTTGTAAATGGTCGGTTGCCATCTCGTCAGAGCGGACTGTTGTCCTTTCAGGAACAACAGGTACTCCCGTTCTCCCCTGTTCTTTTCTTTTGGCGTGAATAGTGTGACTCACATGTTCCTCCCGTCCGCAGGTGACCCCGCCAGGAATTCAAGCCAAGGTATCATTTCGGCCGCCATCGCAAACGCTGCTGCGGTCTCCTCTCCGCCAAGGGGCCTTAGTAATGCCAGCTTGCTTGACCAGCAAAACAATGCCACGACGCCCACAAAGACCCAGTTCACCTTCACTTGTGAATCGAACTCTTCCAAAGGCATGGCAATGCAGCCACAAAGCACCTTCTCCGCACAGCTCCGCTCGCCCACCTCGCCCCTTTCCGCGATGGCACATAATCCCCGAAGCTTTTCCACGCAGGGTACACAAACAAGCCCAAGTATGACGGCACAAGCCAATCAGCAATATCAGCAATCATCGCAGGCGCAGCAACAACCTCATGAAGGGTCCGTTCCCGAACCGGCCAACGCTGGCAGGAAGAAGAAGCGGTCCCCGGGCAGTATCTATGCGTTGGCTGCACGCCAACGAAAAATCCAGCAGCAGTATGCCAATCTTCACCACCCTCCGAGCATTGAAGATCTCTGGATTTGCGAGTTTTGCGAGTATGAGAGTATCTTTGGTCGTCCACCAGAGGCTTTGATTCGGCAATATGAGATCAAGGATCGCAAGGAGCGGAAGCGATTGGCGGAGAAAAAGAGACTGCTCGAGAAGGCTAAAATGAAGGGGCGGAAGAATAAAAAAGCCACCAAAAATGCAACAAAGAATACCGCGGCTCAGCCCGGCTACGATCGTGCGTCTGTCGATCATTCGTCTGCGGGGGGGTCAGGAGGCGGCCATGAAGATGATTATAATGATTATGATGAAGAGCCGGCTCCCGTCCCGGGTCCGCCACCCGCCTCTTTCAAGCCGCCATTACCCCCAGAGCATCAACCCAGGATGCCCGCGAACTCCACAGTTCTGCCTGGTGCAATGGATTCAGAAACGAGTCGACCACCATGACAATGGCGCCAATGGCCCACAGATCGTCCGCTGCGCGTCCATTGCTCGCGCGGGCTGGACCTGGCCAATGGTGCTCGATCTGTCAATGGGGTCGAAGCTGTTTTTGCATTTGCTTTCTGCTTCTTTTATTTTCCTTTACGTTCTTTTGTTTTGTGTTATGCGTCAGTCATGTCGGATTTTATGTCCTTTAATTCAGCATGCAATTAGCCCTTTGTTTTGCTTCTCTGTTCTCTCGCACCCCTCCCCTCCCTTTTCTTATATTTTTCTTCACTTCTTGATTTCGAAGTTCATGATTCATTACATGAACAAAATTCCCACTCGTATTTCGATATTGTGATGAGTATCATGTCAGCATCAGGCATTTGAACATATCTGGGTCAAGCGCGAAGTGACTGGGTTGGTGTCAGTACTTTTGGAATGTATTTGCAGGGATATGAAACGATTGGACATTGGATGTTATTAAAAGAATAACGGAGATTCTGGCTAGGCCCAGGCCTACTTTGGCGGAAAAAAGGGCTAGCATTACTAGTGGTATACTCTGTACGTACTAGACAGAGAATTTGAAAATGTGAATGATTACCCGCTGAAATGGACATTCTGTGTAGCTAAAATTACCCTGTTCAACCATAGAATGTTTCGTAGTCTTAAAATTGATTGCTGAACTACTAAACAAGCCCGGCGCCAAATTAGCGCGCGCGAAGAACATCACCGTTTCACCTTGAGCAGATGATTATCGAACTACTGGATAGGACGACTCTTTGATTCAGAGTAAGTAGGACCAGAATTAGAAACAATGGTAGTTCTGTTCTTGGCTAGGGACATCCTTTGTGTATATATACACCCTCCAACAGACAATGAATTGAAATCAATCAACTCAGTCTTTCTTTCCCCAGAAACGCTTTTTCTGCATTCACTTCTTCCAATACATATCCTATTGTTCCATTCATTCTTTGACTATTGAGAGACGTCCATTGTGGTCGGCATTGTCGTTGTTCTATACCCATTTATCGCTTCTTCGTCCTTTCCCTCGACCACACTACTTAATAAATAGAGAAGCAGCGCTGGAGCGCTATTGTCTCATAGTCCCTTCCTTACATCTTCGCTTTTGCTTTCTGAGTCAATTCGACTGAGCCAATTCCTTCCAATCGCCATTCCTGCACTTGCATATCTACCTACCACTTCCTATACAACTACCAAACACCACCAAAGAACAATAAATGTGGTTCCTCCTCTACAAAGTATTCAAAATCGGCGTCTCCCAAGCCAAAAAGCACAAAGCCAAGAAGAACGCCGACGGAACCGTCCCCTCTACCACTGACAAAACTGGAACAACTACCGAAATGTTCTCCCTCGACAACGCCAGCGGCATCAACACCAGCACCCGCAACCCCTTCAAAACAATCCTCGACATCCTCCTCCGCCTCCTCCAGTTCGCCCTCGGCCTCGCTGTTGTCGGCCTCTACGGCCAGGATATCTCGGGTACTTCCTCGGACGAGGGAATCGACGGGCGTTGGTTGTACGCTGTTATCGTTGGTGTTTTGTCTTCGCTTTCGGCGTTGCTGTACTTGATCCATTTGGGAATTACGAAGAAGAAGAAGACGACGCCGTTTTATTGTGCTGAGACGGGAGTTGTTGGGATTTGTCTGTTTGCGTGGGAGGGGGTCGTGTGTTTATTGTGGTTGATTTGTTTTGGGATTTTTGGGAAGATGTTTTTGGCTACAGGACATCATGCTAAAGGGTATGAGGGGAAGATGTGGAGGGCTGTTTGGGTGGATCTAGTTTGTTGGGGGGTTTGGGGGGTTAGTATGGTTTGGTTTGGAGTGAGGTGGTGGAAGGCTAGGGCTGGTGGTTCCGATACAAGTGGGAATGGGGATGTTGAGAAGGGGGGTGATGAGTGATTTGCTTGTTCGGATATGTGGGGACTTCATGCATGATGATGAGATGGAATTTGGGGTTGGAAAGAGATTGGGAACGTAATGGGTCTGTATCTTATTTGATGGACACTCGGGTTGTATTTTATTTGGTGGTGTTTTCTACATGGACGAGGATGTCGGGCTGGACCCTAAGTTATCAAGACCAATGCATTCATTAATATGATCTATCCACTACTCCTGTATCCCCTCGATACCCGTACTGCTCAGCACGAAGCATAACCGTCAACTGCCCTGGAACCTGTAGTCGACATGCCGCCCGCCAGGATGAAGTATAAGACATGCCTTCGAACTTGAACGGAACAGCATCCACCTGCGTATCAGGGTAGTTATCCTGCGCATCATCAGCTGTCCACCCACCGCCATCTTCACCTGTAAATGACCATCCGTCATCATGATCGTTTGTGTCAGCTTCTGAACGTTCCTGCTGAATCGTCCCTATCGTCTCAACACTCCCCTCTCGTTTAACACCCGCATCCACACCGCCAGTAACCTCAACCCACGACGTCCTCGGAAGTCTCGGAGCCTTTGAACGCCCACTATGCCCCTCCAAAACCGCACTCCTCTCCTCCTCCGGTAATGAATTCACCGCATTCAAAAACTTTTCTTCCCGCTGAAGTTCCTCCACAAAGCGCACGCGGAAATGATCGTCGACGAGCTTTGCTGGTTGTTGGTGCTGTTGGAGCTGGAGCTGGAGCTGGTGGATGTAGGTTGTTGATTTTAGGCGGCGGAGGTGCTCGCGTTCGTGATTGTTGAGACGGTTAGTGGTGGCGTTGGTGGTGGTGCTGGGGTATGGGATTTGTTTTGGGCGTGTTTTGGGGTTGTTGGGTTTAGTGGCAGCGGCGTTGGTGGTTGGTTTTTGTTGGGTGAGGAGGAGTTTGAGGTTGGAGACAAGGTTTGGGGGGAGGTTTTTGAGGTTGGGATCTAGTGAACATTTTAGAGGATGGAAGATGAAGATCGTGGTGTAAGGGACGTACCATCTGGGCTGGCGTATTTACCGTTTGACGGTTGCGGTTCATTAGGGCTTTCTGTGCGCTCGTTTTGCTTGCTTTGCTGGTTCTTCTGGTCAGGAGGAACAGGAGATTCCGAATCCGAGGACTCTTTTTGTGTCGTCTTTTCGCAATATTTTACCTCTTCCTCACCAGCCGGGCTAGCTGGCTTCTGCTCCTTCAAGTCACTATCATCATGATCCCGACTGAAACCAACAGTCGTCCTCGTGTTCGTGTTCGTATTCGTGGTGGTGTTCATGCACGTGCTTGTATTGGTATGTGTACTTGCATTCCCCTGTGCAAAATAATCACCTTTCGCCTCATATCTCGGAACGGCAGTCTGCGAAGTCCTGCGCCGCCCAAGAACGGGTCTGCGCTTGTTTGTTTTGCTCGCGACGAAATGTGGTCTTTTCTGAGACTGGTACTGGCCTCTGGTAGTCGCGGCAGTCGTGTTGGTGGTGGTATTAGTATCAGTAGCAGTATTATTATCAGTTGTTGTGGTTGTTGCTGTAGTGCTATTTTGCCCTTCCTTCGAAACGGCAGCAAACGGCGGAGGAGAAATTGGTGTCAACGGGTTAGATGGCTTGCGGGTGACATGCTGGCCACCAATGCCGGTGAGAAGCAACCGTGCCTTTTTCTGAGGAGATCCGTTGCCGTTTAACGATTTTGGCTTTTTGAGAATAGGTGGGAGGGGATCTCGTATATTTGCATTTGCATTTGGAATTGGATCTGAGTTGGATCTTCCATTTGAATTTCTTGTTACATTGTCGGACTCATTTTCCTCTGTTGGTGGTGTTGGCGGGAGTTGGGCGCTGACATCGGAGATTGTAACTTCGCTGGACATCTAGATGTGGGGTTTCATTTCGTCAGCCAGATCTCCTGAAGAAATGAAAAGAGAGTAACAATAATACATTTCCCAACGGCTTTAACTTCACAATAGAAGAAGACGAGAATTTCCGCGCCTGGGACTCAGCAATATTGACAAACAGCGTGGCCAGCGTCTCTCCCTGCAACGAACACCGCAAACGTTCGTTGCCCCAGACTCTCCAGAAAAAGTTCTCCAGGCGGTGACCTGAGTCGTTATTGTGGACTGCGGGGTTTGTGTGATAGACTGTAGATCTTAGTATTTGGAAAAAGAAAAAAAAGGAAAAAAAGGCAAAAAAAGTCTATCGTCAATGGAGAGTGGGTGGGCTTTACCTTTCCATAACCGTGCGATATCAAGGGCGTCTATCACATTGGGATCTTCGAGGTGGGAGGGGATTCTGGGGAATGTGGTCACGAGGCCTTTTGGGAGGTCCATATTGGTGTCTACTGTGCAGAGTAGAGCAGAAGTGGACGATCAGAGAGAGGTCTATTTTCTAGGAAGATGACTCTACATAATTTCGCGGGGCTCACTCAGCTCAGCTCAGTGCCGGGTTGGGGGACGGAGAAGTGAATGCAACGTCTTTCTAGACCAGTCTATAATGGGAATACGAGGGGAAAATTTCCATTGCGGCTGGAGTGCAGTTCCAGTGCGTGAACAAAGGGACGCGTCAAACGGAGTTCCGTTGCCCGTCATGACTGGTCATCGATTGACATATTGTTGTGTTGGCGCGGAAATAATTGCCATGGATGTTACCCGCGGGTTGTTCTACGTAGAAAGTATCATTGCGGTGTACAAAGTGCACTGGGGTACGCTGTGGGTTGTACCTGGTTACCAACTACGCTGCAGAAAAGCGCTTCGGTAAACGTGGAGATCTCAAACCGGGGATCTCCGGGGTATGAAATTTAAAATGAGGCTAAAGTCCGTTCCATCGTCACATGAAGAGTCTGGACTCTCAAATAACCATGACGTCACGCATTATTACCTTTCTTTTTTGAACAACACCGAAAGACCAAATATTAAACGAAAAGCAAGCATAACACATCAACCACTCTATATCGCTTCCGTGAAACCAGCCCTATCCTCAGGGCACCAGGGGGTATTTATTGAACGCCATCGAAAGAGGAGGATAATCGACCCTTAAGTCAAGGTGTAGCCACCGTCGACGCGGATCTCAGCACCGGTCATGTACCGAGATGCGTCACTCAGGAGGAAGATAACCGCGCCCATGAGGTCTTCGGGGTCTCCCATTTTGCCGAGGGGGATGAGCGAAGTCCACTTCTCGCGGAGGTCGGGGTTCTCGTCCAGGATCTTACGAGTGCTGTTGCACGTCAGTACTCTACTCAAATAGACAACATATAGAAGGCACGGCACGCACAGAGCAGTCAGCATGTATCCAGGGCTGATGCAGTTTACTCGAATGTTGGAGCCCGCCCATTCAACACCGAAAGACGAAGCGAGATGACGAACAGCAGCCTTGGCAGCATTGTACGGAGCCTGAGGCTGAGGAATGTTAACAATGGAGCTAGACATGCTACCGATCATCACAATGCTCCCCGAAACATTACGCTCCATCAGGTGCTTAGCAACACCAGTCGAGAACAGGTAGGTACCATCCACGACAACACCCCACAGCTTCTGCATACGGTCGTAGGGGTATGAGATAGCATCGAAGTTCTCCGTGAAACCGGCGGAGGTGACTAAGCTGTCAATTCGACCGTGTTGATCGATGATCTCCTGGAGCGATGCGTTGACGGAATCCGGGTTGGCAACGTCGGAGTAATGTGCAGTGACCTTGGGCATTCTAGTAAAGATCCTGGGTCAGTTTATAAGTCCATATCAATCGGTCAAGCAGTGCGGGTTCACGTACTGCTCCAAGCCAGGGTTCTCCCTCCGGAATGTGTCCACCAATTCCTTAGCTTGGGCTTCCGCCTCCTCCTCTGCCAGGTGTTAGCATTGCCTGTCTCAAAATCGGCCATAACATACTGTTCAAATCAACAATGGCAATATCAGACCCCGAGGCAACAATAGCCTGGGCCATAACCAAGCCCAACCCACGAGCACCACCAGTAACCACAGTAACCTTGTTCTCGAGGGAGAATTGAGCCAGCGTCCGCTTGAAGTGCATTCCCCCACGACCCTGCACGATAGGCTGGGCCGGCATATGGGCATCGTCAGGATACGGGATCACGATATCCTCGTCGGTACGAGCATATTTACCCTCCTGCTCACCAGAGGCACCCTGGGGGGCTTTGGTTGTAGCGGACTCCAGGAAGCCATTCTTGGGATCCTTCTTGTTGTCTTTGGTGCGGGGGATTGAGGAAGAGAGGGGACGGACGAAGGACGAGCGGAGGGAGGAAGAGGATGCAGCGAATGCGGAAGGGCGTGTGGAGGTGTTGAGTGCCTTGAGGGCCTGACGAGCAATGGTTGGCCTGAGCATTGTGAAAATGGTTGTTAGAGGAATTGTTGCTTTGGAAGAGTACGAGGGGAAAGAAGAGTATAAGAAGGAATTTCAAACAAAGAACAAGGGGGCACTAGAATACGTAAAAATGAGAGTGTAGAGTTGGAATGAGCATGAAGAAGCAGGATGCGAATTGCATTGAAACAGTTATTTATAAGCTCTGGGCCGGTGAAAAAAATCTGATCCAGGTTAATTGACATGATTGCTTTTTGGTGATTATTCAGAAGTGCGATATATATTTGTATAGATACCCACAGTTGCGGTGAATATTGGAGAGAGCTGGTCCCTAGAAAGAGTGGGCAGCTGTCAGTCTGCCATTGGAGAGTGCAGCGGGCCCCGTGATGTCACTCGCTGGCCTGGGCCCAAGCGACCTGCAGCTAGATAGCCCATGTGACCTAATGGGATTCATTAGATAGCAATTCTTTGCCGGATGGTATCGTCTGCATTCCGAAAAAACGATATAACCAATGGCCTATCCAAAACAAGAGCCAAGGTAAGAAGAGCTATTTAAGGATATCCAGGGGTATGAGTTCAGTTCCTGGGATTGCTTTGCCACCTATCGCTGACCCCTGGTAAGCCAGACTCGTACTCTGCACGCCGCTTACTCTGGGCTTGTCCATCCCCGTATTGGAGCCACAATGATAGGATGTGGTGTGTGGGGCAGATCCAGCTGTACCAATTTCACCTGCGGACAAGATCCAGACATGATGTAGTGAGAATCCCCGGGTAGTACGGAGTACTTGTGCAACACGATTATATTATCGAACTTCATTGAAGCAAGTGCCTACTGAGAAAATCATGTAAAGCATTTGTATGCGACACTCTGTAGAGCACGGGCACCGAGGTTACATGCACTGGCTGCTTCAAACTTAGGTTTTAGACCGGTTCTCCAGCAAGTGACGACAATCGGCCAATGAGACCATTCAATTGACTCATCACTTCTGCACTGATACAGGGTGCTCCACTAAAACGCTTCACTTTCCTCCTCCCGTAAGTCGCAGCTCTCCTCCGGCTTTCCTTATTCCAGAAACACACAACATTGCCCGCTCTTTTCTAGTCACCGCCTTCACCCGCAAATTCGACGAGGGGAGTTCCGCTCTTGCATTGGTCCTGCAAGGCATGTGTTAGCTCGAAAGACTTTTTTTTTGTTGTGTAGGGGGTGGAAGAGTGGTGAATCCGAAATGGCAGAAGGCGGAGATGGCCGAATTCGGCCTGGAAAGTCAGAAGAACATCCATGGAAGCTTAATCGGACCGGGTCCGTGCCTTTTCCCCACACCCCGCAAAAGGTGAAGGTTACCCGACTCGGACCACAAAAAATTCTCATCCCCGATTTCGGCTGACAGCGACCGGCTCAGCCAACACAGCCCAGAACAGACTAATGCCTCGCGTCTTCAATGAATCCAACCTTACGAAAACCATTTCAAATAATTCGCGCAGGAAGCGGGAAAGGTAGTGGTCCAACTGGGGTAAAGGAAAATGATTTCATCTTGACTTACTCCTTTTTGATGCACCACCCGTGAAATTGTCCCCCGCTGTGGGCTACGGATGACCGTCTCCATCTTCATGCTCTCAATAACCACCAACGGTTGGTCTTTCTCTACCGCGTCACCCGCCTGTACCTCCACACGCAGAATTTTGCACGGCATTGGTGCCAACACACTGTTGGACACATCCTTCATTCCCAATGCCTTATCCATCCATTTCGCCCGTGGTAGCGTCAATCGATACTGGGTACCCTGTTGGAATGCGATAATAGAGTCTTCGTCCCGGATCACCGTGGTGTCTAGACGTGTGTGGGGAAAGAATGAGGTGATCACTGGCGAGTCGGGGTTGCGATGGCTGAACACTGGCCCGAACACTTGGTCTCCAACCTTCACACTGAATTGGTTATCGCTTATCTGTTGAATTCGCACGTCGAATGTTGTGCCATCCTTGGACCCGGAATGTGTGTCTTCGAAGGTGAACTGCCGTTGCTGGTAACTTGGACTGAATCCCACCGCAGACCCTTCAAAATTAGCTAGCTTACGCGAGCTGTCAGTGGTGTCGTGGTGTAAACAGGCCAATGCGACCTGTGCGAGCACCTCGCCTCCAATAGTATCCTTGGCGAACAATCCCTTCCGGTGTTTCTCGATGAAACCCGTTTCAACCTGACCTGCAATGAAATCGTCGCTTTTGCAGACAGCCTTCAAAAACTCGATGTTGGTAATAGGACCGGCAATTTCGTACTCCTCTAGTGCAGCCAAGAGTTTGCGGATTGCCTCTTCTCGTGTTGCACCCCGCACAATCAGCTTTGCGATCATAGGATCATAGTGTGCAGACACCTCATCCCCGGCGATGAAGCCTGCGTCGATTCGAGTATCCTCTGTGATTGCTGGTGTGCGAACGTGGACCAGACGTCCCGAATCAGGAATAAACCCCTGGTCAGGATTCTCTGCATAAATTCTAGCTTCAATGGCATGTCCGCGACTGGCCATTTGGACTTCTACCTCGTCTTGGGTTAACGGGAGCTTTGCACCCTCGGCCACTTTGAGTTGCCAGTAAACCAGATCCTGGCCAGTAACCATCTCAGTAACGGGGTGCTCGACCTGAAGTCGGGTGTTCATTTCCATAAAAAAGAACTCCCCGGTATCATTGTCGAAGATAAACTCAACCGTGCCAGCACCTTCATAGCCAACGGCCAAAGCAGCAGATCTTGCTTTAGCCCAGATATCTTTTCTTGTCGCATCAGGAAGGTCAGGAGCAGGGGACTCTTCGAGGATCTTCTGGTGCCTACGCTGGATACTGCAATCTCTTTCTCCGAGGGCGACGCAGTTACCATGCTTGTCTGCGAAGACTTGGACTTCAATGTGTCGCGGTGTGGTGATATACTTCTCCACCAAAACGTGGTCATCGCCGAACGAGTTCTTGGCCTCGGATTTTGCTGATTGTAGCTGAGCCTGGAATTCTGACTTTGATGAGGCGATGCGCATGCCTTTGCCACCGCCTCCCTTGATGGCCTTTATGAGCACAGGGTATTTGATCTTGTCCGCTTCGGCTTCGAGAAAGTTGGGGTCTTGATTTTGGCCATGGTAGCCAGGTACACAGGGTACATTGGCAGCTGTCATGATCTCCTTAGAACGACTGTCCCTTATTAGTACATGCTGCTCGAAGAATATCGTAATAGCATGGTACAGCTTACCTCTTGTCTCCCATGTCCTCGATAGCTTTCCACGGAGGGCCAATGAATACCAGCCCAGCTTCCGTGCATTTTCGTGCAAACGCAGAGTTCTCACTGAGCTACATCACCGTTGCTTTATAAGCCTCATAAAAACATTTCCTCGTTTTAATTCGTACTCACGAAGCCGTAACCAGGATGTATCCCTTGACAACCCTCTCTCTTTGCAATCTCTATAATCCGATCTCCATCGAGGTAGGCCGAAACGGATCCCAAGTTGAACGCAAAAGGGGAACTCAACGCATGCTGGGATCGACTATCTGGGTCTGTGTATAGCGTAGTGACTCGAATGCCATGCTGTGAAGCGGTTTGTCCGACTCGTCTAGCACCAGGTTAATTAGCAATGGTCAATTGATTGGTGATACCTATCTACATGCAAACATACAAAGCTATTTCACCTCTATTTGCGATGAGAATTGAATTGAGGGAGCATCGTGACTCTGCTGCTCTCGACGAAAACGTAGAAGCAGCTCTCTTTGACCTCCGAGCTACAGTCAGGCCCAGGCGAGGAGAAATGCGGAGAAACGGTGAAAGTGGCATTGTATATAATGCTAGATAGAAGTCATGAACAAGGCTCGATTATGGGTATATCAGCAAAGAAGCATGTCACACAAATCGGTAACTGTGATGAAATCTCAAGAAGCGACCCCAGGGAGGTTTAAAGAACATTCTGAACCAACCCTGGCAGTAGCTATTCAATGCTCTTTAGCCGACGGAAAGCGAAACTGCGGGGAAATACACGTGACATGAGATCGACCGAAACTTTCGGCCCCGTTTTTTCGCATCTTTCTTCCCTCTACACAGCACCACAGCAGTCAACACGGATCATGCTAGCCTCAGGTTGATACGTTCACTCTACGTCGAGATTAGCTTATATTAGCTTCCCCTTTTTAACCCATTCATTGACTTCCCGGGTCTCTCTGTCTGGGCGTGTGAGCACGATCCTTTTTCGACGGACGATCCTTAAGCTGCGCGCTTTATTGAATAGCGATATATTGATCTCCTTTTGAAAAGGTGATCAATTCTTTGCGTTTAATATCTCGCGATATTGAAACGGGCTCTTGAGTTGTCGATATACTACTATAAAGAGCGATCATAATGTCTGATGACGAATACTACGACGAGTTTGACGACATCTTCTGGATCGAAGAGCCTGAACCTGATGCAGCCGTTAGTTCTTCCATGCCTTTCCCTTATATCCAAGAATTGCGATTTTCACCAAGAGTTAATGTACTGACCACCAATGATACAGGACGACCTGGCCGCGACAGCAACGTACGATGCCGTTTTCTTTGAAGACCCGACGTTCGATGTAGACGAGTACTACAGTGATTGGGACGAGCTCTCCGACGATTACTACGATGAGGATCCGACGGTTAAGCGAAAACAACGTACAGCGGAACTGGCCAGCCGAAAACCAGCCGGCCAAGGTCTCCAGACGATATGGAGACGAAAGCAAAGCAATGGTATACAAACTGGAGGGGGTACTACTCGAGTCGTTCCATCCCAGGCGCCAGACCCGACGTCTTTCCAGAGCGTCGTCTGGAAACGACCAGAGCACGACAAGAACCCGGTTCAGGTCATGGCACCGGGCGAAGGGGAGAAGGTCGCTTTACTCAAAAACTGGCGAGAAGTTTTCAAGAACTCCCATCCCTCGTTCGGCCGTTCCAGGGCATGGAGACAACACAAAGTACTTGATTATCTTGATAATTCTGTTCCGGAACTTGCGCCGTCTGGTCCAGTTAAAGATCTCATGGTGGAAGATGAGACGTCAAGGGATGTCAGCACTGAGCGGACTCCGGGGGACAGTGGGTCTGTGGGTTATGCCTCGAACACGACTCTGGAGAAATCCGTCTCTCCGCCCTCTGTGCAAGTTGACAAGGCTATGAATCCGGCCTCGGTAAACGACTTACCAGCAAACAATTATCATTCGCAACCGTTCGCCTCATCTAATAAAGAAAATAACAATAATGATCCGACAGGACCCTCGCCCCCCGCTTTGTCCCCTGCGAAGGGTAAAAAACGCAAGGCGTCTATCTCCATTGATGAGGACCAGTCCGCTCAGGGTACTAAAGGACGCAAGTCGAAGCGCGTGGCGGCTGGCCAAGAAACACAGTCAGCGTTAGCATCTGGGCCTGTACGGAGGTCGGCTAGGCAAACGAGAAGTCAGAAATAGGGATCTAACATGGAATCATTTTGAGAGGGCTTTGTTAAAGGGAAAGGATAGAACACATCTAATGATCAAAATTGTAATATAGACGAAATTTACTAGGCATGATTCAATATTATCTATCCGTCATATACTTTCGTCTTTTCAAATTTACAACGGAACAAAACGACTAGGAGTATTCTCTATGGAATGCACGCCCAATAACCATACGCCTAATCTCACTTGTCCCAGCACCGATTTCGTATAACTTCGCATCCCGAAGCAATCTTCCAGCAGGAACTTCATTGATATAACCAGTGCCACCCATGAGCTGGATAGCATCCAGGGCACATTCGGTAGCTCTCTCTGCAGCATACAGAATAGCACCTGCGCAGTCCTGAGTTCGAATTTTAAATTCCGGAGATGAAGCACTGTTATCGATCTGTCGTGCTGTGTTGTATGTGTATGCATGCGATGCAGAGAGCTTGGTGTACATGTCTGCCAATTTACCCTGGATAAGTTGATTATGTGCAATGGGGGTCCCGAATTGCTTGCGTTGATGGGTGTAGGGGAGGACGAGATCAAGGGATGCTTGCATGATACTGGATAATATGTCAGCATCTGTTTCGACAAAGGGGTGAACGTGTTTGGCTCTACTCACCCCAAAGGCCCGGCGCTCAAAACGAGACGCTCAAGATCAAGACCCTCCATCAGCACCTTGACGCCTCGGTTGATCTCACCCAAGATGTTCTCTTTCGGCACGAAGACGTTGTCGAAGATGAGCTCCCCTGTGTTTGATCCACGCATACCCAGCTTATCAAGCTTTTGCGCGCATGAGAATCCCTCGAAAGTCGTTTCCACCACGAACGCGGTAATGCCTTTCGATCCTTTTTCCGGCTCTGTCTTAGCGTACACGACTACGTAGTCCGCATCAGGACCCTAGAGACCGCAAAGACACATTAGCATACAGTAAAGCTAGAGTTCAATCGGAACTCACATTGGTAATCCACATCTTGGTGCCATTCAACACCCAACCACCATCAACTTCTTTCGCAGACGTTTTCATACTGACTACATCGGAACCAGCTGAGTGCTCAGACATGGCAAGCGCACCGACTTTCTCGCCTGAGAGGAGACCAGGTAGATATCGTTCTTTCTGTTCGGTAGTTCCGTTCAAAGATAGTTGGTTCACGCAGAGTTGGGAGTGGGCGGCGTAAGATAGGGCAATGCTTCCTGGATATCATTAGAAACAAATATCTTGGAGCTGACCACGGGAAGCAAGTACCTGATGCTCTGCTAATTTCTTCCATCACAACGCAGTGAGCCTGGTAGCCCATTCCGAGTCCGCCATATTCTTCGTTTGCGGTTACTCCTAGGAAACTGATGATCCAGTCAGCATCACATTGCCCATTAAATCTTTGGAATACATACCCAGCATTGCCCAATTTCTTCCACATCTCTGCCGGGAATTCATTCTCTGCGTCTGTCCGAGTCGCAACATCTTCGGGAATCTCACGCCCTGGATTGTGCCATTGTCAGCAGTAGATACCAAACCATAGCTTTTCAGCACTGTGAGCACCCACTGGTAAACTCTTGAACCCGCTCCCGGAGCTCTTGTAGCTCATCCTCCGTCGGTGCAACGAAGCCTTTCGGGTGTTTGGTTGACAGCGGCCGAATTGCGGGGATGCGGTGGAGGAGCGGCTTCCGCGATCTAGATAGGACTCTGGAGGAGCCCCGGAGAGCAAAAGGGAGAGTTGATACCGCGGTCATAATTAAAAACAGGGATAGAGTAGATGCTGAATATTAGGCGGGAAAGCATGAAAGGAAGAGAGCATTTATGGCGTCTATGCAGGATGTTGCGGCTAAACGCGGTAATCATCGCCTTCCCCGCAATCCGGGGATGAGCTCCTACAGTAATCTGGTCCTTCACTTCCGCTTCATATCCGCTTCTGTGTCCTAACTGTCTTCATCTAGCTTTGAGTAGCAAGAAGGGGCATTTTTCAGCTGGCTCTGGATGTGTCTTAATTGACAAAACACCTCATTCCTATCTCCGCAATGCGTGCTCCCTCTCCGCTTCTTCGGAGCTTTAGCTCCAGAGCAACAGTGCTTCTCCCTCATTCACAACGGCTACTCCTATCTCGAGCTCCAAGAGCAACAACTATTCAACGAACTGCTAGAAGAACAATTGCCAGTTACACACATCCACACCATGCCTCTGCAATCTCCGTCCTGCCTACGGCCGTGGACACCTCGTCGTCCGACTTTCGTGAAAACGAGCAACAGATGAAAGAGCTAGTTGGTAGGATGTCCAGTCTACACAGTACAATTGCACAAGGAGGACCGCAGAAAGCAAAGGATAAACACATTTCCCGTGGGAAAATGCTGCCACGAGATCGGGTTACCTCTTTGATTGACCCTGGCACGTCGTTTTTGGAACTATCTCCCCTGGCAGGCAACGGGATGTATGGAGAAGATGTTCCCGCAGGAGGGATAATTACGGGAATTGGGACTGTGGAGGGTGTCACTTGCATGATTGTGGCAAACGACAGCACCGTCAAGGGAGGGACATACTACCCCATAACGGTGAAGAAGCACCTACGCGCGCAAGCTATTGCCCAAGAGAATAAACTTCCATGTCTCTATCTCGTTGATTCCGGAGGTGCCAACCTACCCCACCAGGCGGACGTGTTCCCGGACAAAGAGCACTTTGGACGTATTTTCTTCAACCAGGCGAGAATGAGCTCGTTGGGTATCCCCCAAATATCTGTTGTCATGGGTCCATGTACGGCAGGAGGCGCCTATGTTCCAGCTATGAGCGATGAGACGATCATCGTTGAAAACCAAGGGACTATCTTCCTAGCTGGACCTCCTCTGGTCAAAGCCGCGACAGGCGAAGAGGTCTCCGCAGAGGATCTAGGAGGTGGCCAGCTTCACAGTTCGGTCTCGGGAGTGACGGATTACTTGGCTGTCGACGACGCGCATGCCCTTGTATTGGCTCGGAGATCGGTAGCGAACCTCAACTACCCGCAGACCAGCATCCCGTCAGAGCTATTCAAGGGCGCGGTAATCAATGAGCCACTTTACGACCCTAACGAGCTCAATGGTATCGTCGGAACAAACCTGCGTCGACAGATTCCTGTTCACGAAGTTATTGCTCGCATTGTCGACGGAAGTGAATTCGCCGAATTCAAGCGCGACTATGGTAGCACGCTCATTACTGGATTTGCCCGAATCTATGGACACCAGGTTGGCATCGTCGCTAACAACGGTATTCTATTCTCCGAATCGTCGCTGAAGGGGGCCCATTTCATTGAACTCTGCACTCAACGAAACATCCCCCTACTTTTCCTCCAGAATATCTCTGGTTTCATGGTTGGTGCCGATGCGGAGAAGGGCGGTATCGCAAAGAACGGCGCCAAATTGGTGACTGCGGTTGCTTGTGCCGATGTTCCCAAGTTCACTGTTGTCTTTGGTTCGAGTGCGGGTGCTGGAAACTATGGAATGTGGTAAGTGTAATCAACCCCAGCCTAAGCCCCTTTATACATATATTTATTAACTTGACTCAGTGGTCGCGCCTACTCACCACGTCTTCTCTTCATGTGGCCCAACGCCAAAATCGGCGTCATGGGTTCCGAGCAATTATCCGCCGTGATGGAAGCCGTCGGACGCACCGCAGACCCCGAACTGAAGGCGCGTATTGACCGTGAATCGGAAGCGATCTTCTCTTCTGCAAGGCTCTGGGACGACGGTGTCATTCCCCCGGCGCAAACAAGACGTGTGTTGGGATTGAGTCTGGCGGCTGCGTTGGGTGGTAGAGTTGAGAATGTGCAGACGCGTTTTGGGGTCTTCCGGATGTGATGGTTCATATAGTATTCTGTACAGGTAGACGTGGTATAGATGTTACCAATTCAACTTACATTGATTGATACAACCGTTTTTTCTAGATTTACATCACAGATAGTAGAACGAAACGAGAACAAGAACAAGAACTTTTCCCATTCCATAGACATAAATAAGCAGGACAGATAAGGTTCGGGCGTGCAGTAAATAAAAACATATATTCTTCAAAAACAGCAACGGAATAAAGGAACGTCAGAATCAAAATGAACATAAATCTATCATATTGAGGTAAATTGGTAGGTAGACGGTAAATGGTAAAACGTAGACGGCGTATGATACGATTGTATGAGGGTGATGCGTATGATATAAGCGAGTTTGGACAAGGTTCAATCGATGGATATTAGTGAAGTGGGCGTAACGATTAGGGGGTTGGTTTGTAGATGTATGGGTGTATGGTTGTATGCCGGTGATGATATGTGCCAACATGGCAAATCCGGTTGAAATGAGGTTTCAAGATATGGGGTTTAAACGGATGAACGATGGTGGAGGATGTGGTTGTATAGGTGTTGATATGGTGGTAGTCGCTTCGAGCAACCTCTATAGGATCACACAAGGTGACCTGCGTCCCGTTTGACGCTTCTTATCGCGCTTTCGGTCATGGCGATTCGGGCCATCTCGTGTTCTTAATGCATCAGAAGACTTTCCGTTCCCTTCTGTGTCTTTTCTGATGATTTGCCGGCAGAGATCAACAAAGACTTCATTGACATTGGCTCGTCTACGAGCCGAAGTCTCATAGTAAGGGGCGTTCCCCCAGGTCTGAGAAAGTGCAAATGCGCGAGCACGAGGAACTGCACGATCTTCCTCAAGATCGGATTTATTCCCCACGATGACGATGGGGACGTTTTCGTCGTCTTTAATGCGGGTGATTTGCTCCCGCAGTTCTGAGAGCTCGTGTAAGGATGACATGCTGGTGATTGAGAATACGAGCAAAAAGCCTTGCCCTTGCTTCATGTATAACTCTCTGTGCAATGTCAGTATTGATGTCACGTTACCACAAGTCGACGCAAGAGTGAATGAAAAAAGATTTTTACCTCATAGCAGCTGTAAAGCGTGTTAGTGGACATTATAATCAGACCAACACGAGTGAAAAACTTACTGAATTGTTCTGTCCCTGCAGTGTCAAGGCTGTGGGGAGAAGATATCAGTTAGTGATATGTACACAGGTGGATAACGACTGTCATTTCCACGGGAAGTGGGTCACGGTGCATACATCTCTAGTATACATTGTCGTCCCTGTCGTATGAAGTTAGCAACGCAGAACGGAAAGGATCGATAGTCAATACTTACATCTACTTCCATCTGTTTACGATAGGAATCCTCAATCGTGGGATCATAACTTTCAATCCAGACATTTTGGACGAATTGAGCTGCAAGAATCAGCATGCCAAAAAAAAAAAAAAAAAAAAGGCATAATGAGAACGGGCCACTTCATAACAGCAAAGACAAAGGAAGAAGATGTAAATGAGGGCTACAAAGGACAAGGATGTACGAACCAGTGAGACAACTTTTCCCAACACCACCTAGAGCGCAGAAATAGACATTAGCAGGGCGTCGCTTTTCTTTTCCTGGGTCGAGCCAGTCAATGCCTACCAGCACCTAGTACAACAATATGATATTCCCGTCTGGTATAAATCCAATGATTAGTCTATCATGTAACAAGTATGCGACCATTGAAGGCCCTCGGAGTTCATCGACTTACTGCGGCCTCATTGAGAATAGCAGCGGTGATTTTTCGACTCAAAAAGGAGAACCTAGAAGCCCAGGGAAGGAAACAAAAACGTCGGGGTGTAGTGAACAGTATGGATGTATTATTCCGAGGAAGTATACCGAGGTACGACTTGCGAATTGACCAGTGACCGTAATGAAATTGACGTCTCTCGAGAAAATGTATAATTCGGCCGGAACCGCGCGCCAATCCGATTATATATCGCCTGTTCCGATATGCAATGTCGCGATCTATGAAGGATCGATTATGTATGTATCTCGATATCCCGGAGGAGGAGGAATGCCGCCGGTAAAGCAAGGGCAACGACACGCGATCGTTACATCGGTCTTCAGGGCTGACGATCCCCTCGGAGGAATTTGAGTCGACGGAGGCCGCGAACAACGCCTTTATCGGTCAAGGAAAGGGTTCAATTGGTTCAGGACAGCGGCGAAAGGGCAGAATGGTGGTAGTGGTGGTGGTGGTTGGTTGTTTCGACGGGGAGGAGCAATTGCTCTCGACAGATTGATGTCAACAGATCGGGCCAAGTTCCGCGGAGGCTAAAACTGAACCAGGTTTTGGGGGTCGGTCTGCAGGAGAAGGCCACCACAACACACTCACGAAAAAGAGCAGTCCAATTCAGGGACTGCAACAACAATAAGCAAAATAAAAAGAAAGAAAAGACGACAATAGTACCCCCTCGTGATGGTGAGGACGAGGGAAATTGGGATAGGACTGGGCACGACGGTCGTTGGGCGGCGGTGAGAAGCGTCGAATTTTGTGCGGACAGACGGGCGATCCAATATCCGCGAACAAACCTTAACGGCCAGCAAAAACGCGCGAAGAGCCACGGAGTTTTCCAATCAGAGAAAGAATGGTGTCGGTCCTGCTGGTGCTTGGAGATCGCTCGGGTTAGTCCGCTTTGCGTGCTGCAGCAGGAAGTGTGACCAGTTGGCAATATGCCCGTCGGGGGCTCAGGGGAATGCTTTTCTTCTCCATGATTATGATGTGACTATGGTGATCGAATGGATATCGCTCTTGGCTTTTATCCGGGAGTATCCCAGCTCCTATCTCGTTGGAGGGAGCCCTCCGGGGAAAGACCGACATTTTGCCCATACGCTAGCTTGAGCGGGAGGATTGACCACTCACTTCAAAATGAAAACAAGAAAGTACAATGGGAATACGATGGGAATATAAAAAGAACGGAGCAGAGAAGGAAATAAAGCGTCACTTACCGCAACAGTTCCTTTTCTCCAGGTAAGTAGACTAAATCACGATGAACAGAGAATCCTTCTTTATCTCCGTCACTCGATACGAGCTATTCGCATTTAAGAGAATCGAGAGTCAGTCTAAAGGAAAGAGTCAGGACAGATGTGAAGTACTCTGTCCTCCCGGATCGAGACATCATCTGCAGCACCATTTTTTGGTGCAATACCACCTACATAACCATCGCTTAGTGGTTGTACAGCCTAGATCCATATGCTCTATTCTCTCTCTTTTGCTTTTTCTTCCTCTTTTCCACACACGCCTGATTCAGACCTTTAATCAGGCCTTGAAACACGTCCAGGTCATTGACCATTAGATACCGTTTATACGTCACCGGGGCCCTGTTACCTATCAACTCTGCCATCCATCTTGTAAGCCCATCGGTACATTTACCCGGTCCAGTCGAAATTCATCCTGGTCAAGCACGGATGCACCTGGAACTTCTGGGCCGTCCTTTCTTATTATTTGACTTTTCATTTATTTCATTTGTTTATTTCTTCGGGGAAGCGGTAGCCCATCGACAAATTGCATGTGCATCCCTAGGTTGGACGAGGATGGAACCCTTAGTACAGGTACGGACACGAGTGAAAATCCATGCCCCATGCTATCTACCAAACATCCCTACCCTGCGACCACATGCCAACCGGTGGTTGTGGTTGTGGTTGTGGTTAGTGTATCACAACCCCAATGAGATACATACCCCAGCATTCCACTGAATCCCAGACTCAATCGACATCCCAATTCGTAATCCTGCAGATTGGGTAACTGAAAGATAAATACAAACATCAAAGTCAAGCGCTCCCACAGCCAATACACTATCGAAATTCGTGTTCCGTACAACAACAGCAAGGGAGGGGGGACGGGCCGGTTGCGCACTGTGCATCGTCCACGGCTATGGTTGATGCTTGATGCCCAATGTATCCGAGCTCCTACGGGATATGTCGACTTAGGTTGGCGCTGGGGTGTTAGTTGGGCTCGGTTAAAAAAAAAGTCAGAAGTCAGAGTCACATGGGTACAGCTATTACATTCTGGCCCTGAGGTCCTTGTTGGGTAGCTGTCGCTAAGCGAAATGTGGCCTTAGACATCTATATATAGCCTACGGATAGGAGGCAAGCTATACCCGAGTACCACGACATGTTCTGATATGCTTTATGCGGCATGGCTTGTGTACCATGCGAGTAAGTACTAGGTACACCGTAGATCTATTCAATAACCACAAGAACAAAAAGCATCATGCAGTATCTAACATCGGGTCCCGACGTATGTACATACCTAGGGAATCCCAAGCAAAATTCCAATAAACCCCGGAAGCCGGAAAAAGCAAGAAATATCAGTAAATTTATGGGCAAAATGCATAGGAGCGGATAGGAGCATAGATCAGTGGGTGGCCTTAGCACCCTTGTCAGAATGACCATTGATATCAGGATTAGCATGACTACGGGCCTTTACTTCAATAGGTCCATTAGATGATACACCACTGCGGACACTGTGCCGCTCGAGCGCCTCAAAGACGTCGCCGAAAACTTGCTTGTCAACATCATTGGCCCACAAAAAGTCGAGATGTTCGTATGTGGGAATCGGTTTCGCAATAGTTCCCCGCGGCAGTCCTTGAAGCATCGAATCGATATCAACAAGACTATCGCTATCTCCGTAGAGCAAAACGATCGGAGTCTTGATATTCTTGATGGGGTATTTAACGGGCTTGTAGAACCGCGCTGTGGCCACAAGACTCAACGGAGACTGAAGTTCGTCGTCGTAGAATTGGAAGCTGCGGTTCCGAATAATTTGAAACCAGTGAACCACTGATTTCGTGCTGGTGAAGGAGAAGAGGTGAAAGTATGCGGCTAGTTTCTGATATAGGTGAATGTTCTTGCATTTCCAGTTGAAGAGCACTGATAGCGAAGAATCCATGATCCAGACGAAGAGCGGCGGGTAGAGAATACTTTGCCACATTGTCGTAGAGCTAAGGACGCTGCGTCGACCGAAGAGAAGGAACAGGAAGATGGGAGAGGCTTTCATCAAAGAGTCCACGATGCGGTTCGACAGTCCTGAGGGCGCCATTGCGGGCGCCAGCGCCACGAAAACATCACATTTCTGGTTCAGCGTCGGGTGGATAGAAAGAGCAGCAAATGCCTGTGCGGTTCCTTGTGAAAACCCAATATACGACAGTGAAGGCTGTTCTGTCACCTTAAGAACATACTCGATACTGTCGGGGACATCGTAAAAGGCGAACTGATCGATCGAGAAGTCCCAGAACTCATTTGCTAACGGCGAGTGCTTGACCGACTTTTTCGAATACTTGTTCCCCCGGTTATTTCCCAGCCATACATCATATCCTCTTTCCACCAGTTGAAAGGGTAGACATCGTTGCTCGTCCGTCAGGCAGACCCAAACCTCGCTGCACATGAGGAGTCCATGATGCAGATAAGCGACCTTCTTGCGGGTACTCCCTTCACCCTGATTTACTCTGGTTCCTTCTTCTCCTCTCCGATACGCTAAACGATGGAGACCCAGTAGATACCCATCATTGGTCTGGACGATGTGTTCCTCGGCTTCGTAACCGAACAGTGCGCAGATATCTGCAAAGTCCGAGGCCTGCGCAATTGAAGTGGCAAAGTTGTTCTTCTTGTCGCGTGTGTCTTTCTCAGGAGCAACGAGGGCCGTGAAAATTCGTTTCGATCGGTTGTAGAAGAAGCGAATGACCGGATCAGCTGTAGTCTTTTGATCAGCCCCTTTTCTCAATGCTCCGGAAAAAATACCCCCAAAGATACAATTCAAGCGCAAAACTCGACACGGCCTACTCACGAAGACAGAATGTAATAAGATGAATAACCCATCCGGAAAACATCAAAATAAAAGACCCAATGAGAGCAAGATATTCAGACCAATACAGTCTACCAATCACTGGTACTCGCGCCATGGCGAGAGTATGGAGAAGCAGGCGTCGCGCACTTTTTTGCCAAACTAGAGGAGATCCGCAGAAGAATCAATATAGTCAATCAACATAATACGATCAAATGAAACAAGGGCAGCAAAGTTGAAGCTTGACCGCAGGCATCTTCCATGATGTAACTGGGTGACAGTAACTAATGTCTTTGTCCCATGTGATTGATGCTTATATAATCCGGGGAAAGGCACATTTTGCCGCAGAACCAATGATTATGTTTCCGTTTGGGAGAATCACCGTTGTCCAAGAACAAGTCAGCATTATATCAACACAATGCCGAGTTCCTGCAGAGATATCAGTACGTCGTTTTGCCCCTCCCTGGAAAGCAGTGTCTGAAAGGGAGACCTGCCTACTTAACCATCGCCGAACGACCGCAAACATAACCCGATCAGCACTCTAACATGTCCTCGTGATTGATTGACAGGAGACGCCCTGGCGCAATGTCTCCAAGAATCCGATTGCATCATGGTTCAGCGCCATAGTCCGAGAGAATGTTTGAGTTCGCCATTGGCCGAAGAATTACCCACGAAATGTCAACAGCTGCGGAAAGGTTTCAGCGAGTGCAAGTACGTCAGAGACATCCGATCAGGAGTCGAACGATAATACAAAGAAACCGGATCTCTAACCCACTGCTATTGCCATAGACGCGGGATGATCGATATGCGCAAACGATTCCGTGGAAATCAACCAATCGCGCTGTCCAAAGAAATCGAAGGCGGGAAATCCAACAAGCCCCAGCAGATGTACGCTGGTAGGCCGGCGTTCGAGACGGTCAAAGAAATCAGCGGGGATGAAGTTCAGATGGACCCGGAGAAGACGAGGGGCTTATAAGTGAGGGGATTCGATTCTGGTAGTGGTCTTGTTCTTGCACTTGATATATCTTGTGTTTTCTGGCATGGGTTGGAGTTTTCACTGGAATGGTTGACGACATCATAGAAATGCGTGTACGATAACAGGGTTCCATTACGCAGGGATTGTACATAAGGAATATATTCCCCTCGGATGCTCTACGTTACATACGGTTTCCTCGAAAAAGACCGGAGACTTGATATATGATACCAGCTCGTGCGTTTTGGCACAAGATTTTCATTTAAAGCATGTACGTTATACTAGATGTTACATCGCTTACTGCGTCTTCTTGTTGGACGCAGCAGGAGATGGCTCGGAGTAGAGCCATACAACAACAAAGAGAAGGAATCCGCCGATCACAGACCAGAGACCTCCGATCCAGACCCATCCGCCGCTAATTCTCCAGCTGCGGGGGTACTCGTCGTGCGCGTAATGGCGAACGGTAACTTCGTGCTTCTCCTCGATGTTGGTGAAGAAGGGACGCTTGTAGTTGACACGGAAGGAAAAGATTCCATGCTGGTCGGGGATGGTGAAGCGTGTGCTGTACACAGTGCTGGTTTCCGTTCGGAGAGATGGTTGGAGAGTGAGGCGGTGGAAGGGCGAGAGCATGGTGAATTCGAGCTGCAGAGCATCCTCACCGGGGACCTCGAAGGGAACGTATCTGTCGTTAACGTACTCGGAGACCTCGATGCTAAATACCTGCGAAAGATTCACTATCAGTATTGCCAATTGCATGGATAACGAGCGCAACTTACTGTCTCGTTCTTGATACGGTAGAGAGAGGGGTTCAATTGCTCGGAAGTGATCTCTCCTTCCTCAGCAAGGTGGTGCTCAATCTTTCCAACCTTCAGCACACCGGTCTCCTTGAAGGTCCACGAAGTCAATTGCTTCGCGAATTCCTGGTTAGCCGTCTTGGCTTCCTTCTTGTCCTTAGGCGCCTTGACACTAGCTGAGAACCACTTATCCTCTAAGCTTTCCACAGATCCCAGAACAGCAAATCGAGCCGAGTTTCTGGCTTGCATGGCCGAAACGAGAGCTAGCTGGGAGCCAGTTGCCGAGACATCTTCCGGAGTGAACGATTTCTCCTTGGGGTTATAGCTGTACGAGGTAACTGGAGCCCGTAAGATAGGAGTGACGATGTTGCTGGAATCTCCGAGAGTCTGGGGAATAGCCCTAGGGAAAGCCAGAACACCGTCACCGTCAAAGAAGGCCTTGGTGTCAGGTCTCAATTGGCCCGGTCTTTGGAGAAGCAAAACGTCGTGCTTTTCCGATGCGGAAATAGTGTCGTAGTTGAAGTGGTCGAGAACGATGGACGAACGGTCGTTAGATAGGTGCAGGTCGAATTCCAGCAATAGCGAGCTGATAGCGCTTGGTGTTGTAGTCTTGCCGGAGAGGGCGAGAAGGACGTTGCCGTCTTTGTTCATGAAATCGATGATATTCTTGGCGCTCAAGGAAGGTCCAAAGCCTGCGGCCATGATTTATTAGATACGAGTTATCTTCAATGTCATGATTCGGTAAAGTCGTCCAACCTTTCGATTTGGGAGGGAGGATAAGTAGGTGGTCGTAAGCCTTCTCGCCATGTTGGAACAGAGAGAATTTGCTATTCTTGGGCGATTCGAACGAGATTGTGTATCCACGAGCTATCACAGATATGTCAGCTTCAATTACATTCCAGTAATTCACAGAACTCACCTTGCAGGTCGCTCCAGAAGCTAGAATAGAGCTCCTTCTCGGCCGCTTCCTCAAGAATCACCACTAAACGATTGCCCGAGCTACTCAAGGCGTGGACAACCGCCAAAAAGCAGAACAGGAGAAAAGAAAGATACCACCGCATCTTGCAATAACTTGCGCAGCGAAGGGTGGGTATAAAACAGAAAACGAATTTCAAGAAAAAGAGAGAGTAGTTGTCGACGACAGCTGTATCGATACTAGAACGGGCGACGTGTTGCGAGACGGAGCGCCAAGACCGCCTGCGCCTGTCGTCACTTTCCATTTCCACCTCCAAACCTCCGTTCCCAATTCTTCCCCTCTCAGTCGCAAACCTCGCCCTGCTGCTGTCCCCCTCAACAACCCTCGCTCCGGTGGGATAATTTATCGCGTGTGATTCACTTCGACTCAATTGATCACACATACCCTCCGTTTCCTCGAACCCCCGCGAAAGAAGCCAGGAAAAAAGAACCTTTGAATTCAGAAATCTCCCCATACAACCGGTCACAATGTCAAACCCTCAATTCTGGTCGAGTCCTCTCCGCTACCTCCGCTGGGCCTCGCACGAGAAGCCCGCTATCTTCTACGCCATGGTCCTTGGTTGTTCCGGCCCGATTTCACTGGTCGCCCTCCCTCCGATCCGTCGGTTCTTCGGTGATGTTGACCCGCAGCCTATTCCTCTAACATATCCCAGTAAGGATGAACTTTCTTCTCCTCTTGATACCTGTGTCCGGAGCTTCCTTCATTTGAGCTGTGCATGGTCATGGTTCTGCGTTTCCGAATAGTTGCTAACATATTCCGTTTCTGCGAATTCTAGTCCCGCAAGGACCCCGATCGATCCCGCAAGGCTACGATGACCAGTAAAGACAGAAAAATAAATCAAAAGGGAATGAGGGAGATGTGTGCATTGTCGTGTGAAGTTATATCCGGATTTGCTTTTACTGTGTATTTAACTCGGAGTCTTTGAGAGACCAAACCCTGGGAATCGAGCATTGTCGTCACTTACGATACCAGATCCTTCTTTCTTTCGTGTTCTCGACTATATTCTTTTATTAGGGTATGTCTATCATGTCCCTATGGTGCTACTTGTGAGGGTACAATTTGCAGTCTCCGCGGGGACGGTAGGCAAGCTGTGTGTGCTGCGATGTATTTCTACATGGGAATCAATGGGGATTCATCATAAACCAGACGAATCATATCCGATTAAAAACAATTCTACTCCCAAATCGTATATCCGATTGCAAAAAGACATACAAAACCGATGTATATAGCCATCCATAAATACAGATCTTCAACTGCCCAATGGTACCATCGACGAAATAAACCGAAACCGAATACGAAAAACATAAACCCTCCCAAATAAGTACTGGATGTTTTTTTGACTGTACACTAAACCTGTTATGCCCAGTCAGTTCCAATGATTAGACATTGAGCATCGTGGAGTGCCTCGGATACGCCGTACCAACCATGTTTCGGCAAATGTCAGCCATCTGAATTGGTTGGAAGGACATCGAGCTTCATCTATCCATCACATATTTAACAAAAATACAAAAATGCATGTCTCATAAACAAACAAAAACATACAAAAACATATGACTATGTCTTAAAGCCTCGCCCTTTTTTTTTTTTTTAAACAATTGAAAGGGTATAGAACCCAAAGTGCCCTTCCGGGGCTCAGCGGATTACGGATTCATCAACCAGCCAAATTGGGAATCCATAAATGACGGATTCATTTGGCTTGTCAAGAAACTCTCGGTATTGCCATAATTGACATTGAGCATCAAAGGGAGGTGTCCGAGTTCATGGAGATCGTCGGATGGAGTCGGGTACCCAGAACACCTGGATATATATCCATATTGTTGAAATCCGAAATGTGACTAAAAGCACATTGCGTAGTGTTGCATTACTATATTTGACAACTTCCTGCGTCTAAAAACACACCTTGCTCTCGTTGATTTTTACAGAAGCTTCGCTTTGTCCATCGCCCTCGCTTGCAATGCCATCTTTTTCTTCCTCGTTATTCCAAGGCCGATCCTCATCAACGCGACAGCAGGTCAGATGAGGAAGCTATCAGAGGTATATCTACTATTGTTGACAAGGAGATAATCGACAAAAGACCTTATGTCTTCCTTCAACTCCCGCACACCCGCCTCGAACACATTACGCCCCTTGGTACTTATCGGGAATTTAAGGTTGAAATAATTCATTCCTTGGGACATGAGGTTAACACTTGCAGCCTTAATTATGCGATAGAAAGCTGCACCTCCATCGTCAGCGACATAGTTATGGCGCTGCACGACCGAGTTGCTGAACTACTGGCGGAAGAAACAGATGTTCATCCACATGAAGATGTCGTTTGCGTAGAACGCGCAGCTTAGGTTACTGTTTGTCCCACGGTGCATATTTCTAGGGTAGTGACTGAAGATGCGGCACTCGACAGTCTTCTTTCTCAGGACGAGCTCTTGATACCTCTTCAGACAGAGGTAATGAGTGTAAGGATCGAGGAGACTGATAGTCGTCGTGTTCAAGGCTTTCCATATACCCACGAGATAAATCACAGCTTCTTGGTAGATCACGGTGGAGCGCATCCGTATTCCCAAGTTAACCCATATGGTCGAGCGCCAGACAATGGAATGAAAGATCAACCGATTGACACGCAAGAGCGCAGTCTCTTGGGCTTTCATGATCTCCCAGCTAGCTCGTATGTCTTCCGCAGTTTGCGGAGGGGTTTGGACCAAACGATACCGGTAGGTGACAGCGCTTTTTTCAAGTTGCCGGTTATAGCTCTCGAACGCCTGTAATTATTGTATCGCTATCAGTATTATTTAAAAAGCCTCTGAAGGTTGAATACGGAGACTCACTTCGAATTGGAGGACGCCCTTGGCCTGCACAGCCGACGGGACAAGTACCAACCGGGTTGCGCCTAATTGTCCAGGCTCATTGATCCTGGTACAAGAAGCGCAATTCCCCCCCCCCAGAGCCGACGCATGTAGAATGTACATATCGGGGTTTATAAGGACGTTGAAATTCCCGTCGTCAAACAGGGGAAAACCTGCTATTCTGGCCATTTTGACTCTGAGGCAGTACTTCGAGTCGTATGTCATGGTTTTGAAATGGATGGCAAGAAAGAAGTCCTTTGTAAAATCTAGATAGATGAGATGGCGAAAGAAGAGGGCCACATAATGAATATGTTCATGTCCATCGTCGAAGAAGTTGTGAATGTTTCAAAATGGCAACTGAGGCAATTGATGCAAAATCTATTAGGCTGGGCGCTGGCATTATATTTGGATTGAACTACTAAACAGTGGCAAAGTCTAGAGAAATATAGTGCTTCTATCTTACCCATTTTGAATACAGCCTATGGGGAAGAAAATTTAAAGCAAAGGCGCCAAGGTCAATGACTAGAAATCAATGCTTCTGAACAATAAATAATTGAGCCGCTATAAAGACCACCACGATAATTAGTTCTTGTATTATGAATGGTCTAGGAAGATCCTTTGACTCACTGTTGAATCGTCTCCACGATGCCGCAAAACATCATGTTATACCCAACAAGGCAAGCCAAGGTCTGAGCTATCTGATGACTCTACATCAATGGCTCATGTTGTGAACCAAGGACATGAAGGTACGTCTTCAGATGAGTGGACAAGATACCGATTAAGCCAACTTAGATAAATCTATAACCTGCCTCCCAGGAAAACGATAACGCCAGATATGCTTATCTACATGGAATTTGTAGGTAGGACGATTGTATTATCGGAGTCCTGGCTGATGCAGATTAAATCAGCGGGATGCCTCCGAGCAATTTCAGAATTGTAGTGAAATATCCAGAATAACTCCTCTTCACCCAGAGCAAAATAAGACAGGAAGGAGATGCGCAGCATAAGGAAACAAGCCAGTACACCGTAGAAACAGACGGAAGAGAATATAATCGAACTATCCAGAGATGGCAGAAAGGTTTGAAGAGAAAGACCACAAATTCATAATCCATCACACAAAATAACCTTTGAGGACAACCGTAATTATAGGAATGGGGACCATAAAATCAGGGCAAATAGGCGCAGTATCCATTGGTAGTGGCCAAGAACACGGATTGACAACAACAGTAGATTAAAAACAGATTCAAGGACATCCGCATCCAAAGTGGCACATTGCGATTTATTGGTTCCCCAGGCGCACACGGAGTCCCAACGGAGCCTCTTCTCACGGTCCGGCCATGGTACTCCTGGGCAACGGGGTATAAAAGAATTGCTCTTTTGACATTTTTTGTTCAGACGAAGAATTATAAAAAAAAAAAAAAAAAGGAATAAAAAAAAGAATCAACTTCCTTTCCTGGAACGTCAAACTATGAAGTCCATGGAAGTAAGAATCCTTTACCGGGCACGGTTATCTCTTGCTGGCTGTGGCCTATTGCGGTCCGAATATGTCGACTCCGGAGTGTATCTTAATCCCATTCCAGGCATGCGAGGGTCAGCAGCTGTGGTAGCCGGGTAATTCACTCCAGTGGTAACAGGGGAATACTCTGTCTCGGTCTCATAGCCAGGCCCGGGATATGTTCTGGGAGCATTGTTCCATCCACCGTCATAGCCGTAACCGGAGCTCGTATACTTGTATGACGGGTGGATCTCAGCAGAAACTGCAGGCTGAGCCGACGTAGTGAAGGGAGGAATTTGCTGCTGTGAAGGGAACTGATTCTGACCAGGCGTGAAAGGCGAATGCGAGTGGGCGGTGGAGTGGTTGGAGTGGTTGGAGTGGGTAGCAGGATACGACGTCGGAGTAGAATGTGTGGAATAAGGAGGACTCTGCGTTTGTCCGTATGGGTTTGTAGCATACGATTCCATGTATTGTTGGGGTGGAGGAGCACTGTAGGTGGGCGGTGGAGATGGACCAGTTGATGAGCGCGCCTCGTGGATTGGCGCAGATGTACCATAACTTGCTGGAGGAAGAGAAGTGCCATAACTTGGCGCCGGAGGGACAGAAGTACCATAACTAGTTGGAGGAACAGATGCACCATGCCCATAAGTTGGCGGAAGCACATTAGGACCTTGGTGAGGCAGAGAGTATTCTTGCTGCATATGATAATCGTTATGGTAGTAGTGGCCCCGTGGGTGGCCTTGATCTTTCCGGCGCATTACATCTGCCTCCCAGCGAGAAGAGTCCGCTTTGAGGTCAGTAATCATTTCCTACATGAGAGCATGCGTTAGTATTCAATTCTTAATATAAAAGAAAAGGAAGCATGCGGGTTCCTGCGAGTAACTTACAGATGTGAGATTCCGATAAGCCCGGATGAAGTAGCCTTGACAGCCCTATTCAATCAAGTCAGTATACCATCCTGGGTCTAGCTGTCTCTTATGAAATAAGGATATGGAAGACGGACATTGTGATTTCCAGGTCTTACGAGCGCATCGTTTCCAAGGTAGCGACAAATGTCCGCTTGAATGACTTCCCGGCTGATACCATCCCCAGGGATGAAATATTCATTTTGACGTCCAGACATTTTGATAATCCAGAAGGGCAAGTCTCCGGTAGTAAGGTATTAAGGCACAACGGATCCAAGTGGCAACAATGAAATCCGGAACAGGAGGTCCACAACCAAGGTTCCAAAGTATGGAGAAATGACGACCGGTTTGTTTTGAAGAAGCAAGAACAGAATAATAGATCTATTGACTGCGTCCAGGGAACACCAAGGCTGATATGAAGGCTAATCCGAGATTTGTTCTCCTTTTTTGGTCCTCGAAACAAGCACAAAATGCAGAAAACGAAGACAGGCGAAAGAAAAACAAAGTATCCGGATCCAAAAGACGGGCTAATCTGATCTTATCTCCGACCAGCAATAGAAGTCCTCGGGAGTGTTGTCCACGGTGGTATAGCAGGGGTCCAGAGCAAATATCCTCTTCCGGATGGTATCTCCTAGCAACAGAAAAATCTGCCAGTATGGGCCGCACAGACGGTGAACAGCGGATTGTTCAAGGAATCAATCAATTGAAATCACGACCGATAGCTCAGGGCGAGCAAAAAGAAACGATGAAGGATCTTAGGAGCGAGAGAACGAGGGAAAGATCCTAGATGGTATGGGTAGAACTGGTCCTATTTTCGGATGGAAACTGTTCTTATTCTCCAGCACTTTCACTCGTACACGCGGATAATACTCTTCTGCGAATAGAACTTAAATGGGGAAACAAATAGGGGATACTTGAAGAGGACGAAAAGATGTGGGAGAGAATATGGAGGAAAAGAGTAAAATAGAAGAGGAGAAGGAGAGAAGGAAAAGAGAATGAGAGGGAGAGAGACTGGGGGAAAAGCAGATAAGAAGAGAGTGAGAGGGGGCAAAACCAAAGGCTGTGGGTAGACCTGTGCTGATTGGCCGGACAGGCGGTTGGGCCGGTCTCTTTCTTAGGCTCTTCTGAGAAAGGTCTTATGCCACTATGCAATTTTTATTTTTATTTTATGTATTTTATAAATTTTTCTCTACTTTTCTTACGAAGCCAGTGTGTTATGGTCTCTGGTCTGAAAGGAAAAATTAAATTCAAGGAGGGAAGAGAAATCCTATGTATGGTGGATACTAACGCAACGTACTGTGTCTGTACGGAGTACATACAGATCGGATGCAGTCAAAAAAGGAACACCATCCACCCATTTCTGCACAAGAGTCAGAGTCATAACCGAGTCAGGCATGATATCTGAAGACGGCTATGATTGAATGCCCAGACCGACAGACAGACTCGTGAAGATCACTGCGGTATTGCACTGCGATCTAAAGAGAACCCTCCACTAGATTGGATAGCCTCACTGTCTAAAGCTTCAACATCACTGGCAGACGTTACTATTCGTTGGAGTTACTCCATACGCAATATGGATACGCGGAGCCACTAGGCTAAGGACGGAGTGGTACTTACTCCGTACCATGTACGGAGCAGAAGTAGTAGTACTTTGATACTCCCGAGTACGGTGTGCACATCCTTTAACGGTGGCCAAATCCCCGGACCAATCCGTGAACGACAGACTTGAAATCTGTCAATCATTCATGGAGGGTGTGAGATCACATCACGCATCACTGTGTAGGAGGATGAGACAGGATGAGACGCCGATTTCCCAATTTCCACACACACTCTCTCAGCAGACGAACTTTTGCCACTAACAGGGCCAGATGGCACTGTGCAAGGCTACCTGCATGAAAAAGAAACCAAAGAACCGCTTTACTCGCGTCAAAAGTCGGAGCCAATGAAGATTTTGTATTCAGTTGGGCATGAATGCGTGTGTCTGTGTTTTGGCCGCTTAAGCTGACTAACTTTTACCTGTTTGGGACATGGTACGGTTGGGCATCCATTCACCATCCACCGTCCATCATCCAATTATTCTCCGGAATACACGATCGCTCACCCGCGTCCTGACACTCTGAAAAACTTCTTTTTCTTTCAGTTACGGTGACCTTTGGTGGCTGGAGGAGTCATGACGATGATGACAGACATGATCAAAGCGTCCAAGATATCCCGTCTTTCATCATCACATCGTTTTCTCGCTCAATGAAATTCTTCCAGGTGGCCTCGCTTCTTTTGTATGGACTATCATTCTAGCCCGGTCTGTACCCGGGAGGAATTCCTGCATTATTCCGTACATCGATCTTATTCGTCGTATTTGACAGCGTCGCCATCATCGTACATGGAAACCCTGTTGTTGTTGTTGTTCTGCTTGGTTTAATATGAGCGAAGCGCTTGATTTTACTCCATCGTCTACCCGCCCTAATACTATGGGTAATAATGAATGGCCGGCTGAGAAGCTGCAATCTGCTGCCGTATGCACCAAACCGACACCAGTCACGAGCCAGGAAGCTACAAAGAAAGAAATAGAATGCATATTTATCCTGGGACCATAGCCGAAAGCCCCGTCAGCATTCGTTATCTCCATATGGTTCTCGCAAAGTACTCCATACTAACGCACCCATCCTCCATAATAGTACACGGAGTACTCCGTGAATACAGCATGATACCCTGCATTATGTTAGAGTGACGGTCTCATGATTCAATGGGAAAGTCGACGTACTGTCTTCCGCTCGGATCCACGATATTCTTGCAGTTGCTACGTGGTCTTGGTTTGTTGGGCATAAGATATCATTATTCTTAGCAACCAAGTGGAGGTTTCTTTTTTCGTTCTACATTCCAGAAAGCAGGCCAGAAGATGGATTTGGTTACCGGGTACCGGGATTGCTCCAATGCGCTAATGGGCAAGCAACATCTTGTTCTCAGCATTTTGTGACTATGGATTCTATAGCTTCGATATGCATTTTGGAGTACATTAGCAATTTGAACATGAATATTCTCAAGCCCCAAAAGTCATGGATTTCGAAATGTAGATATGACCGTAGAACTACACTGCTGAGCTAACCGTTTTTGGTCGAACCGTGGTCGGCGTGTGATTTTCGCGGAGTTCACCCTTCAGCAAAAATCTGCAAGTCGAACAATGCACTTTCCAAGAAAATCCGCCAAGCTCATGCCTTTATAGAACCATGCAGGCCCGATTCTGCTCGCCAGCATGTCGCGCTCGCCTACTACCTCCCCGAGACCATCGCCGTCGCCGGAGGACAACCCCGAACGCTCGATAGACCACCCTCGTCCTTCGCGCTACACCTACAAACAACTAAAGCTCCTGCGACAAAGCTCAACAGCAACGCCACTCCGTGTTATCGCGCATATCGATCTTGATGCCTTCTACGCGCAATGCGAAATGGTCCGTTTGGGGACGCTGCGGGAGACACCCCTGGCGGTTCGCCAGTGGGATTCGTTAATCGCTGTCAATTATCCCGCACGGGATTCGGGGATAACTAGGATGATATCAGCGACTGAGGCGAAGAAGCTCTGTCCGGATATTGTGCTACAGCATGTCGCAACGTTTAGAGAAGGCGAGGGCGGGAAATGGGCGTATAGGGAGGACGCGTTTAAGAATATTGGGATGGATAAAGTGTCGTTGGATCCGTACCGGGCGGAATCGCGCAAGATTCTTGCGGTAATGAAGGAGGAGGCGTATAGGTGGCATGCGGCTGTAACTGGTGAAAACGGCGCTGGGACTGAGACGTCAGCACCACCCTTCAAGGTTCAGACGCAGCTCCCCAGCGTTGAAAAGGCGAGTATCGATGAAGTGTTCATCGACTTGTCGCCGTTGGTATTTGGTGCTTTGTTGCAGAGATATCCCGAGCTGCGGACTGAGGCCCTTGGTGAAGACCGGGGAGCACCATTACCTTGTCCTCCCACAACAGCGCTGGAATGGAACGCTGAGGACTGCCTGATCGATTTGGACGTAAACGAAACCGAAGTCGATGATCCAGATTGGGATGATATTGCAATGCTGATAGGCTCTGAGATCATACGGTCTGTTCGCACCGCTGTCTGGAACCATCTCAGTTTTACTTGCTCTGCTGGTGTCGCTAGAAACAAGATGATGGCCAAGTTAGGGAGCGGCTGTAACAAGCCCAATAAACAGACCGTGGTCCGGAACCGTGCCGTCCAAAATTTCCTGGGCGGGTTCAAATTTACCAAGATCCGAATGCTGGGCGGCAAGTTGGGAGACCAAATTGTTGCTCATTTTGGAACGGAGCAGGTTAGTGACCTGCTGAATGTATCACTGGAACAGCTTCGATCCAAGCTAGACGACGGTACGGCCAACTGGCTCTACGGCATTATTCGCGGCGAGGACAGAAGTGAGGTCAATTCGCGGACCCAAATGAAGTCCATGTTATCGGCAAAGTCATTCAGACCAAGTATCAATTCTGTAGAGCAGGCAGAAAAGTGGCTACGCATTTTTGCAGCTGATATCTACAACCGTCTCGTTGAAGATGGCGTGCTTGAAAACAGACGCCGTCCAAAGATCGTCACTCTGCACCATAGACAGGGTGCTCAGGTCCGCTCTCGTCAGATCCCGATTCCTGGCGCGAAGCCTATTGATGAGGCTACTTTGTTTGATCTTGGCAGCACCTTGCTATGGCAAGTTATTGAGGATGCTAGCGCATGGCCATGTGCGAACCTATCGTTGAGTGTTGGCGCATTCGAGGACGGGGTCACCAAAAACCGGGCAATTGATGGGTTTTTGCTTCGTGGGAAACAGACTAAGACGAATGCGGGCTATTCGACGAGGGATGTCGTAACTGTGGATATGACAGAGGAGCAACCCTTCAATGTGAAGCGAAGAAAAGTTGAAGAGAACGGCATCAGACGCTTTTTCACCAGCCCCTCAGCTGCTGATCCTGAAGTCCCCTTAAACGAGCAACCGCAACCTGAAGCTTCGGGGCCAACGAACTCGACGGAAGCAGTTTCGCAGGCAATTCGCGATGGCAGGCCGAATTCCGGGCCCGAGGGTTCTTTAGACTTGCCTGGCGACGTTCCGCGCGATTTTTATCTCTGTGACGACTGCAACCAACCGATTTCGGAAGATGACAGGACCGAACATGATGATTGGCATTTTGCTAAAGAGCTGGAAATGCAGGAAAGAGAAGCAGCGAAGGCCCCTGTCTCGCTACCACGCCCTTCAAGCCATCCCTCGAATATTAATGCCCGTAGTCGAGGTGGCCGCAACAGTCGTAGCAGCAGCAAGACAGAAAAGGGACAAACGCGACTTACATTTGGGTAGCATGCGTATGTTATAGTTTTAACGAAGCACGCTTTATTCGTCATTGGCATCTCACTACCTTATAAAGTATGCTAGTAGCCAGCCCTGATACTCTCTGTACTCCGTATACATGTGAGAATGTGCTAAGATTGAGCCGGCCGTTTCCCGAAATAGTACTGAAGCCGATCCAAAATGGTTAGTGCGTACCCGAAAAAGGCATGGAACGAAGTTCTTTCAACTCGCCTCCATCTTGACCCCTTCACTATGTACTCGGTACGTTCGGAATTTATGGCAGCTGGATAAGCCATGGATACTGCCTCTTCTCCTAGCTTGTTAGACTGACTAAGAGGAAAATAGTCTTTTCTGCCGTGGACTGAAGTCGTGAACTCGTTGCATTAACCGGGCAGACGGATTTAGACCATCGGAAAATTCTCAGCCTACTGTACGTACTGACTTGGGCAAGAGACCAACCAAAAGGCAGAAAAAAAAAAGAGGCCGCATATGCTCTAGGGCTTCTAAACATGGACCACATTTTCATCAATGTCAAAGAACCGGGCGACGCCCTGCAGCTCACTAAGAAGTCCACTGTTCGATCACATGTCGCTCGCCGTCAATGGCAGGCTCATACTGCAGCGAACAAGGACAGGAAAAGGAAGAGGGAGGAGTACCTCCCATTACGAATAGAGCTGGATTGCTCGAGGCTGATGAACAATGGACAACTACCACAACCGTCGGCAGTACCGGAGGGTGAAGAGAAGAACCATACAGCCCAAGCCCAATATACAGGCCAGTCTACTACAACAGCTTCCTTCATGTTACCTTCTATACCGATGATGATAGGTGGTCTACGTGTCGATCCATTCCGATCATATCCCATCGAGTTCAAGCCGTTCCTCCCATGGCTTGTGGATCACTGTCTGTCGCAGCATCCTCGTATACAACTTGTCTTTCGAAGCTGATAAGAGCAAAAGATCTAGTAAGCATGGCCGTCGCTATCCCCGAGCTAGACCAGCCAGGAAACAGTTGCTTACTGCGCACCCGATGGTTTCCCCTCGTGATGACCGAACCGAGCCTCTTCCTGGTAATTATGTTGATCGCAGCATCACACTATGCATCTGTGCAACTAAACACCACTGAGCTCAAATTAAACCTACTCAGTATGCGTGGTGAAGCCGTACAGGCCATCAACCAGTCCCTCGCCAAACAACACGGGACGATAAACGACGCCTTAGTCGGTGCAATAGCCAAAATGGCCAGTTATGAGGCCATGTTTGGTAATGTGGACACGTATGGTGTGCACATGCAGGGTCTGTATCAGATTGTAAATCTTCGAGGGGGGCTTGATGGGCTTGGGCTGGGCGGGTTATTGCGGAGGATTGTGGTTTGGATTGATCGGAATGGTGCGTTTCTGAACGGTTCGATGTTGTATTTTCCAGGGGCGACTTTTGTCGACGGGCAACCGCTGCCAGATCCTAATCCGGGGAATTTTCTTGGTGCTTCATGACCGTGACTCGGCGGAGGGGGGAGATTTGAGGGACAAGGGAGGAAAGCGAGGGTCGAGAGGCGTTAACGTTTGGTTCAGTCTATTGCAACTTCAGTGCTAGCATGAGGATTTCGGACTTTAGCGGATCATAATTTGAGCATCAGTCATGTGAAATATTCCTGGGGAATAGAAACTCTGGGCATGAAAACGGGGTCCTTTTCGTATATATATGGAGTGTGGGATGGGTCCGGAGTACAAGGATCACATTGAGCATTGCATCAACTCCTCGGTATGCACCATTAATGCGACATACCCTTTCGAGTTAACACTTTTGAGGCTAATAGATGCAGCTGATGGTATTTTATTCCTATCATACCACAAACAGTTACCACCTTTACAGTCACGGCATCATCAACATTCTGCTAATAAATGACGCCCCACTATTTACCCGATCTGGATAACGCATTCTGAGCTTCTCCACTCCCGTGTCCATGGGTTGGGTTGGATACTTCGAGAGTGATATACTATCCAGGTAGGTGGTATAATTCGAGATGCACCGATTTTCGATAATTGTCACAATTGGGTCTCTTCAGGGAGGATTTTCAGGAATGGACAACATGATTCCGAACATAAATAAGAGAAACCTTCCTGGAGGGGTTCTTCCTCTTCATCCTCACTACCTTTAACACATCACCTTCCACACTTCGTCTCTTATCTCTTCTCAATACATCACAGAAATGTCTCTCCAAGGCCAAGTCGCTCTCATCACTGGCGGCGCAAAGAACCTCGGCGCCGCAACCGCCCGCGAACTAGCCAACTCTGGCGCATCCCTCGCCCTCCACTACAACTCGCCCAGCAGCAAGAACGACGCCGTCCAGCTCGAGTCGGAGCTCAAGCAGAAGCACCCCTCTGTCAAGATAGCTTTTTACCAGGCCGATCTGACGAGCGCCGGTGCTGTGGAGAAACTATTCCAGGATGTGCTGAAGGACTTTGGGAAGGTTGATATTGCCGTGAATAATGTGGGCAAGGTGTTGAAGAAACCTATTACGGAGATCAGTGAGGAGGAGTATGATGAGATGTTTGCGTAAGCTTCTTGTCCTTCTGATATTTGGCCTGCGTTAGGTGCTGACTGGGATTACACAGGATCAACTCCAAGGCTGCTTTCTTCATTCTGAAAGAAGCTGCTAAACATGTTTCGGACGGTGGGAAGATCATCTCAGTTGTGACTGCGCTGCTGGGTGCTTTCACTAGTTTCTATACCTCCTATGCTGGTAGCAAGGCTCCAGTTGAGCACTTTACTCGGTATGTTGCCAAGCAAACCGTTCATCAGCTATGCATACACTAACCATTGCAGCGGAGTGTGCAAGGAGCTTCAACCCCGTCGCATCAGCGTCAACAACGTCGCTCCCGGTCCCATGGATACCCGTAAGTCCTCCCTATGTCTTGCGTACTCAGCTCATGACTAAAACAACGTGCCAGCCTTCTTCTACCCTCAAGAATCCCCCGAAGCCGTCGAATTTCACAAGTCCAACGGCCTGGGAGGCCGTCTCACCGAAGTCACCGACATCGCCCCGATAATCAGATTCCTGTGCACGGAGGGCGGATGGATCACGGGCCAAACACTCTTTGCAAATGGAGGTTACACGACTCGGTAGAACTGATTGCTGGTGAGGGCGTAGGCTGTGTAGACGGGACGCGCCGGAATTTATATATCTAGGACAGGTATGGTAGAGATGATTCGTTAATTAGAATGAGCAAATTGAAATTTTAGCCAATAAATTTGAAGATCCAAGTATATGTGCCCGAATCCGTACCCAATGACCAATGTATGGGACTGATCGGTCGGGGAACCATGGCTCAGGCGAACTGGTCCGAGATTTTACGATTGACAAACATTGATAAAGTATATAAAACTGCCAGAACGCGACATATAAGACGCTTTTTTTTTTTTTTTTTTTTTTTTTTTTTTTTTTTTTTTTTTTTTCTTTCTTTCTTTCTCGTATGTTCTTTCTGCTGATACTCAGTGTGATCAGAAAGTCAGACTCTGTTTTGATTCCGTCTGAACGTGACATCAGCCGCGGGGTTGGCCGATCGTCTGAGCTGTTTTGTGCGAGAATTCTGTTTTTCTTCAACTCTTCTTCTCCTGCTTGGCAAGGCCTGAGGTCTGAATTGTCGTTTTTATTTCCCACGCCACTAGATATTGTCTAGTTGGATATCCCTTGTTACAGTGAGGGTTTTCTCCCATAACACCGGCAACCTAGTTAACTTCTCATCCCACCAGAGCCCAGGGTCCTCCAACGCCAACACCCTAACCACAACCAAAACGAACAATCACCAAAATGCCCCGCCGCGCCCCCCGCGACTACTACTCTGAAGAAGAAGAAATCTATGAAGCTCCCCGCCGCCAAAAACGCCCAACCGCCCGTGCCCCCGCCGCCGATGATGAAGAATACTACGTCCGCAAGCGCGGCAAAAGCAAATCCCGCATCCCCGTCGCTGCGCCTCCACCTGTAGAAGAGTTCGAGCGTCTTCACGTGCGGGACAGAGCGCCTGCTCAGCCGCAGCCGCCTGTGCCGCCTCCTATGCCGTTGGGGGTGAGGTATGGGCCCGCGATGGATATGGAGGGGTTTGCATTTCGGAGGGGGAAGGGGGACGTGGGAGAGAAGAAGGGGAAGAAGGGGAGGAAGAGTAAGAGTGTGCCTGTTTCAGAGGAGTCGGAGGAGTCGGAGGATGATGAGGTTAGGGTGAAGCATGTTAAGAGGCCGAAGTCGAAGTCAAGGAATCGGCGGAGGGAGATTGTGGAAGATGACGAGGTGGTTTACAAGGAGAAGAAGGGTGGGAAGAAGGCCAAGGGGAAGAAGGAGAAGTACATTGAGGCCAGTGAGACGGAATCCTCTTCTGAGGAAGAGGAGGAATATGCTGTTCCTGTGCGGAGGGGTGGTCGGCCTATGGTCGCGCCTGTGCCCGTGCCTGTGCCTGTGCCTATTGATGACGAGGATAGTAGTGAAGAAGAAGTCGTGCACAGGCGCAAGAAGAAGGGCAAGATGCCCGTTGAGCCTGAATATGAACGGGCTTCTCGCAAGGTCAGCAAGCGTGGAAAGGAGACTGTTCGCTATCCGTCGGTCCCGAAGATGAAGTCCCACCGTCGCGACGAGACTGAAAGCGAGACGGATACAGAGTCTGAGAGCGAGACCACCAGTGACGACAGTGACGGCGAGATCGTTGTCCGTAAGAGCGAGCGAAGGGGACGCAGCAAGGGCAACAAGGCCAAACACCGTAAGGATGATTCGTCTGGGTCTCCGAATCTTAGAGCGCCTTCGGTATCTCGCAAGAGACAACAAAAGTTCATTGACACTGGTATGACCCCGTTAATCGCCAGTTCCCAGAACAATTACTCACTGTCTTTAGAGTATGAAATGGTCAAGCCAACCCGCGCACAAAGTCCTGACTTCCCTCGGTCAAAGAGTAAGAAGGGCGGCCGCTCCAAGGATGACATGTTCATCGAACCTTTTGACCCTTACGCCAACTGGCCACCAGCCGAGACCTCCAGCAAGAAAAAGAAATCCAAGGTCAAGGCCATCCAACCCAGAGCTCGATCTGCCGACAGGGACGTATCGCGGGAACATGGCCGCCGTATGAAGGACGCCCGCAATGCCCGAGATGACCTGGAAGTGGACCTATACAATCGCCGAAAGACCCACTATCCTGCCGCCGACTTTGTACCTCCCAAGGCCGGGGCCCTCGTCGCTCCTAAATCGCGACGTGGGAGAGGTACCAGCATGAGTGAAATGGGCTGGCCGCAGCCCGCAGGTCGCAAGCTTAAATATCTCCCTGAGGAGAGCTCTTCCGAGGAATCGTCCGAGGATGAGAAGGCAACTCCATACCTCGGGACGAAACCAAAACACCAAGCCCCAATGCAAAAAGACCGGCTCTGGACCGAAATCACCAAGGACCTCGTGGTGCGAGAAGCGATTGAACGGGCTGGGTATGAGTATGAAGAGACGGACCAGTTCTACTACATCTTCGCCTACCTTCATTATGTGCGTCCCACTACTCCAACTTACCAAACGTCTTGGCCAAGCTAACGAAATTATAGGAGGATGTCTCCGGCCTCGTCGATATGTCTGAAGAAATCCGACAGGCACGGCGTCAAAGGATTCACGAAATCGGCCGTGAGCACGCTGGGTATGCCCTTCCCCCGGCACCGGCGGCACCACCCCCGGTTTTTAGTAAGTATGGCCAGCCCGTGATGGAACAGCCTCGACCGTGGCCGTATAGCGGCCACGGAGTGGCCCAGCCCCAGGAAACGGTATATGAGGACAGTCGCTGGCGACTGCCGCGGATGGGACGGTGGTAGATGAATTTATGATGTTTGTTGAAAAATTGATGAGATATGACAGTTTTACATTGAATGGATTCTTTGCTTTTATTCCATTCAGGATAGCGGTGCACCGTCTGTAAACGGCAAAAGGTAGATGACTCGGTGAACGATACAACTGGAAACTATTGGATCCATCCCTGTAAATACATGCATAAAGTAGTGGCAAACGGGGGTCTCAGACTGAGAAAAAGAATAGAAAAGTGAATTGAAAGAAATACACACATACAGTGTGCTATTCATGTCTGAAACAAGCCAAGACATGCTTACAAGCATGTGATTGGCCGAATCGGAAGATAATGGCTGCCTTTTTGGCCGTATTAATGGTATTCTTTCCGTATCAATATGTTCAGATCGGGAACGGCGCGGTAATACCAGTAAGAATGATCTCATAAGGAGGATCGAAGACGCAGATTCCTCGCGGAGTCAAATGTAGTAAAAATACTCAGCATGATAGGTCCATTAATTTTCGTCTAGATCCTTTTTCAGAGATCTATACAGAATTCAGGAACGGGAAATTGCATCCACCCCCGTTCCATGGATCTGTCGTGTAATATGTACTGTACCTGTACTTGTCCTTGTACGTACCATACTCTGTGCTTAGAAGGATGATTAACCGGAGAATTTCAAGCATATCATTGACTGAACCAGAATCGAGCAAGGTGCTATTTCCCATAGATTGATGGCCTAGTTTTCCCAATATTTTGGTACTGTACATCTCTGGACTAGTTACATAGTAGACACCGGACGACTCAGATCATAGATCGGCATGGATAAATCGATTTCGATTTCTTACTCCAGAGTAGTCCAGCCACACAGATTGGACGAGGATTACGATCTGCTGGTTTTCATTTGCGTTGTGGCGAAGGTTGGACATTCCTTTAATCTCGGGTGTGGCGCATGTATGAGGTTAGATCCACCAGCCACATAGCGTCATTATCCTCTGTAGTCTGTAGTACACATTTGGATAGGTGGCCTGGTGTCTGACAGATCCCTATTACGGCTATTGATCGAATCCCCCAAAACAGATTGCCGTATTCCATACGAACCGAAGGGTTCCTACAGATCCCTACAGATGGCTGGCTTATGCATTCCAGCTCTCCAGCTCCCCACGAATGAGCATAGCATATCCTAGATCAGGCACTTATCAGGTGCCTACCATGTACAGTGCCATGCCTAATTGGATCAGCGAGACAGACATAAACGAAGATATACAGCGAGCCTTGTACCCTACAGAATACAGTACTATTGTGCATTCCAGATCCTTGATTGCGCCCTCACAGATAGATTTCCGAGCAGAAGGCGGAGTACTCCGTTCTCTGTACATGGTATTCCTTTCTCTTCTACAGAGTACATAGGTCCAGGTACAGCGAGACTGTTCTATACAGACATAACCATGGAAACGGCTGTCAGAGGTCCACTTCGGCCGAGCCTCGTTGTACCTGTTTCCGTACCATAGAGCTGTGAAAAGGTACCATGGTACGTACCGGATGATGGGCTTGTATTCTGCCAACGCACTTTGCCACCACACTGACTACACGGTGCTCTGTGCGTTGGACACAGCCTTGTATTTTATGAGATATCCTTACATCAAACAGAACGATATACTATGTACAAGCACTTTGCTCCGTGTAGGTACAGGTAGATAGGAAAGTATCTGTACGATCTACTCCGTACTGATAAAGAATAGGGACAGAGTACAGAGTACGGTATGTAATATTTGGAATGGTATGTGGCTTAGCCAATCAGTAGTTCCGGGTAGGTGGGCGTGTTTTTGTCTCAGACTCTGAATAGCCCGGAAACTGTAATTAATGAACCATGGGCCGAAATCCGATCAATACGGTTTGAATCGGTTTGGTTTTGTATACTTGTATGGTGTACTGACACATTTAACAGGGGTCGTTTGCCGCGTCAGAGTGGAAATGTGACGCGGTCGAGAATGTGTGGACGATGTCCTCAGTTTACTTGGGAAGAGTCTAGAATCTGGACTCTGGAGTAAGATGAGTCGCAGTGGTGATGTGGTCTATATATGGTTCTATCCAAAAAACGGAGTAACTAATATGAATAGATTAAGTAAAGGACCCCCTGCGCAGACAAAAATAGGGCATCATTCCGATCAGTCAGTCTGTGTCATATGGCCAGTTACTCCGTACAGAATAAAACACAAACATCGGCCGTGAATACCGGACCATCATAACCAACCTGCTAAGCTCACCATGCCCAGGTGTCAAAACATATCCCTTTCAGTCGACATCCTGGTTTGTGTTGTACTCCGTACTCTGTAGTCTTAAAAGTAGAGTGTTTCACCCGAGCAATGCCGCTGATTCGGTTAATACCGCTAGTAACCATAAAATTACTCCTCTAACTCAATTGAGATTAGCTCCATTGTACAATACTATCATAGATACTGTAATTACATTCACAGCCATACATACATTCACTCCTCCACTGCTATCTCGATCTTCTCTTTTCTTTCCCCTCGTCTTTTCTCTTTCTGTTTATCTCTTCCTTCACTATCTGTCTCGCTCGCCGCCGTCGTCGTCCATCGTCTGTGGTCTTTTGGTGCTCTGTTGACGGTCAGCCTGTTGATTTGCTGACCAACTCTCGCGATCCCCTCATAGGGTGATAATGCGAGAATCTCTTTGAGCCTGGTTTTTCGACGCTTCTTTCTCCCTCTCTCTTTTCTCTCCGCCAACTCGGGTCCTCGTCTGTTCAGCTGTAGGCTCGAAAATCACTTTGCGTATTCTCAGCTGGACCAGCAACAAATCATCTGTTGGGCTGTGTTACTCAGGTACGTTGTTGCAGCTTATTCTTTTTCTTTTTCACCTCTCAGCTGCTTATCGGCTATTTTCTCGCTATGTCATTGTTCCATGGCTGATCGACATTTTAGGAATTATCATCAACCCATCTAGCTTGGATTGGTTCCCTACCACTTATACAACCCGATCCTTTTTTTTTTGACCCAACGCTTCCGGCTTGGGACTATCATAGGTCCTCTGACAAGTCGATCCGGCGACCGATGAAATTATCCCCCCTTAGCCTCGCGGGTTTCTGACGTTATATCATCCATTGATACTGCCGCCCGACCGGTGATCATTTGAACTAGGCGCTTGGATCAGTGAATTGAGGGAAAAATAAAAATAAAAAAAAGACTATCGAAGGAGGACTGGGAAATAAGCCGTCGATACATTTTGTTACACCAACCCGACCATTATCGATTGTTTACTTTTCCGACATAATACATACCCGACCCGGAAAGTGCAGAGTTATCCGCCAACATGCTCCTCGCATTCGCTTTCTCATGGCTTTTGTTGCTTGCATCACCCGTCTTCGGAGCCGAAAATTCTGTGAAATACTGTTCCTCGGTTAATACGGGATCCGACAATGATGCGAGTAAGTGCCGTGATTGTGGTGGTATGACCTGTGCATCTTTGCTAACTTGTGTTACCTAGATACCGATACCTTTCAGTCTGTCGGGGCTTGCACATCTACGTGCACGTCAGATTATGCATTCGGCATTCTCCAAGGCAAAAACTGTTGGTGCTCGAATGTCGCACCTAATAAGGCAACCAATGTCAATGTTTCAGAGTGCAACGACGGCTGCCCTGGGTACCCGTCCGACAATTGTGGAAATGTGGAGGAAGGCTTGTATGGCTACATCGTATTGATGGATCATATGCCATCTAGCACGGCCAGCGCATCAGGCGCCTCTTCGACTGGAACTTCGGTAGGTTATCTTGTACTTTGCTGAATGTTGTCTTGAGTTCAATCATGCTGACTTCTCACAGACAGGCACCTCAACAGAGACCACAGGAGCGAGCACGACGAATTCAGGAGATAGTAAAGTTGAGACAATCGGAGGCCAGGTCCAGACGGTTACAGTTGGCGGATCAGGTGCGACCGCTGCTGCAGATACTTCATCGACTAGCAGCAAAGACAGCGACTCTGGGCTAAGCAATGGCGCTGTGGCTGGTGTTGCTGTTGGCTCCGTCGCAGGTTTCCTTGCAATCTTGGCTCTGATCCTCATCTGGTACTGTTCCAAGAAACGCCAACGCGCAAACAGTCCTGATCCCAGCATGCAATTACTGGATGGTCGCAACAGCAAGGGCTCCCAGATGAGCTTCATGAGGTCCGTCTTTTCCGACAACACTACTCTTGGAGGGTCACCTACTGCCACACGCAACCCGAACGCGACCTTTATCGATAACCGCATGAAGACGAACACCGTTCTCTATCCAAACGGTCCCCGGGATAGCAGCGTATCGCTTCAGGACAATGAGGACTACTCAAGGCCTGTGCTACGGGTAAGCATCTAACTTACAATTGTGTAATCAATGCGTGACTAACAGTAATGCAGGCAACAAACCCCGATTAAACGTGGATTTTTTTTTATGTTTGATAATCTACTTTCTCTTTATATTTGTTTTGTGCTTGCTTTCTGTCGCATCCTCGCATCTCGCATCTCATTGTCGTCATTCTTTGCTCGGTTCGGCGAACAGCGGTGTTATGATACCCAATTGTCACATAATCTTTCATTCGATTCCTTTTGATCTAAGCATGCAAAGATCACGGACTCGATTAACATCCCTTCGGGGCTAAAAAAAGAAGAGGCATACCTGAAGTTTCCATGCAGCAAGGTAGGCCGACTTACGAGATGTGTCACGATAATACATTTTGCATTATTTATCGATCTCTGTGTCAGCACATGAGAACACACGGGATCATTAGACCGCTTTCTGTTTGCTTTGTGATATGTCTGCTTCTCAGCGTCTCTTTTGTTTGCATTTACATTTACAAGTAGATATTCACTGTCACCGGTATTTGGAGGTAGTTTGTTAAATTGCATGTCACATATTTACAAAACTACGAGTGTGTAGGAAGGGATTCATATACACTGATTGATTCAAACTCACTTTGAATATGATCTTCTATAAACACCCAAAAACATAAAACAAACTTAGCTATCTCACGTCAACCTGAAGCAGACATGATCTCAAACCACAACCTTTAACTCATCCTGAACATAAACTTGACACCCCATAAAGCAAATGATCTGGTAGCAGTTAGCACATCAACGACTCGAAGATCCGAGTCCACCTACGACGGCATGGCCAGCTCCTGCAACTTGAGTTCGATATAGTCAGCAAATTCAATGTGTCCCCTCGCCAACGCAACATCCTTCGGGGTTCTACCCACCGCATCCGTACAGTTCAACTGCGCATCTCCCCATTTAGTAAGGACATCCGCGGCAGCGATATGACCCCTCCGTGCAGCCAAATGCAACGGCGTCCTTCTATGTGCATCACGAGAGTTAGCACACATGTCCTCGGCAAGGAGCATTCTAACCATACTCGCAGCACCATAATACGCCGCGTAGTGCAATTCAGTCATGCCAGCCCGGCCACGGACTCCGATAAGGATGCCGCTCTCCAGCAACATGCGCGGGATGTTAGTGTGCATCATACACTCCAGAGCCCCGTGGAGGATGGTTTCGTGGTTGTTGTTGAGATGGTTGATGTTGATTCCCGCGGCGATGAGAAGACGGACAGCGGCAGTATTTTCGGCCTGAGCGGCAGCCCAGAGCGCGTTGCGGCCGTGGGTTTCTTCGGTGGCGTTGAGAGTATTCGGGAAAAGGTCCATGATGAAATTTAAAACGCGCGTGGAAGGATTCATGGCCGCGTCGTGGAGGAGGGGGACTCCACGGGTGCTGAAGCGAGTGCCATTATTGTTAGTTTCCTCAAGCCTCGCTCCGTGGCCGATGGCGAACGAGAGGGTTTCGAGGTTGCAGTTCTGGACTATAAAGGAGACCACGTTGGGGGCGTTCACGTCCGCGCCGGCTTCGATTAGGGTGCGGACGAGCTCGTCGTCATGGTTATACGCTGCCATGACCACCGGAGTGTTCTGGGACGCAATGTTGAACAGGTTAATATTCGCTCCTCTGCTCAGCAAGAGCTGGATTACCTGGTTGGCCCCATATCCCGCCGCGATATACAGGAGCCTCTCACCGTGGATCGAGTATGCGTTGACATCAATGCCCGCGTCCAAATAGCCCTCCACCTTACTAGCTTTGTCCTTCGCGATTGCTGTAACGATGGGTTCAGGGGGGCCATTGAACACCATGTTCTGGTCGAGAACCAGCTTGCCGCTTTCGAGGATAATGGCATGTTCATAGTACTCTTCAGAGGTGAAGGCGCGGTTTCTGGCCGTCTCTTTGAGCTGGTGTTGGATGGCACTGTTTATGCCGGCGTTGGTCTTGGAGAAGTTAGACATGTCCTTGACATTGAGGTTACCCGCAATGTTGCCGATAAGCTCGCGAGGGAGGCTTCCTATGCCGGTTGACTCCATTGTGGAATTTAAGCAGTTTGTGTCGTGAAGATTAGTGGGATTGTATCTGCAGATGATGCTGTAGATTGGTGATGGATGGGTCATGAGTGGGTTGAAATTTCTGGACTTTATATAGACGAATACGAGACATCGCTGTATCTTATATCATCTGGGAGCTGAATATCCCACGAGAAAACAGATGAAAGGCCAGAGACTCATTCTGTATACCGAAGGGAACATTCCGTGAACAGGGCTTTGTGTTTCTCAACCCGATGAAAGGCTGCTGGGACTTTTATGTGTATAAATCCGCCAAAGAAGACAAACAATGCCATTGTCTGATGATTAAGGAGATGGGTTTTCTTCATTGGAAAACCTATAGGTTGTGAGGACAAAGACTGCCAAGAAGACAATGGCATTGGTAAAGAATCTGGGGTTCTTTGCCCGGAATATTGAACATTCCTGCTATTTTCGAGACAGTCTTTATCATGTATCCAACATTCATAACTTTAACAGCATTCGAAGAAAACCACTATAGTTAAAGTAGTGGTTGAAGAAGTGGCATTGAACGAGGCTCAGGGCACATGACCTGGATAGTTTTACCCTTTCGGGCAATGCAACCTAATTGCTTGTATTTTCCTCATCTGTCAAGCTAATCCAACTAGTTATTGTTGCTTGTGCTATCAGGACTCGCATCGCCATACGCAACTGGGAATGCTTTGTGAGGAAGGTCTGGTATCTGCATGCTTTCGTGCTGTGGGGTATTCTTTGCATTGGTGTGGCGTTAGCTAGTTTGAACAGAGACCCCGGACTAGAAGCTCAACACACCCGTTACTTTGAAAGTGGAGGAATTAATGCTTCCACCCGGGAAAGTAATATAAGAGTTAACAGAAGAATATGGGGACTCCAGATCACCTTCATCAACTACCATAAAACCTGCAAGGATCCTCGATTCGATGCGAGATATCCCAGTCAATCGGATCTGTCATACGACTTCTTATCTCTTATCAGAATCGTCTCACCAAAGAGAGTAAGCCTATTCGTGTCACACCGGGTCAATACTGACACAGTAATGGACCAGGGATTCGGATGGTTGTTGGAATGGGCTGATAAATGCTTGGGCTACAGCCGACCACCAGCTTGCACGGATTCTCGTCTTCTGATATATGGTATACAAATCTGTTTGATGCGACTTTCCAATCTCACACTTCTACCGTGATTGAACATACGACGTCATGGATGTATCGACTGTCTTGGACAATATTGGGTGGGCTGGCGCTCTAATGGTAGTACTGACGGGGTTGTATCTTGCCCTAGACAGAAAACGGAGCAAACCAATTTTCAGTCGAATAAGGCGTTGCAGGCCATTAACAGCCGAAACACCCCCCCGATCAATATTGTTAGGAAAGAGACCACGAAGCCCCGAATCACCAGATTATGCGAATGTCCTACCGCCGCAACAACGAGAGGCACTTGGTAAGATCTTGGGTGAAGTACAGCACGTTGAGGAGGAAGAGGTCCTTCAACACATCTTGCCCATGGATACGAGCTATGAAACTTGCCAGGAGGAAAAGTATACCCCGACTGGGTTCTCGGTACAGGAGGTTCGAGAGTTGGGGGATTTCCCGGACTATGCAGAGCTTAGTGGAGTTCCATTGCCTCAGCCCTACCACAAGTTCGATATCAACAAGTCGCTGGCCAGACCCTATCGACCGTTCAGATGGGTTTACCATCAGACCATGTGTATGTCCCTAACTGTAAAACCTCAATTAATGGCCATCTAACAAAAAATGCCGTTAGCAATCTCAAAAATGGAAACAGATTGGTGGATCGAACTCGAAAACACCTACAAGCAACGAATAGCCCAACGCAAAGAACTATACGCCGAACACGGAAACGGGGTCCTTGGCTACCTCCCCGGCTCCGAACTAGCCTGTAAAGAGCTCATGGAAATGGTCCTCCAAAACGTTTGCGCCCGATATCCGCAGTACTTCACCTTAGTCGACAAGAGAATTTTTCAAAACAGAATCCTTGGCACGGAACAGGACGTCAGGTCCAAGCATCCTCTGGAGATTTTGCTTGATAATATTCCCGAGGACTTTGGTCTCACGCTGCGAGATGATAAGACTGGTTGTTACATACTCCGTGCAGGAGTCATTTGCTCTTCGATTGGATGGAGTATTAACGAGAAGATGGGCCTTCCACTTCATTTGATACACAAGCCTGTCCCGGATTACAAGGAGAAGATGCAAACCTCTATGGAGCGGTAAGCAACCTCAGTACTCTTAAACAAAACTCCAAGTCTAATGTGAGGGAACAGCTTCTTCATTAAACTCCCAACATATAAACCAATCCAACGTGGTTCCTGGGGCCTCGAAGTCGGCCAGCCCCTATGGATGCCAAAAGGCTCCCCCCTCGAAATTCACCGCACGCACCAATCTCCCACCCTAAAACTCTCCGACTGCCACCTTCGCGTCGACTGGCAAACACTCCGCCGTCTCCCCCTCTCTGCAGCCGTCGTCTTCAACTTCAAAGCCCTATTCACGCCGGTGGCGGAGTTCCGCGATGAGCCGGGTGTCCCGGCACTGGTGGCTAAGAATATGAAAGAGGGGAAGAAGACTTTGTTGGAATATAAGGGGACTTGGCATGTTGAGCACGTGATTTTACCGGTGATGGAGGAATGGGCGGAGGAGCAAAGGAGTAATGGACTTGTGGAGAGGGATTGGGAGGTTGGGACGCTGGATGAGAGTCCGTATTTTGGGGGGTGGGAGGACAAGTGGCATCGTCAGCAGGGGTTCTAATGCTTCCAGCCCTGTTTAGTTCATGATGTTCATGTGTTTTGATTCGTTTTATTTTGTGCTCAATTGAAAATACCTACAACGAATGAGCATGCTGGTCCTGGAATTCATTATATACATTCAAACCATGTAGTACAACACACACCAATTCGTCCATCCGTGACGGTCGGCTCTTGGGTCTTGTCACACCTCACAGCTTTTCTGACTAGTGTAGATTCGTGACGATGTCCGATATCTTTCAATTTGCGCGTTGTCTTTGGCGCATGTGGTGAGACTGGATGATGGCAGCCTCAATTTGTGACGGCAATGGTGGGAGGCATTGTATATCTGGTGGAGGCAGCGTCTTCGGTGACGGACTTCTGAATTGACAGACAACCTCGAAATAGGGATCATAGCGACGCACGGCGGACGACTCAGTCCTCTCCCGTATGATCTGAAGAGCCGGAACGACTCTCCTTCATCCCCCCATCGTCGCTATCTTGATCCATTTCCTCCAACTCATCTGCCAGTGGACTAACCCTTTCATCCAACAATTCAAGATCCTCCAACTGCTGCCTCGACGGCAACTTCCACAAACTCGTACCACACATCCGTTCTTTCGTAAGAAGGTCATCGACGAATTGATCCATATACGTAAGCACAAACGAATCCCGCACACGGCGCTTGATTTTCCGATAGTCGAGTAGCAGCGGCTCAAGCGTCTTGTACACATCCACCGCATCGAAAGTCAACCGGACATAAAATGCCGCCAGAGCGCGCAGGTACTTGAAGTCGCCACGATTTTGAAGCACCTCGTTATCCTGGTCTTCATCGTCACTCCCCGGATCCGAGAAATTCAAGTATTCAAGCACGATATCGCGAGTCGGGTTTAACTGGAGCATCTTGAACGCAAGGCAGAGAAAGGCCGTCGGTTTCTCGGAGACACCGTAGGTACCGCCGATAGAGGACAGTTCGATGGCGCGGTCGCAGAGAGTCGCGGCGTTTAATCCGAAGCATTGCTCTTTCCAGTAGTAGGAGTCTGTGATGCGATCGCGGACGGCTTTTTCGAAGAGCGTGGCTGGGTTGACACCGCGGACTAGGGGGCCGGAGTAGCCGCGGTTGTCAAGAAAGGTGCTAGCATCGGCACGATGGGTCGACATGTTACCTTTTAGCTGGGGAAAGTTGGATTGAGCTCGTTTTCAATCAACGCGATAGACTTGAAGATGAAAGCTCGCGCCGCCGGAGATAGAATTGTTCCGGTTTTCCGCTGCCAAGACCACCGAGACCGGGCGTTATCGATTGTCGCACGGCCAACCGTCGCGGGAGGTAAACAACCCCGAATCGGCATCGGGTGGGAGATCGTAAGGCTGTGGATCCAAGGGTCCAATTTGATTCTCATAATGATCTCTCCCGTGGTTGAATTGCGGGCAGCGTCGCGTGGCCAGACACTCTTTCTAGACAGATATACTTCGATACCCATGCGGGTATCTCATACCCCGTCACAACCATGGTGCTCTTAACTCCCTCCACCGTCTCCTCCATTATCTCCATGGGAGTCATCTTTATCTTCACATTCCTCTTGTTCCTATCCGGCTATGTCCTCCAGCAGCAATCCGTCAGGAACATTCAACAAGCCCTCAAGCCTCCCTCAGACTCCTCATACCCCCTTGCCAAACACGATTCACGATCGACATATCGGAATGCTAGGAGGGACACCAGCTACGACCAACCCTACCACGACAGCAGCAATGACAGGCAGCAAGACAACAATGGCAACTACGCATACGTTCAACTCCTCTCCACCCCTGATCCCTCGAACATCTGCTCTGCAATCCTCTTCTTCCACCACCTCTCCAAAAACGGCACAGCAGTTCAAGACCGTCTCTTCATGTATCCGCAAGAATGGGACCAACCCTCGTCCAAGAACAAGAAACTTTCGAAATCCGTCACAAAAGTTCTCTCTCTCCTCCGCTCCGCAAGTATCAAGTATAATATTTGGTTATTGCCTATCGACATGACAGCTGCGACGTCGGCGGGTTATGCACCCACAGATACGAAATTGTTGCGCCTTGGACAGATTCAGTTCATGCAGTATGATAGTGTGCTATATCTGCAGACCCCGGGCTTACTGCTTGATACGGGGAAGTTGGATGATCTGTTCTTGTCAAGACCGCTGCCGCAACGGTATGATCAGAATCGACGGGAATCATGGGATAATGAAGCTTGGACTTCTATGCCGCTGAAAGCTGAGCTGAATAATGCGCTCCCGCCTGTGTACCTGGTCACAGTTAGTAATGTTGGGGCTGGACAGGTTGAGGCACGAGGACATGTTCCTAATATAGATCTCCCTGGGCTTGGACAGCTTGCGGCGGGTCCGGAAGCTGTTCAGACAACTAGAGATGATGATTATGATGAAGATGAACGACCAGCGTATGTCATTTTTGACCATGATCGTGATGGACATGTTCGGTGGGCGGGGAACCCTTTTTATGAAACTTGGAGAGCAGGATTGTATGATGTATGTGATGGGCTTGATCTTGATGATAATATATATCCATGATGATGAACTATGATGATTTGTTTTTACTTGCATTGTGGTTTATTTGGTTAGGTTTTGATTAGGGCACATACACTCTCCAGATGGCGTTAGTACAACAGTTCCATGACTTGCACATACACATCCAGCATTGTTGTGAAATAAGAAAAGATATAAATCATTCATGAAAGTATAGTATCCAAAAAGGTATCCGTAGCATAGTTCCATAAAGCAAATCACCATCAATATGCAAGCCTTACTCCAACAAGTCAAGTATTTCTTCTCCATGAATAGCAATGCCCCCATAGCTCCGTAGCCACAGGGATATACTTTGATATACAACCAAGAGCAAGGGAAAATCACCGCGGAACGCCAATTTCGTACCCGAGCAGCACTTCAGTAGTGTTGCCTTCCCAGCCACGATTGCCGCTCGTCGAAATCATAAACCGACATGCTTGGTCAATGTAAAGCTGGGATATTGTTCCTGTGCGGTGACCCGGGATAATAAGGAAAGGTACGGTGGAGTGACGGGTGACGTGTTCATGCTTCAAGTCGTAAAGCCGGAGGATGTCATGGGATGCACTATGGCCAGTCGTTAGTATGGGTTTCATTGAGAGGATGGAGAAAAAGACGCACCAAACTATATGTCTTCCATTAGGCATAGCCTTGACAGCCGTCACCGGTCCACTACCCTGAGGGAATTTGAAAATGCGCTCCGTTTCCCGTAGACCCTTATGAAGACTGAATTCCTCGACTGTGCCGTTCCGTCGGCCGGCGTATATATAGTTTCCATCTGGAGACCAACAAGCATTCATACACCATGGTGGAGCATTGCGAGATGTGATACGGGCAATCGCGTCGGGCTGTCGCCTATCCCACACTCGGATCGTACCGTCGATTGATGCAGAGAGGAACACATTGTCCGCATTTGACTCGGATTGGGTTGTCTGCTGTGAGAAGTCCTGGCTTTGAGAAGGGGGCTCTAGTTCCTCTGCATGAGGTAGCCCGTTGGCTTCAGGATGTGTTCCATTTGGAAGCTCTGCTCCATGTGCATCTGGTTGTTGGGTTGTCGTATTTGCGTTTGTATTCTCATTGCTGGTGTCTTTTGGTGCTTCTGCCACGCCGTTTTGCTGGCCAGTCATTTCATGATCTTGTTCACCAGGGGCATCCGCGTCAGGAAGCATGCTGCCAGCGAGCTTGCCAAACTCATCATCGTCATTATCCATACCAAAGGCATTTCCCGAAGGATTGTTGCCATCACCAGCGCCATTGTCCCCATCGCCAAATAGCGAGTCAGCTCCACCAAATAGCGAATCGGCCGGTGAGCCCGCCTGCGGGTTCGCCTCGCCGAAATCGCCCTGCTCGTTGGGAGTATTTTCAAAATTGAAGTTCGCACCGTTGCTGGCCTGGTAGTTTGATGAATATGTCCCATTCGTTTGCTGTCGATCGGTGGTATCTCTGGGGACAGGTAGACTGGACTCTGGCCGGATGTCAATCGCTGAGATTTGTCCAGCGCTGGGGCCGAAAGGGCGCCTGGCTTGCCCGGTGTTTAGATCCCAATCGAACACGCGTTTGTCCCAACCCCCGGAAAGCAGTGACTTCTCGTCGGACGTCAGATTCAATACAGATACCGCAGAATTATGTTGTTGAAGAGATGTAATTTCTCTGCCTTCTTCATGTCGCACTGACTGGAGACGGATGGCGCCCGATTCCAAACCAGACAGCAACCAGAGACCCTCACTATGGCTGGCCAAAGAGTAGACAGGCGACAGAGCATTAGCATCCATATTCTCCCAGTATGTCATCACTACGCCCGCTTTTACCACACTGTCGACAAACGGATGCCTTTGCGCCACTGTCAGCATCAATTTGCTATTGATGGAGTCCACCCAGTTGAATTTCCGCACATATCCATCAGACCCTCCGCTAAATACCCATCGCATGTCTGCCGTCGCCGTCACCGCATTGATTGAGGTACTGTGGGGTGCCGCGGTGGTAGGAACGATATCGTAGGTGGAGCACGTCAGACATTCCGAGCGCACACTGGGATGAAAGGCAGATATAGGGTCGGTCGCAGCATGTGCAGCTGCTTCGGGGGAGGTCATATGAACGTCTGTATCGGGGTTTTGTTGTGATGCCATTCCGGCGCCTTCAGATATATGGCTAGTGTTAGAAGGACTGTCTGCATCTTGGTCTCCATCGGCGTCGGCGTCATTCTCGTTCTCGTTCTCGTTGTCGTTGTCGTTGTCTCCGTCCTCTGCGTCTCTGAGGGTTTCATCCTCATTGTCTGAGCTTCCGTCCTGTGAGCCTAGGGAGATTCCGAAAGTCAGCTTCACCGTTCGATTCTAGCGTTTGAAGAGTGAACTCACCTGCAAGATCCCGATCATCATCGTCCTCAATCGAAGCCATGGCGACGACGGAGGCGCTCCAATTGACGAGTATTTCGTGTCTCCAATATTAAAAGCTCGTCAATAGAATAGGTGTATATATTGAAACTAAAGCTTTCTGCACTTTGTACTGCGGGGAGGCCGCGATTCAGGTTGATTCAAATGTTCACAGCTCTCGTCAGTCTCCGCGTTCGGGGGTCGCAGAAGGTAACAGGACCTGTCAAACAAGCTTTAACTGGAATTGTAAAAGAAAGAATAGGGATAATAGAAAGAATGACTTTTGAGTTGAGCTCCGGCGCGCAGAGTTGAGTAATGGAGCTCGCGATGGATTTCCCCGGACGTTTCCCACCTGGTGCCTGAGGCAATAGAATCCCATATTGGGCTAGTGTGATTAACGTTACCAGAAAGGGAAGATTGTTTCCTTTCGTTTGAAGAAATAGTCAATAGATTCCTCCGAGACTATTAACTTGATCCTTGAGCTAGCTGTGTATGTCTATTCAATTGCTCGCCAGTCACAGCTGAATGCGTGAATGTCAAATCCATGTCCATAGTTGGGCAATTGTACATAGCACGATGTACTGGCTACTAAATTACGCCACAACGCTAATTGACGGTAAATTAGCTGCTGAAGTTGACTACCTTGGGCGCCGTTTTAACTCCCTTTTTTTATCAAAATCTTATTCTATCAACTTCACGTGCGCAGGATATGCTTTTGCTCACTGAGCTGTACTCAGTGCTCAGTGATCAGCTCACTCTTCGCTCAATATGCGCAGGGCAAAGGTTCAATGGTGACGTGTGTAGATGCTATCCTTAAGTCCGTTTATAACCACTTCAGACAAAAATAACAAATCATTTGTCTTATGGAGCCATAGAAACCTATTCCTTATTTGAATGGTCTCCTCCCCGTCAATTCGCTCGTAGTCTTACAAACCAACCCGCCTGCAACAGTCGTCTCTGCACCGTCTTTCTCCAGCATCTTCTGGGCAACTGTCATTATTGTGATATCCTTATTCATTTTCCTTGACCGAGCCACTGTTTTCTCCTGGTCTCTGCTAGCCCTATCTCCACCTGAAGCTATGACTGTTCGCTCTCCCCGCATCAAGGCTAAAACCTGGTCCCGAGTACTATCGACAGAGTCGCCGACAACTGGGAGAAAATGACGTGATGATATATCAGAATATTAATGATGTGGGTTTTTCCAGTATTTTACTTTCTTGGGTCTCCAACAAAAGGATGGCAGTACATGGACAAAGACCTAGTTGAGCGTTTCAATTTGGATGGGTCTGTTGGAGAAAAATCTGTCTTGAATGTCGATGGTTTGTACATTATGCTTCATTATCACTGGAAAAAAAGACACTAAGTCCTATCCGGATAGTCAGCAAATCTTCCAGCTCACTTTACTTATGCTCGTGTCGGCTTATGCTGCAAATCGGCCGGGAGCATTGGTGTACGTTGAAAAGAACGAGCGGACCAATATCAATCACTTCTTTGGACATGTGAATGATGTTGGCCTCACTGAAGCTGATGTAATAGATTAGTGGGATCTTAGAGATGAGGTCCTTAAAAACCCTTTGTTACGGCCAGATAAGCTTGGTCCTTCTACCAAATACTGGTAGAATCCGTAATCATTTCGTGGTGGAAGTTGATATAAAACATACAAAAGGCCATAATAGAAACCAGAAAGGTGAGTGTACCTTCCAAATAAGCACAGTTCGATTGATTTGCAATAGGCTATAACAGACTGATCATAAGTGTTGAATTGGTCATATTATCACTGTGGAATCGAACGCATAAGCGGTAATGTGCGGGGCCATAGATTGGTTATAAGGATCACAAACCCTTTCATGCAGTACACCAAAACTGGACGCCTGTAAGCCTCATTCTGTCCTTATCGAACCATACATTGAGCCTCCGTTTTGGGAAAAGGAAAGATGACGTTGAATGCACCCTGGCTAGGAGCTCTCGTCCGAAGCTCTCTCCCATTTTTTCCAGTCCGTCGTATTGTGCCTTTCGAGAGCCATGCGATACTGCGAAAAATCAGGCAAGTGTTCAACGCACGTCTTCCTGAAAGCCGAGAAGCGCCCTAGCAGTAGGTTTACCGTGGAATACATAAGATAAGTGGATTTGATTGTATGATCTAAAGAGTTCGTATTTACCTTCCATTTCAGAAACATAGAGATGCTCTTCCGAACCATAGTCACATGATATGCCAAAGCTAATATGAATAACGTCTAAAGTGCGGGTTTCGGGTAATATGTAGACCTTCTGTTATGAGATGATATCATGGTGGGCGTGGTTTATTTTTGAAGCAGCAACAACGCATGAAACTACCGTTTACTCCGCTCTTTACGCGTTTGAAATTGTAACATTCGACGTTGGGACAGAATTTCAAATATTGTATTGACCATAATGGGTTCAGTGCTTCATGTAATTAGGGTTTGAAAGAGCGTCTTTATGTTTCTGACAATGAAAGCGAAAACGGCCACCACTATATTTGTCGTCAAAAATTCAGAGTCTTCAAGAAGTCTAAAGTAGCAGAAGCGCATGTCTCAGGAGTCTCCTGGATGAGTCAGTATCCTGTGCCGGGAATCATCACCGTCCCCTTGAAATATCCCTTCTCAACACTTCCTCCCCCTGTTCCATGGCTTCAATTGCCCGACTTCTTGAACTGATGCAGAGCCACAGTGTCTGGCAATGAAGGTACATGGCATTTGGATTTTGTTTTCCCAAAGAGTCTTAGGTCCGTAGCAACTGGAGGCTGCGTAAAAATGCGGTAGAAATCTGTGGAGGTTGGAGTTCGCTCAGTCTATCGACAGCTCACCTTCTGGAGTCATAATTCCGAATATTCCTGATATCGCGGAATGAAAACCAGGAGGTTTGACATCACCATTGAAGAGAGTTGACATGAGAACGGCACTCCAGAAAAAGTCCGGGCGCATAAAGCGCACGCTGATACCGTCAAAGAGCATATGTCATGGCCAACAATACATTCAACAGAAAAGTACCCCAATGCATGTGCAAGTATGAGCGTATCTTGAATTAGATTCACAGGTCGAAAGCTCTCTGGCCGGAGAGCGGTCTCGGCCGATGATGTAGTCCTTCCATGACCTCTTTTGTCCATCGCAACGGCGTGATACCCAGCTTCAGCTATTTTTGGAAGCACACAGCGCCAGGAATATGCGAACTCCGGAAATTCGCGGGCAATAAGCACTGAATTTGTCGCCGACGATGCGATGGTCGTCTGGACTTCGATTCAAGGATATGGTATCGCAAACCCCAGGGTTCTGTATCTATGTAGCGTTCAGCTATACCATCAGGCAGTGGCAATGGAGGTAATTTATCTGATTGGCTCATCATATTCTAGCAGCTAGGGCAAATAAAGCGGGCTCGGTATACTGCTAGGCTTCGGGGAAGACAATGGATCGGTTGAATGGACTTAGTAAGAAAGACGATTTTTGACAAAACTGACTATCCCTGCGCTTTTATCAATTCAATTCATGCAAGAAAGAGCATGAAGTCATCAGAAACTGGTCGACCTTGATTGAGACGACACCATTGGAACCCAAAGAACCTTCGAAGTGTGGCTAGGCGTTTTAGGGTAGTTAGGTACTGGCCTGACACACCCCAAATGGGCATGTAGGGCCCTGGAGAGATTTCACAACATACGTAACAAAATAAATGTTTGATGAGAGATTCTGGAATTCTAGTGAGATGGAACAAAATCTAAGTGAGAAACCGAGAAAGGAGATATTTGGTTAGTAAAAAACTGTTTGGATTCTGGGAGGCTGGGGGGCTAGTTAGTTGCCTGAACCGCCTAGGTGATGACCCAAAGTGCCAAGCTGATGCTTCAGGCATCATAACAAAATCAACCAAGAGATATTCGGTGTGACTGACACAACTGCTTGTTAGTCGTTCAACTGCCAGATTTATATCACCAACTTTGAATATGACTACCAATAACAGGAATCATCAGTGTAGGCGGAAGAGCTATACAGCCTACGACTCCAAATTAAATAGATGTTGATAGGCAACCAACTGCCATTTCGAGGTGTCTACCTACGCCCACAAAGTGATCCTCAGCACAGTCGGACATCCGCCGATATGAAGTACGAGCTCCATATACGAGCAACGTCAGCAAGTCACGATCATGTTGCTCGATCATTGCATGTGCTCTTTTTCTTCACTCCTGAGGATCCGCACGAAAACGGCACATATCAACGCACCAAGCATGGCACTCCCAAAGCTGAACCACCAGATAGCCCGCAAAGATTCCAAATCCAGCGAATAGCCTCCTGAATTCGTCACTCTTTCGCCCACTGTATCCGCAACAGCGGTGAAAATTGCCGACGATAGATTTTGCATGGTGATGAGCAGACTTCCTGCCGCTCCCTGGAATGACTTCGGCACATTGGAGGTGATGAAGATCGATGCCGCCGCGAAGGAGAGATCCGGGCCAAAGGTGCGCAGGATGATACCAGGGAAGGACAGGGCCCAGTATGACGTGTGAACGGTCTGGGGAAAGAAGAACACCGGCCCAAGACTGAAAGCAATCATGCTGGCAATTAGGATGTAGTGGCCGGGCAGCACATGCAAAGTTCTAGCAGCTAACCATGTGGCAACCGCCCCAGCAACAGAAATCGGTATCAAATAACATGAGACAATGATAGGTGGGCGGTTTTGAATTGTTAGGGAGAACCGCACAGCGTAGAACATCCAAGCCCCGACGTATGCCCCATATCCGAGGAAGTAGGATACGATCAAAGGTAGAAAGCCGGATGTTTTCCAAAGTCGATTGTCAATAAATGGTCGACGTGCTCGACGTTCGACGAAGTAGAAGGCAATGAAAAGTAGCACGCCAACTATGACCAAGGCATAGGTATATGGCATCCAGTTTGTCGGCGCTCCTTGGGTAAGGCCAAAGATCATCACGCCGCACGCGGAGACGCTAACAGCTGCGCCAAGAAAATTGAAGTCTTTGATCGACAATGCCTCTCCCAATGCAACAGATGCGGATGGCCGAAGGCAAGGGACAGCCCAGATTGTTGCAGGCACGCGGAAAAGATATATGAAGGTACTAGAGGCAAAGACCCATTCCAAATTTGCACTGAACGCGCCCTCTTGTAAGGCGCCTATTCCAAAACCCATTGGGATCATGGCTGGCATCGCTGCAAAAACCCTATTCTTCCGTTGACCTGGTCTATAGATACGTCCGAACATACTCATGGCTGTAGACTTAAAGACCCCCACAGCTAGGCCTTGCATAGCGCGCACGAAAAAATATAGCACGATCAGTGATGGCTTAATCGAGAAGACCCCAATCAGATTCCATATAGTGAGCCACACAAAGGCCCCGATTACCAACCATCGTGACTGGGTCAAATCAGCCAAGGATCCAGAGACGACAACCGAGACGCCATTTGCGAGAAGGAATGAGCCGATCAGTCACGGCGACAAATGACCCGCTAGTTCCAAGTGCTGATATTAGGGTGGACTGGCTGGTGAAGCAAAGTGTGTGTTGGCAACATCCTCGCCCTGACGGGGAGTACTCGCCACGACAGATGTGTGGGATAACGATTGACTCGGTAAATGAGAGTCGTTGGAATTGATTCGATCACTGGAACAAAGAACCACATGAGACTGATCGTTGTGCTCCCCTGGCATGTTTGATTGTTTCATCAAGGGCTTGGATGAGGCTCTTCCGTATGGCGGTTAGATAGCGGAGGTGTCGCCTTCTCGCTGGTAGGATTTATGATCAAAGTCCAACTTTATCAGACAAACCCACCACTTTTGCTAAGCGCATACATTTTTGCTTCACTCGAAAATCTTTATACTACCAACACCTCCATGAAGGTCCTTTGGAGGTTTTTTGGAGGTGATAGTCGAACGCCCTCATAATGCCAAGACCTCTACCCTAAAAGAAGCCCTTTGCAACAATAACGCCTTGGGGACACTTGGAGGAAGGCTTGAATGTCGCCGAAGATGAGTTTAGTTAAATATTTTGTTTTAGCTGAAAAACATGGGCTCAGAACCATGATGCATTCATCCATTTGGTCTTTTTGCTTTGCACATAAAAATACCCACCCCCTTCCCGATGCATACCTCGAAATTATTTCGGTGCAAGGCCAATAGTTCACCAATACTCTCTTTTTTATGCCCATAAACCATGAAAATTTCTGCGACGAAGTCACTTCGCAATCAAGTATTCTAATAATATTGAACTTCTCGACTATCTCAAAATACAAGCATTACTAGGCGCAGCCTCCGCAACAAAACTGTATTTGGTGTCCCTTTATCGCTTAAGTGTCTTTGAGAATCGCACCAGGCTTTGCAGGAAACACACAGCCTTCGGGAAAAGGGTTCCGCTTTTTGAAATCGTCGCACACATTTTCCATTGTGACCAATTCAACGCTCTCGTGGCTTTTGAAGTATTCGATCAGTCTGTTCAGCGTTAGCATTGCTTCTGATAATGAGTCAACGTTTCCCCAAGAGACACATACCGCTCGTGCATAAGCAGCACATGAGGTCTACCCGGCGCATCAGGGTGAATTGAGATAGGAAAGACAAATTCGTCATATTCCCGATAGAAGTAATCAAAATGGTCTCTCCAAATATCTTCCACACCACAGGCATTGACAAATCCATGGCTATTTGTGGCCGATTTTATGAACATCATTGGCGGTAGGTCATTTATATACAAATTCCCGGGTATTTCGACGAGTCCAGTCTGCTTGCCCTGGACTAGAGGCTTCATCCATTCTTCCGCCTTTTTAGTGTAATCAATCTTTGTCCATTAATCCCCGTGCGTAGATAATAAGTCTGGCAGTCGTGGTGGCTCAAGCTGTGGTCGTACTCTAGGCCGCAGTCAAGTAGCAACTGAGCGCCCTCTTCGGATGTTTCCCACCTATAAAATGACACGGTAAGTTCTAGAAATTTTTTTTTTTTTTTTTTTTTTTTTTTTTTTTTTACAAAAAAGTAATCAGTGAGGGATCTCTAAGTTTCTTACCATCGAGCAACGCTTCCCCGAGAGGGCTTTCTCACATAATCTGTCAGCAATCGAAAAGTCTTGTCGAGAACGTCGCGCTGTTGCGGGATGGTCATCTCGGCGGGATTTTCATGCGTGTAGCCATGAAGACCAATCTCATGTCCAGAGTCTCGAACTGCTGCCATGTCCTATGGGAATGACTCCAACGTATGTCCGGGGATGAACCACGTGGTCTTGATATCGTACTTGTCGAAGAGCTTCAACATGCGCTGTGTCCCTATTGTGGCACCTCAAATACCTGAATAGACATTGATATTTCTGGTTTCTCTTGCAATGAAATCGGCATATATCACTGACCTCTGCTGATATCATTTGTTGAGTCCTCGCCGCTGTATGACCCGAGCCATCCCGCGACGGCATCGGCGTCCACTCCGTAGGTGATGAAGACACATTTCTTGGGCATTGTCGAGTGGGTTGCTAGGCACGGACAATCTAGGGTTAGCTTGTTAAGAGTAAAAGCAGAAAAACGCTCACGGGTGATGTAGCAGGCGAGGTTTATAGTTTGACAATCCCTTGGAACTGTATTTGCGGAGTGCGGAACAACCCCGGCATGATTATAATGAGTATAATAATTGATTGGCTTTGGCTGGTCCGTTATAGGACCTAGGAGCGACGGCTGCCGTGGTGAAAGTACCGAACTTTCACACCAAAAGCTCTTATCCCGGAATTGGAGTAGCCCGTCACCATCATTGTCGAATATCCGCGGTACACAGAGTTTATTGATAGATAAATTTCCTTTAAGTCACCATTCTTCAACATGGTCTACACGATACAACTCTTACTTGAAAATATTGGGGACTTATCATTATCTCTGCTGGTTGGGCTTATCTTTTGGGTTGGCCTGGAGACGACAGATTCGGATTCGGAGCCAAACTTCAAAGATTATGTCAAAGTTAAGATTCTCCAAACCAATTACAATGATATCGACGCTAGTCTTGCTTAAGGGCTTCGGTAAGCGCCGCTTTTTTCTCTCTCAAAAAGAGTAATAATGACAGGACATACCATCCTTTGCCTCGGGTAATAATACTGATGACAGCAGGTGTCCTACGGAGTATCCTGCGCTCTATACGCTCGGTCCTTTGGAATTATCAATCAAATTACCCTCCAGATTCGTCATGGAACAAAATAGCCAAAATCAAGCTAACATGAATGAGTTTCATTCAAATTATGCGATAGTTGGTGTAGACTGCTGGGTTTTGATGTGGGGGATATCGACCCCCTAATATCGAGCCAAATGATTGACTGGGGTTTTGACCAAGACTTGTTTCCCTCTCCATGCCAAAGAGAACGATATCTCAAACGTGGTCGAGGAAATGAACAAGGTAAAGGAGGTGCTGGAGGATGATCAAGTGACGCTAGGTTGCATTGCTTGTGAGATTCAAGGACAGGCTAGTGAAATATACCACTCCCGAATGTTCCTCGAAAATCTTCGCTCTGAGGTTCGTCGGCTGCGGACTGGACAGCTAATTGAAACCAAGGAAGGCGATCAGTTTGTCACGGGCGTTATAAACCCTTGACTTCCAGTCGACAAACAAGTATTCCAAAACATCAGCAATATTTCTGTGGGGGAATGTAAGGGTTGTGGTATTCAGTAGAGTGGTTAACCGAAATAGTCGACCGAATAAGCGGAAAAAAGCATTCACATCAAAGTCATGTACGATACCGACTACGTGTATTTCAATACAATACTATTCAGGGAATTAAGGGGACCAGAAAAATGCAAAATTGAGTAAGGATTGGCAAGTTTTTCAAAGTAGGGCTAGGAAATGAATGTCAGTGAATAAGTGGTGAAACTGATTTCGATCCATCCTGTAAAGCAGAGGCCACCCAAACAGGGAAATTTTATCCCCACGCAGTTCTAGAGACGGAAGAATTGCCTCGTAGTGTTTCAAGAGGAAAACCCCAGCATAAGGGGCAATCGCTGATGGACCACGAACGCATGTCCCTCTTCTTTTCATTATGAATGGAACAGCTAGCTTTTGTCACCCACAGGGGGTAGTTAAAAGGAGTTGAATCGACATAACTTACAGAAAGTTCGAAGAGTAAAGCGAGCCACTGTAGCGATGTGGGAATATGTCATCTCAAACTGGACTCCCAGGGACACTAGTAGGCAGCGCACTCACCATCGGAGCAGGCGAAGGGCCAGAGAACAAGACGAGGATTGAAGGGGTTTGTCAGGGAAAGCAACGGGGTGAGCAATCAGGTTGCTCAGTGAATAGCTCAAGGTCGCTCAGTGGGCCGCTTAGGGCGGCGGGGTGACTGGCTCACCCTATGATCCGGGAGCCGATTGCAACGCGAAGCAGCAATACTACCATCAACATTATTACTAGGATTATTTTTAGACGTAAATAACCGTCAGTCGTATCAGAGAGAATGTTTTGTATGCTCTCCATAGCTGGTACCTGTACATTGTTACCAACCATGCCTTGGATGTATAATCAACGCTACAAGCAAACGAAGGACATGCAATCAGTGAATTGGACAAATAATTTGCGTCTTGTTTGCTCTGATTGAGGACAAAGAATAAAAGTACCAGTGATATCTTTTGAGATTTTTCTTGCTTAAGAACTGCTTCATCCCAATTGAATGACGACAGTCCCGACAACCCCCAACTCCCACGTTCCCACAGCTTCTCTCTCTGTGTCTCTCTTCGTCCTCTCCATTGTCATCCCATGACTTCTCAGCTCTTCATTTTTATTTCTGTCTAAAGCTCTCATATAGTTTCGTCAACCCCAAGGATGGAGTCGTCAGAAGAACTCGAGCAGTCGTTGTCGTTTATCCCAGAGGTTCAGGTACGGCTGATGAACCTTCACATGGGAAACACCGTTCAGGCCAACCCGGACATAAAGAACTACTGTACTCAGGCTAGAGAGGATGATGCTACCGAGGGTGAAGCATGGACCATGAAGCCAGAGCTCCCATCCTCGGACGAGATCCTCGGAACTGACTTGCTAGAGGATGACGAGGATTGCGTCGAGCTCATGCCAAACCACATCAGTGGGCCGTGGCCATCTAAGGACTCTTACCTTAGAGCCCATTACGAGCTTTTACGAGAAGATGCTGTTGCTCCCCTGAGAGATGCGGTAGCCTATGTGAGAGATGATCCTCAAATGAAGGATACCCCCGCGGTATCTATCTACGAGAAGGTTATTAGCTCCTGACCAGCATACCTAGCTCACATCTAACTGAAATACAACCATAGGTCCATATCACTGGGGTTACTTTTTCGCAGAGAGGCCTGGCTTTCCGCGTTCGATTCTCGACTCATCGCGCCGGCAAAACTATCGTCTGGGAATACTCAAAGCGTTTGATCTCCGGAACCATCGTTGCACTTTCTCCAGCCAATAACTGTTTTCGAAGTGAATGTGTTGTTGGTGTCGTGGCTGCCAGGCCTGTAGAGGGAGTCAAGCAACAGCCACCCGAGGTCGATATTTTCTTTGCCAGACCTGAACAAGCCGACTTCGACCCTCATCAGGAGTGGATTATGGTGGAGGCAAAAACTGGCTACTATGAATCACTAAGGCATACTATGATGGCTCTCCAGAAGATGCGCAAGGAAAGGTTAGTGCTCCCGTGCCAACGTTTTCTAGTACGTTTTTAATGTGAATTAGCTTCCCTCTAGCAAAGTATATATGCTCCTTGGAGCGAAACTTTGAGCCCCCGGAGTACATCGAAGAACGCCCTATTCTCGACCTACATCCAGGTCTCGCTAGATCCGAGGAAGAGGGCAAAGTAGATATCCTCGAGGCCTGGCCCAGGTCCCCAACCGGCGACCTAGATGCAACACAGTGGGCAGCCCTTGAACAAATCCTCACGAAGAAACTGTCGATAATTCAAGGCCCCCCAGGAACTGGAAAAACATTTGTCTCGGTCGTCGCCCTGAGAATTTTGTTGTCGAACATGAAGGAAGGGGATCCGCCTATATTTATTGCAGCCCAAACAAATCATGCGTTGGACCAGCTTCTGACCCACATTTCAAGTTTCGAGACGAACTACATCCGTTTGGGAGCGAGAAGCGGTGATCCCGAAATAAAAAAGCGAACTCTTTTTGCTGTCAGACAGAGGGAGCCTGCTGTTACCATCCAGGGAAGCGTTTTTGGATCGGCTAGGAAAAGGTATCAGAATTTCATCGCGATTATCTCCGAGCTTTTGCAACCGTTTACACAGGAGGATGGCTCTTCACCACTACCATCGTCTCTTTTCCTAAAGCATGAGACTTTGACTCGGGAACAATATGAATCACTTGAGCAAGGTGCCAGTGGGTGGGTTCGTCCTGGGTCGGAGGATGAAGATGTCGATCCGATAGTTGCTTGGATTGGAGATGAAGGAAAGGAATTCCATGTCAAGTATATGAAAGAAAGCTTTGGATTTTCTGAGGATGAGGTGGATCTCGAGTACGAGCAACTGAAAGAATTGGAGGCAGAACAGGGGCTTGATGGAGATGAATATGATGGTCTTAGAGGCCAATACACGGCTATTCACGATGGGTTCCGTGGACGTGGTGTTGGCTCCATCTCTGAAGCGGCGGCCCTCGACTATCTCAAATGCTTTGATATGTGGAAGATTCCGCCTAAAGCACGAGGTGCTGTTTACAACGCCCTCCGAAAACTTACCAAAGAAAAGATCTTGTCCAAGTTTCGCACTCTACTGGCACTGTACAACGCCAATTGTGAAGATTTGCAGATCGGAAAGTGGGAAAGAGACTATACGATTCTTCGAAACGCCAAGGTTATTGGAATGACAGCAACCGGCTTGAGCAAGTACCGAGCGCTCTTGTCGAGTTTGAACCCCAGGACTGTGTTGATAGAAGAAGCTGCCGAAGCCATTGAAGCGCCAATTTCTGTTTCTTGCTTCAACTCCCTTCAGCAGCTGGTCCTTGTCGGCGACCATAAGCAGTTGAGGGGGCATTGCTCTGTTCAAGACCTTGGAGGAGAGCCTTTCTATCTTGATGTGTCGATGTTTGAGCGACTCGTTCAAAATGAAATGAAATACGTGACTCTCAGACGACAGAGACGAATGGCACCAGAGATACGTCGCTTGCTGGGACCTATCTATGGCGAGTTACAGGACCACCCATCAGTGGAGGAACGACCCGAGGTCCCTGGTATGGAGAATTGCAGGTTATTCTTTTTCAATCATAACTGGCCGGAGAACAGCGATAGTCTATCATCGAAGTTCAACGAGATGGAGGCGCAGATGGTGGCAGGCTTCTTCGTCCATCTCGTACTCAATGGTGTCTCGCCCAATAATATCACAGTGCTGACATTCTACAACGGCCAGAGGAAGAGACTGCTAAGATTGTTGAGAGGTCATCGTGATCTCCAGGGATGCTACATAAAAGTTGCCACAGTTGATTCGTACCAGGGTGAGGAGAATGATGTTGTGATTTTGTCTCTTGTAAGAAGTGGTGAAAAGAAAATTGGTTTTCTTGCGACGGAAAACAGAGTCTGTGTGGCACTTTCGCGCGCGAAACAAGGATTCTACATCTTTGGAAACGTGCATGCGCTTAAATCTGTGAGCGATCTCTGGTTTCGAGTAATTTCCATTATGGGCGAGGATGAAGGTGAATCTCGTCGTATCGGGTCCGCCTTGCCCTTGAAATGCTCGACTCACGGCAGGAAGATGCTCATATCAGGTGCGGCTGTTCCTGTATTGTGATTCTTTGAGGAGCTTACTAACCGACGACAGAGCCTTCTGACTGGGAAAAGAGAAACGGTGGCTGCGATTGGAGCTGCAACGGAACCCTGCCTTGCGGACACAAATGTACCCTAAAATGCCACAGGTGAGACATCTCGATATACCGATTGCCCATATGCTAATACCTGTATGCCATTAGCTTCTCCCACAACGAAGTCCTTTGCAAGCGAATTTGCGACAAGATCATGTGCTGCGGACACATCTGTGACAAGGCTTGCTCGAACACTCACATTTGCGTTTGCTCATGTAAGATGGCCGTTGACGCCGCCGCCGCCGCCGCGATAATGGAAGGAAACTTGATTTCTAAGCCTGTTCCTGAGCCTACTCCCCAGCCAGCTCTTGTACCCGTTGTCAAACCAAAGGTATCGGAGGAAGAGCTTAGGCGTCAGAGACTGGTTAGCGAATACCACGCCTACGCAAATGGTGGAGCCCAGGAACATGATACGATTCTTGCGAAAGCATCTACAAAGCAGCGGAGCAAGAAGCAGAAGGCCTGTAAAGTCGCTATTGGAGACTTGCTTGGGGATAACACACCTGAGACCATGAATTACTTAAAGTCTGACAACAAAGAGAATGTTAAACCTCACGAAAATGGGGTTGGTGAGCACGAGATGCGAGGATCAAACTCAACGCCACAATGGAGTCTTTTGGACTGAGATCGTGCACGAAAGATTGTAACGGGATTTGTCCGTGTTATAGGCTGTTGCCAAATATTCTACCCTCATCTACCTGTGTTGCATTTATTGTTCTCAGACTGTCGACCATATATTTATGTATCTTTATTGGCATAAGAATAACCACTGGTATTGTACAGTTATCAACCACTATTGATTTTAGATGAAGCTTTGCGGGGCCGCGGTGCCACCGAGAACCCAAAAAAAATTGGACGAAGTGGGTGCCTTTTCCGGTCTCACTCCCCCCTCCCCCCGAGCAGCAGTACTATATGTCTTGCTCAGCTGTTATCCTCTCAAACTCAGCTTGTGCATGATCCCACACCCTCTCGATCATCCCTTCCTTCCGATACCCTTCCAGCAGATCTACAACATCCTGTCCAGCCTCTGTTCCATCATAATCGAGCGAATACACCCCACTCCCAGGCTTCCCATCCACACCCTTAGCAACACTCAAACCCTCCGCCAACTCAATCCCATCCCTCTCGCCCCCATCATCTCGACCGGGAAATGCACCACTAGTCGCGTGAAAAACATTCCTCTCCCCACTCTCCTGAACCGGTACCAGAATCCATCTCCCAGCCAATGCAATAAAGCACCGCATCACAAGCCCCACTGGACCTGGCACGTGGTCAAAAAGAGCCGTCTGTACTGCACCAGGGGATATCTGTAAGAAACTCACGCCTGGTGCTCTGGCAGAGAGGGCTTCATGGCCGAGAGTGATCAGAGTGGTTAGATGGCCGCGGATTGCATACAGAGGTGTGGTCAGGGCTTGCATATCGGAGGGGTAGAGAGTCCCTTCTTTGGTTCCGCCGGCGATGTTTATCACCCGAGAGAGATGACCTGTAGAGCGGGAGCGGTTGAGAAGGGGGAGGAGGAGTTGGGTAATGCGCAGGCGTGTATAGAAGGCTAGTGCCGTGAGGGCATGTAGTCCTTCGGATGTTTCTAAAGTTGACAAGACAAAATCAGCCAGAAGGTCAGTGATCAAAGGATAGCTGATGGCAAAAACATACTTCTACGGTCAAATATAGCAGCCCCAGCTGATAAAAAGAGGACGTTGACGGTATCTTCCAAGCTCTTGATTTTTTCACATAACCTATCAGCCCCGCTAACTAGACTGACATCTTCCTGAATGAAAACGATACAAACATCGGGGTTTAATGATTTACACTCTTCGATGATGCGAGTTGCAGCTTGCTCTGATCTTCCAACAAGATAACATTTTGAGTTCTTTGATTTTCTGACAAATTCCTTCAAGGCAGCTTCACCAATGCCGCTTGTTGCGCCGACAAAGACAGCAACCAGATTGGGTAGTGATGCTGCGATGGTGTCGTTGGATAAATGGACTTGTGAAAGTGTGACCATAGTGCAAGTAATAAAAGTATTTGACCAAGACTAGTAGTTGTACTAAGCTACTAGAGATATATATATGAGTACATCATCGGATTTCGAATTACCGGTCGGGACGGCTTGATTCCGTTAGTCTGGTCCGGGGAAGGTAGATCCGATACCCAAAAGCGGCAAATATATGTTAGTGATGTGCATAGTCATAGACACCTACTCTTTCCTTATCAAACGGCCTTTTGAATCTTTGTCGCTATTTGTATCAACTATGTGCGTATACTGTACAGGGGTAGAGACCCTTAATCTAGCCCAATGCAGCTAGTTTCCGCAGTGGATGCAGCGCGAGTTATAAGCTTGGATTCTATCTCCATGTGATAGTATTCTCCTGCTACTAATACTCCAGAGTAAAGCGCTTGAGACTTGCTATATTCATATTCATTCAACCGGATCCATCGGCATGAATGGAGCAGCAATCAGGGTACCTCCACAAATCACTACAAAAACGCGGGGCAACCCGTTGGAGTCGAGATTCGGAGCAATTGGGGTAATGTTCGTTGGAGTAGGTATAACTATGCCGAGCAGTTCAGCCGAGAATTATCAGAAAATATGATAAACATTCAATCATGTCCGGAACATAGCCCAATACTATATGATAGACTAAGCTAGCTCTTTTCTAGGACTGCGCCTGGTTTCGCTGGCAGGACCGCTCCCGCGGCGGGAGCAACTCGTTTCTTGAAATCATCCGACAGCTGCTCCATGGTGACGAACTCTACACCATCGTGCTTTTTAAAGTGCTCAATGAGCCTAGCCATGTCAGATCAAGATCAATGATAACATACTCGAAGAAACATACCTCTCATGCATCAAAACCACATGTGGTCTCCCACTAACGTCCGGATGAATCGTAATCGGAAAGATAAACTCATCATACTCCCGATAGAAATAATCAAAATGATCCCTCCAAATATCCTCAATATCTCTCGCATTCATAAACCCATGACTATTCGACGAACCCTTGATGAACATCATCGGCGGCAGATCGTCAATGTACCAGTTCGCCGGGATCTCCACGAGACCTGTCTCTTCGCCATTGACCATGGGCTTCATCCACTCGTGTGCCGTTTTGCTATAGTCAATTTTGGTCCATGTGTCGCCCGTGCGCAGGTAGTAGGGCTGGCAGTCCTCGTGAGACATGCTGTGGTCGTATTCGATGCCGTAGTCGAGGAGGAGTTGGGCGCCTTCTTTGCTTGTTTCCCACCTGTATCCATGTCAGCACAATACCAACATTCGTATGATTGGGAAATAAGGTCTACCATGGCGCAACACTGCCTCGCGGCGGCTTGCCCACAAACTCAGTCAACATCTTGTATGTCTTATCAAGGACGTCCCGTTGCTGCTCGATTGTCATGTCCTTGGGGTTCTCGTGGGAGTATCCGTGAAGTCCAATTTCGTGTCCTGCGTCGCGAACAGCGGCCATTTCCTTGGGGAAAGTCTCCAACGAGTGTCCTGGGATGAACCAGGTCGCTTTGATGTCGTACTTGTCAAAGAACTTGAGTACTCGCTGGGTTCCCACGGTGGCTGCCCAGACGCCTGTTGGTGGACGGATATGATGTTAGAACATTGCATCCCTTCGCTAAATAAGGGAGAAACTGAAGTGCATACCGCGACTAATATCACTGGTCGAGTCTTCACCACCGTACGAGCCCAGCCATCCCGCAACGGCATCAACGTCAACGCCGTATGTGACAAGAACGCGCTTCTTTCCCATTATTGAGCAATTTGTGATTTGAGTGAGCCGTGACTTGTCCAAAACAGTCTGTATATTGAAGAATTGAAAGAAGGAAACTATCGGTTGACTTTTAAGTCAGTGTCGAAGGTGGGGGAATCCGCGCGATGACCCCTCATCTACTGATTCGGTTATCATGAGCTCTTATCTACAACAACATTATAGTCCATCTTATCCAATCCCCGATATCAGGATTATGACAAACTGACCAATATGGAAAGGAATAACAATAACCCCATTGTTGGCATTTATGGAGTTCCCATTACCCCAACAGATAATCATGGTAATTGGAGAACGGCCGAGCAGAGCCCGATGGAGAACCGGATGTTACCGTTGCCAGGTTTCTCTTATATAAAAGAAATGGAATCGAAGATTGTATAAATTATCCTTTGGTCTCTCGGGAATATGGGGAAATGATAAAAAGTTGGATTACCGGCCGAGTTCAACACCTTCAAAGCGGGCCGCCATGTCTGTCTTGTTTACTTCCATATCACCGCAAGTGACATCATATGGGAATCTAGAATTGAACTATCGACTGATAGAAATGTCGATTTAGGGATAACCCGGTGAAGAAAACCGATGCGCACGAACTTCTAGAGAAAGTGGGCATCTCAATTGACCCCAGCGAGGAAGATGACTTCCAGATGCTCCTGGCAGCAGTGCACGACTGCGCAGAGACGGTCGCGGATATGCCAGATTACCAGCCAAAACCAGACTTCGATAGGTATCCACGCCAGAATATGCGACGTCCATCGGAAGAAGAGCAGGCGCTAGGAAACGCGTGGGTACACAAGTTCCTAATCAAGGGAACCCCAGAGGGAGGATCTCTCACGGGTAAAACCGTCAGCCTGAAAGATGTGATTGCAGTTGCTGGGGTGCCCCAATTCCAAGGGAGCGATGTGATTTCATCCTGGACGCCGAACACAGACGCAACTGTTGTGACGCGGGTGCTCGATGCAGGCGCTGATATCGTGGGCACCACGGCGTGTGAGAACTTGTGCCATTCGACATCGTCATTTACGAGTGCGCAGGGCATTGTGGACAATCCATATGCTGCTGGGTATTCTGCTGGTGGAAGTACCTCTGGTGGTGCGGCTTTGGTTGCCGCTGGGTTAGTGGATATCACCATTGGTGGTGACCAGGCGGGGAGTATCAGAGTACCTTCAGCGCTGAGTGGATGTATGTGACCTGCTACCAAGAGCCAGTGATAAGATTACTAATGGTATACTAGGCGTTGGACTCAAGCCCACCTTCGGCTTAGTACCATATAGCGGGATTGCGAGTGGTGATGCTATGGACGACCACGCAGGACCGCTCGCCAGAACAGTTCTGGATATTGCACTCTGCCTAGATGCGATCAGCGGTTATGATGGTATTGATGATAGGTCATTGGGAAGTCCAAAGCATGGCTCCGCCACTTATGCTGCTACTCTTCAAGCAGCACCCACAAAACTCGAAGGGTTCAAAGTCGGGATTTTGATAGAGGGATTTGGGCACAGTATCGTGGACCCTACAGTCAGGTCGACTGTAATGGGTGCCGCACGCAAATTTGAAGACCTAGGAGCGACTGTCGAAGATATTTCGCTCCCCGATCACTTGAACGGACCCGCCGTCTGGACCATTCAGTCCAGAGTTGCAGGCTCAATGAATCTCCTCGGACAAGCGCATGGAAGAAGAGGCCTTGGTTTGACAGAAATGGAGCGCAAAAGACTCCCCTGGACGATAGAAAGTTTTCAACGAGCGTTCCCAACGACCCAGAACGTGATGATCAACGGCCTTTATCTTATGTCTCGATTCCCGGAACTTTATGCCAAGGCAAACAACATCGGCCGGAAACTTCGCGACTTGTACGAAGAGATTTTTGAGAAGTATGATGTTGTGGTCATGCCTACAACGCCTATTGTTGCGCCGAAACATGGTACGCGTGGCTTTCCCATGGAGTCGATTAAGCCTAGTATGGGGCTTACGATAAACACGGCGGTCTTTAATCTCACTGGCCATCCTGCAATGTCTATTCCAGTGGGATTTGCCCGGCTAAGGACGATGAAAAGGTACTCTTACCCGTGGGGATGGAAATTGTTGGAGGGTTGTGGCAAGAATCGAAGGTCCTGAGGGCTGGTCATTCGTGGGAAACTCATTTCAATTGGAAAGAGATGGCGTCGAACGAGCAGGACTAATAGTAAAATTTCGAGAACGAAGTGTATATGTGTATATGGTTCTAGGCAAAGATATACCCCATCAAAGGAAGACTAATTGATGACATACCCTCCATCCACAACAAGGGCATGACCTTGAACAAACGACGCCTGCGTAGAGCAGAGAAATAGAATAGAATCAGCAATTTCAGCCGGCTTTCCCATCCTCTTCATCGGAGCGATTTCTACAGCCGGTCTGAATCTCTCGCGCAACTCCTCAGACTGTACAGTCATGGGAGTCTCAACAAGACCCGGACAGACACAGTTAACTCTTATTCCGTCCTTGGAATAATCGATCGCATCCGAGCGGGTCATGCCAATCACGGCAGCCTTGGAACCACAGTACGCAGCTGAGGGGAAGCAAACAGAGTTTAGAGATCCGGATGCAGTAAGATATATTGAGGGGGCGAATGATGACTTACAAGCCTCCGGACGTCCGACTATTCCGAGCTGACTTGCGACGTTGACAATGGATCCGCGTTGAGGTCCACGATCTGGATCATGGCTGGGTAATGGATCTTGCTTAAGCATGTGTTTTAGTTCTGCTCGAGAGCAAAGCCAGCAGCCTTTGTAGTTGACGCCGTTGATGCGGTCGAAGGATTCGGATGTTGATTCTGTGGAGCGTTGGCCTCCTCCTAGGACTCCGGCACAGTTGACGGCATAATCGATGCGTTTGAATGCGTCTATGACTTCTTGCATATAAGACTCGACAAATGTCTCATCCGCGATGTTCCCAGGCCTTATCAGCAGCTGGGTTTCGGGATAGGCGGAGGCGATTGCGTCCCGAGTTTGTTCTAATGAAACTTCATTGATATCAGTGATAGCAATCTGCTTGCATCCGGCAGCAGCGAATGCTTTGACCGTGGCTGCACCGATTCCTAGTCATATTCAGCAGAGCTCTACGTGTTGCATAGAAGTATACAGACCTGTCCCTCCAGCTCCCGTCACGACAGCAACACCAGGAAACAGAGTATTTGACATTTCGTAACGTCGTATCTCAGTCCGATCCGCAACCTAATCAGAGAACCCGCGAACTTTGGCGGATTCTCGAACAATTAGTATAACTAGTTATCTCGATCGATAACATCATCAGTCCGTTGTTGGAGACGGTGGGGCGAGTGACCAGCCCCTAATAAATGGCACTATTCCGTCTTCGGCCCCGACCGGTTGGAGTGCTTCCACTTTCTCCCACATATTCCCTCTTGTTCAACGGCCATCTCCAAAGAGTGGGGGAAAAAGCAATTTCTCTGGTGTTATACACTTATATTGGCGCTCTCCAATGCCTTGATGCTGCCGCAGTCTTCCCATAGTCCCCGCGGGGCTCGCCGCTCCAGCGTCGGAGCAAAACCTCGTGTTTGCGTGCACTGCGGTCGCTCCTTTCGGAGGACAGAGCATCTGGAGCGTCACGTTCGCACTCGTATGCTGCATTATGTGCCCTAGTGGATGCCTTGGCTGATTGATCCTAGATACCAAGGAAAAGCCGTTTACTTGTTTCTGCGGTGCTGCATTCACGCGGCGGGATTTGCTGAAACGGCATACTCGGATTGCGCATGAGGAGAACAACCCTCCGAATACAGGCGGTCTTATCTCACCCAATTCACAGGCAGATCACGAAGAGAACCCCGTCATCCAGCAACGGCCCTCGTATGACGCACCGCCAGCGCCCAGAGCGAACGTGCCGATTCCTGTCACATCTCCGGCGGTCGCACAATGGCCGGGACCATCGCAGCATGGGACGTACATACCGCAGAGTCAGCCAATTATGAACCCGGATGCTACTCATGCAGCGTTGGGTGCACAACCTGCGGTCACGCATGATGCGGAGATTCTAGAAGCCGCGCAGTTGCTTCTTCCCGGTGGCTATCGGGGTCCTCCACCGCCTGCGCAACCAATGCCGTACTTCCCAGAGGAGCTCAATCATTTTCAAGAGTTTACGCACTTCTTGGACTCGATTGGGTTGCCGGCAGAGTGGCTTCCGACGACGACGGACATAACCCCACCGATCCACAGCGCTGTTCTCAATGATGCTGCCATTCGTGAGCAGCCAAGTTCTTCTCGTAAAGTATCGCGCGGTGATTCTCCGTTTAGGTCCTGGTTGCCATCAGTGCCCCCGGGAGATCAGAGCTTGGGGTCAATTTCCGATTATGGTATGTTGGATACTTTCCAGTGGAGAATGTGCGGCATCTAATAATTTGTAGAACCTCCCCAAGAATCCAGAAATTTCTCGCCATTGAAAGTGACCGAAGAACAAAGACAACGCCTCGCGTTCTCGTTGGAAGAGTTCCGGAACGTCATTCCGGATTTCGTCCTACCGTCCAGGCATACATTATCGAGATACCTGTCATCCTTTTTTCAAGGGTTTCACACACATCTTCCGTTCATGCATGCTTCAACACTGCGGATCAATGACCATGCTCCTGAGTTGATCTTGGGGATATGTACTGTTGGAGCCCAGTATCGACAGGAACACCGCAATGCTGAAAGACTATTCTACACTGGACGCACTGTCTTGCTCGAGAGAATGTCCCGAGAGCCACACGTTCCTCTTACAGGATACAGCAATATCACCGTACAGGCTCCGATTTCACACTCATTTCACAGTCCCGAAGGCATCCTACCGCCAGAGGCCGCAGTAGGAGCCAGTGCGTGGAGGCAGATCGAAAGCATCCGAACATTGCTTGTTCTCATGGCGTATGCCTCATGGGAGCCAAAGCAGGAGCTCATACAGGAAGCTTTTAGCTTACAAAGTATGCTTGTACGAAGCCTCCGCGACTTTGGATTAGCAGAAAATGTGACTGTTGTTCCAAGACATACCCCTTTGCAGTGGCACGAGTGGGCGGAAGAGGAATCCATCCGAAGGACGAGGATCATATCCTTCTGCTTCGTTCATATACACAGCATAGCATACAACGTCTATCCAACGCTTCGGAGTAGTGAGATTCACCTACGCCTGCCGTGTGCTACTAAAGAGTGGAAGGCAACCACTGCAAGCGAATGGGAGGCTACTCAGAAAGAACCTAGTTCTCCACCACTGTTCTTTCAGGAAGCGCTCGCTATTCTTCTACAGCCATCACGAACAACCATCGTTCCTGACCCGATCCCTACGCCGTTGGGTAATTATATTCTTCTTCATGGTCTTCTTCAAAGAATCCACCTTGTCAGCGAGCTTTCTCTTCCAACGGGGAATCAGGCTTCATCACTGCCAACGGAAGAATTGAATAGACTCGAGTAAGTTTCCCCTATTTACTCAGTTGGTAGATGCTAAGACCTCTTAGGAGAGCACTCCGTGCATGGACATCAGCATGGCAGCAAGCCCCAGAGTCAAGCCTTGACCCTCACAACGAAAACGGCCCCATTCCATTCACATCGAGTGCACTACTGGGCATGGCCTACGTCCGACTTTCTCTTAACCTAGGTCCATATCGACAGTTAGAAACAAGAGACCCGTATCTGATTGCTGCGACGTTACACAGGTCTCCGCGCCCTGGACGAAACTACCGTCTAACACCCGCACTTATCTACTCAGCTCATGCATTGAGCATACCCGTGCGGCTTGGTATAGACCATGTCGCCCGCAGCCAGGCTTTCTTCTGGAGTGTCCGACACTCGATTGCTGGTTTCGAATGCGCGATTCTACTGAGTAAATGGCTATTTTCTCTAGCAGAGCCAGGAAATGGACAAAACTTGAGTGGTATGATTCATCAACCTTCACATCTGTGACTGTACTAACCTTAATTCTGTACAGAGAACGAAAGCCGTATTCTCCACTGGACCCGCCGTATCGTACAAGAAGCATATGATTCCATGGACACGGAAGACGATGACGTCCTCCCGAACCTGGAACCCACGACCCTTGCCTTAGCAGTCATCAAAATATGGTCTCGTCTGTTCCGGAAGAATACGCAATGGCCATTTATCAATCTTCTCGGGGAAAGCTTGAAGCAGTATTTGGCTATGCTTCCGGGCTGATTTTGTGCGTATACTCGATTGGACTGTCGTTGAATCAATTTTCTTTAATGTACTGCTGGCACGAATCCCACCCGTGAAGCTTGTTGAACTTGATTCAAGGGTCAGTTTCCCAAAACGGCCATTCAGCAACTGGAAGATGCGCCATAGATGCTGCTCTTATCCTACCAACCGCTTCGGGCAGAGCTGAGAACGCCGGCATCAACACATACGTGCTTTGTGGCTAAGTGGATACGCTCTTGGGAGTTGCTTAATCGGAGACCAGAATTCTACGGTTAGTGGTCACTGTCTAGGACAAGGAAGCGAAAGCATAGTCTCTTAGACCACCAACTACCTCCAGTAAATAGATTAGTCACCCGTTTCGATAATCTGAAATATGAAGAATAAACAATTTAAAAATTCTGTATACTGATTGTGTTACCAAAATTGATGGACTGACTTGATGGCTGGTCTTTTCTAAAGTCATTGAATCATATGCTTTCACATATCGGAATTCAACGTAAAGCTTTTAGCCACAATCATTAATTATAACAAATAACACAATAAAAACCATTCATTAAACTAGAGTTATTAACAGATAGTAACAAATTACATATTATCATCAAGTATACATGTCCTCGTTCAGATCCATGCCCATCGGGAAACAGGGTTTCAATGTAAGCATGCATTGAGAACTGGATGTTTGACAGCAGCGTGAGAGCTTGCCATAATCCCTGGAGCACGCTTAGGAGCTCGAAGGGCTAGCAGAGCTAGAAGCCGGGGTGCTCGACGAACCACCTGCACCACCGGCACCACCGACACCACCACCGCTAGACGAAGCAGCAGCGCCGCTGGAAGAGGTGAAGCCAGGAACAGAAGTACTAGAAGCAGGAGTGGAAAGCGAGCCACTGAAGACACCGCTAGCGAAAGGACCGCTGGGCTTCGCGCTCGAAGTAGCAGCAACGAGAGAGCTACTAGCAGACGGCGCAACCAGCGTCGCACCCAAGTTACCAATAACGACAGCCTGGCCACCGGGACCAGAAGGAGCACGCGCACACGCGTGGATGTACTGGCCCAGCTGGCCAGGGCGGTTACCAGACTTGAGGACGTGGTCGGGGGTGTACGCGGGGACCAAGGAGGTGCTGTTGCCCGGGAAAACGGTGGAGTTGGAGCCCGTGTAGCCGCCCAGCCACGCAGCATGGGCGCTGTGCTCACTCGCGAGACGGGCGAAGAGGAAGGCCAACTCGGGCTTCTGGGTGTAGGCCGCCAGGCCGATAAAGGCACCCGAGACGTCGGCTTCAAGCTTTGCGGCGTTCTGGATGTATGAAATGCCGCTGGAAACGCGGGGGAAAGTGAATTCACAGCCTGGGGTCTCGAAGCCGGGCACCTTGGAGCCGACCTGTTGGACGGCGGAAAGGCCCAGGCGGTTCTGCTGCTGCAAGCCTTGGAGGTTGGAGTAGCTGGAAGGAGAGCCACCGGGGAGGCTGGAGATGAAGCTCTGGTCGATTTGAACGGAGGAATAGAAGCGCTCGATAAAGACCTGGAGGTACCAGGCGAACTGCACGATAGTGTTGTCGCTAGAGCTAACGGAAGTCGAGCATTGGTCTTGGGCCACCGTGGTGGTGACTCCAATGAGGAGCAGGCTGGCGAGGGTGGAAAGGAAGCGCATTTTGCTCGTATTTTTTCTTTTTTCGTTCAACGAATGGACAGTTTGAAGCGATTAATTTCTGGCTGGTTAGATAAAAGAGAACAGAGTTAGAAATCCTGAACTTGGAGCCCATTTATATGCAGCCATGCCGACTATCGCGGCACTGTCCGCACTCGGATGCAACCATATGCATACTCTAACACCAGAACCTTGTTATCGGGAATCTTGCATCATCACCTGCGACAACTATTTTGGTAGAAAGTTTATTCTGACCTTGACCCCGTCATGCATTTATTTATGAACACTTCATGCTCGATGCATTCCGTGTCCTCCGTACTGGTCAGCAGGCAAAGATTTTTCTCCCTCGGGCTTTACAGTTTGGCGGTCCCACGGGGTTCATATGAGGTCATTGGATAATTCGTGCCAGGTTATCGGGTGTATGATCTCATTTCCGAATCGCTTAGGTGAGCAAGTGAGGATGGTGAACCGCGTACATCTACACCAGACACGTAATGAATGACTAAAGAATCCCCTGCTTTACCACACTCCTGAACCTGCCTTTCTAACCGTCGTGCGGTGGACTCGCTGACTTTTCTATCTGATTCAATTCCCGACGGTTTGGGCAGATCTTGATGTGCCGCGGCTACCACCACCAATCGGCAAATGTATGTCATACACCGAGGTTGATTGGCTGTGATACAGGTGCCAAGCCGCTAAAATAACCTTATTTTGTCGCATGGAAGTCGGATCGACTTACCTTATTTGGAGGGTCTCATTGACAATTTATTCAGGACATATCCAACCATAAGGGAAATAAAAGCCACGGCAGGATCCGTAACTAGTACATATTAGTCATTTGTCTCATAGACTCAACTAGGAATACTCGCCGGAGATTGCCGGATACTACACGGCATACACCCGGACACTCCGAACGTCAGCAAAAACACTTCTTGTACTTGTCGACACTACTATCATGGAACCATCCAGTTCCAACTATTGGTTGCCATATTTTCTCTCTCGTTGTTATGAATCAGTAACGTCGGTACCAAGTCTGCCCTGGCCTGGCAGCCACGCAAGCCCGGACCGCTTCCGCACATTGCCCTCTTGATCTTACTTTATCCGGCTATCAAAGTGTCAGGACTTGTTGACGAGAGATTCTATTGGCTATGGGCTCGGTGGCTGTGAAGTCCTTTTCACTATATGCTTGGACGCTTCTTTAGAAAAACTCAAAGGGTTACATGGAATGGGCGAGCGGAAGATGTAGCCGAGATGGTTGGAATTTTTGCAATTGATTGAGAGTTCCCAAGAATAAAGCTAGTTACCCTGTGCCAGCTACACTGCATGAACTCATATGGTCATAAAGGTAAGATGCACTGCCACACATGGATTGTCATCGGGTACAGGGATTTGAGAGTCGACTTCATCACGCAAACGAAATAGTACCATAATGTCCATGGCGAGCGGAAATGACATGAGGGCAAATAAATCATGAGAGTCGCGAGAGGAATGCTACAGCACCAGATTGTCCGTCCGGTTGCTCTTCAAATTAAAATTAAAATCTCCCCTCAAAGCGACATTTCCAGAACAGCAGCGGAGCCCCAGAATTTGTCTTGTGGTGGCTATAGTTTCAGTCGGTAGGTATAACCTTTTGAAACTGTGGCAAGTGAATGCATGACTTGAATGGGTGATATACTTTTATGGAGTAATAATTAAGCATATTCTAGAAACATTTATCTGTGGACACCTCGCGCTGCAGGATGATGCTTGCACCCCATGATTAAGACCATAAAGAGCTATGGCAGGTTGAGTCGTCCCCATTCGCCAAATCCAAGTCAATGCTCATTCTCTCGCGTCCTCGTATTGCAAAATTTATGACGATGCATCATCTGAAAGTATGGCAGTAGCGGGGACTTAGAATGTAGCTTATATATCTCCCCAGGATGCTTTCCATCTTCAGGCAAACGACTTCAGCTTATCCGATCTCAATTTTGTTCACATTCATCAAGACTTAGGTAATGGAAATGAGGCTATGTAGTTGGAAGTCTGCTGGAAGCGTATGAAAGTGATATTGGTTTTCTTCACGGCGAGTCACTTTGAGTATTGCGGGAGTTCTGTCATTTCTGAAGCTCGTCACCTACACGGTGATCCATGGCAGGCAGTAACTTCTTTCTGTGGCCTTTTCCGTATTCTGTTATGATGGTTTCCATGGTGAGTATATATACCATGAGGACTGTCGCGTCAAAAGAAATATCTAAACGTAGTACCAACGCCAGCATATTAGCCTCTATTCTTCCGAGGAAACCAACCCAGTTCACTACGAACAGCCCAAAGACAACCATATTCCATGGGCCGTAAGTTTGCAGCACATCTAAGGGCTACAACGCGCTGCTTGACGCTATACGAACATTGCGTTCTAGCCAATGCAAGAGACTCACACGCTCATCGGGTAGATCAGTTAAAAGCAAACGATACGATGTGGTCAAGGACAAAACGAATTATCGAAGAATAAGGAATAGAGCAAGCTGTGTTCACTATCGTTTTATCAGGCGTAGCGCAGAAATCTGTCTGTCCGGGACATAAGAGCTTTGCTGAAAATTTTAGGTGCCACGAAATTCCTGGGGATTTTGTTGATCAATATAGTAGCTTTCCTGATATGGATTCATATACAAGAGATTATATAGAGTGAGCAAATCAAGAATATAAAGACATAGCAAAGTATCAGGTAGAGGATGAAGTATAAAGAAGGGTGGGAAGGAAAGAAGACATGTTCACCAAAGGACTTCAGCTGGAGTGAAAAACCTAGAAAAAGTTCTCTTCACCACCAGAACTCATATTATCATTACATTTTCCTACGGAATACTCCGATGCAAGTATCCAGAATTGATAGCTCACATTTACAGCTGAATAGGGCTATTCCTTTGTCTACTTAAGACGTGCTTACAAATGAGACTCAATTATTCATATCCAACATCGATACATCCAGTCAGATAAAACAGAAACATAAGACATTGAACAAAGACATTAAGGAAGTTGACACCAGTCAGTCAGTCAGCCAATCTTTCAACCAGTGTTCCTTCCATTCATGAATTCAAGATTCCAACCCGTCCGTCTACTATCATATCAGCAACTATCTTACCGCCACCAATGATGCAAACTACTCACCTGGATTTCGCAGCTTGCATTAAGGTGTTTAGATACCGACGCCAACGCCGACACCGGCACCACCGCCGACGCCACCGCCAACGCTAGCATCGAGATCAACACCGCCGCTGACACCACCGCCAACGCCAGCACCTGCGCCAGCAGCAGCAGCGGGAGCAGAACCGACGATCAGGGTGGGAGCGGCCATAGCGGTGATGGCGAAGAGGAAGGTGGAGAGGACGGCGAATTGCATTCTGTAGCGGTAGCGGTTAGTATGCAAATCTGTTGATTCGTAGAAAGGACCGTACTTGATTGAATGAGCGTTGATACTAAGTACTAACAGTAAAGTGTGTTTTAATGAGAGACGTAAAGAACGAATGAAGAGTGTATGAAGAACGAGTGACTTGTTGATGAGGATGATAGATAAAAACGCTGGTTACCATCGACCTTTTTATACCCCATTTCCGAGCTCAAAGCTCAGGGACCATCACCAAAAATAAAACCAATTGAAACTACTAGCTCGCCTAAACATCTGATGCCATTATTTTGGCACCCCGAGTTCCACGCTGAGACGGATCGCCGGTGTCTGCCGAGGACCCCGAATGGCCTGGAAAAATAGTCTTCCAGAAAATGTGCGAACAGGCGTTCGAAATTTAGATCCGAATGTGGAGAATATTATATTAAAGAATATAGGATTAATATATGGCAGCTCGTTTTTGAGAACAGTTAGTGGTTTGATCCTGAAACGAGACCCCCGGAGTATGCTAACCGAGACCTAAAAATGGGAACCAACCGGGGTGCGAGTCGATTCGAAACAGACCGAGGAATAACTCAGTTATCAGGGAGTTTTTCCGTGGATAATTGACATTAATAGACGAGTCGAATTTAATATGGACGAATTTGTGGTCGGTTTATTTCCGGGGTGCTTAATATTTGCGTGGTATTTTTGTATACATAGAAAAGTAGTCTTGCTGAGCGGTTCTCGATCCTCTATGTTGGTATATATAGAGATGCTATTCTGCTTCAGGTAATGTCAAAGAATGTGCAAGAGACCAAGTCAGAAGTTCGAACCTAGTAGTACAAGAAATCCACAAAAATTCTAACATTAATGCATGCCATAAAAATATACACATGAACATCTGAAATCATAACATCAGTATTTTTTTATACCTCGCATAAACCACAAATAAAAGATTACTAGTAAGAATAAGAAACCGGAATTAGTCAGTCAACATGAATCCTTAGCAAAAGCAATCAAGAATCATCAACCAGCCGCTTGTGTTCCCACGCCCTCTTCGCACCCTCCACCAAACCATCCATATTCCCACTGTTCTGACACATACTCTGGAAGAGTCCGTCTTCCTTGGTAATGAGTGTCCACGGGTGGTCGTACTCAATCACCTTTCCATGATCCAACACCAGGACCTTGTCGTAGTCAATGATGGTCTGGAGTCTGTGTGCGATCGTGATAATGGTGCTGTCTCGCAGTTCGCGGAGCGTCTCCTGGATCTTGGCGTCTGTGCTGTAGTCGATGGACGCCGTCGCTTCGTCCATCATGAGGACGCGGGAGTTTTTGAGGAGTGCACGGGCCAGGCAGAGGAGCTGGCGCTGCCCCTGTGACAGGTTGGAACCAGACTCTGACACCGGGCTTTCCAAGTTGTGAAATATGTTCTTGTTGTCGGCAGTACTGGTTTCCTGTGGGCCGTTCGAGGGCGCCACTGTGGATGAAGCGGTGCTGGCGGTTTGCGTAGTCAACGGGGTCACTGAGCCAGACGTACTGGAGCTAATCAGGTGCACACGACGGAGCGCCGTAAAGACTTGCTCATCAGTGAACAGACCAAACGGATCGAGGTTGCTCCGAATAGTTCCAGTGAAAAGAGTTGGGTCTTGTGGGACAATGGTGATGGCCTCGCGCAGGTCTCGCAAGCCAATGGCACCCGTATCAACACCGTCAATGACAATCCGTCCTTTCTCTGCCTCGAGACCGCGGAAGAGTGCCAATGCCAGAGAACTCTTTCCAGCTCCGGTGCGACCCACAATGCCGACCTTCTCACCCGGTCGCACTGAGAACGACACATCACGCAAAACGGGTTCGAGATCAGGACGGTACCGCGTGGTGTACTCGGAGAATTCCACAGCACCCTTGTCTGGCCAGTTCGCTGGAGGTCTTGACTCAGCAAGGATCGCATCCGCTTCTTGGTCAACATCGAGGTACTCCTTCACTCGCTCGACCGAGTTCATGCTCTGCTGCACCTCAGAGTACAGACGGACGAGCCACAGCACATTTTCGGTAAAGGTGACGGCATACGTCAACGACAAACCGGCCGCACCGGCGTCGATAGTTTTGCTGTTGATCAGCACAAAAGCAGCCGAGAAGAAGGAAACCAAAGCACCCGCGATGTCAACTCGGAGCGCAAGCCATCTGTTACTAGCCCAAAGGTAGATATGAGGGCGGTTGTAGGAATTGATGCGGCTGTGATTGTCGACGATGAACCGCGGGCCATCGCCATAGGCACGAATGGTAACAATACCGTTCAGAGTTTCGCCAAACTGCTGGTACAGAGGACTCCGCTGAACCGACTCGAGTCGCTTGAGATCACGAGATGAGTTCAGATACACAGCACCCAGAGCGACATAAAGCATAGTCACGAAAATACCGGCGATCAGGAAACCGGGTGTGATCACGGAAATCAAAACCACAATCATCACCACAGACGCTAGACAATGCGCCATACCAATTGCCACAGGAGCCACTTCCTGATCGACAGCCTCAACATCCTTGGAAAATCGATTCATGAGCTGACCCAAGGGCGTGGAGTCAAAGAAACGGAACTTGGCATGCATGACAGCCTTCAAGAGGCGTTTGTGGATCTTGGAAGATGCGTTTAGAGAACCCCAGAAAAGGATCGCTTCTCTAACTAAAGCGATAGCCAGGTAGGCAAAACCGAGCAGAAGATAGATTCCGAGATAGTAAGAAACGTTTACTTCATTCGCACCCTGGACGCCGGCAGACTGTGCGCCAAGGTGAGGAACACGTGTGATTGTCGTCCGAGGAACACTCCCAGCATTGAAAGATGGCATCTTAAGGTCGGTCATGGCCGCCAAACGACCGGTGTCATCGTTTGGAGTGGAATCCTCACTCTGGTAAGCGTTGGCCCACTCCCGGATCCAGAGGTTAGTTGACACAGATCCAAACTGCTCTAGACAGAAAACTAGCAAGGCGGCAATCCAGAAGTACCACGGTCCCATCGCGCGAAGGTACATGAAAATGGTTGACAATTTAACACTGCCGACGGCTTTCCTTTCGACAAGGTTGGGCTTGGCATCTTCGCCCTGGCCCTTATCAGCCTGGCCAGTAGAATTACCATTTGCCGTACCATTAATAGACGGTGGCTCCTCGTCGCGGTGTCGTTCCAGGTCTGAAGGCACGCGGGAAATACGCTGGGAACCTGAGCGAGAGGTCGGTCGCGACTTGAGCATCTCTTCACCCAGAGCACCCGACGCTGCAACCTTATCCGGATGGCCTTGGGATGCGATCTTGCCGTTTTCGAGAACAACAACATGCGATGCTTGCGGGAGGGTCAAAGCCACGTTGTGCGTCACTAGAATACACGTCCGTTGCATCATCAACGGACCCGTTAGCGCTTCGCTGAAGATATGCTTGGCTGTATGCGAGTCGACAGCACTGAGACAGTCATCCAGCAAGAGGTGTCGAGCTCTGCTATAGATGGCACGCGCCAAAGAAATTCGTTGTTTCTGGCCTCCCGAAAGACTGATACCCTTCTCTCCAACCAAGGTCTGATCACCTGCGTCAAGGATGGCCAGGTCGCGTTCCAACGCACAAGCCTTGATGACCGCATTGTAGCGGCGCTGGTCCCATGGCGAGGCAAAGACGATGTTACCCTTGACTGTATCGTTGACCAACCACGCCTCCTGCGCGCAATAAGCCACACTCTCGATGAGTCCAGTTTGAGGGTTGACAGGGAGCTCAGTTCGGTTGGCCGATCCACCGGGCAGATAGATGGTGCCGTCTACGAGGTTCATCTCACCCAGAAGGGCCATAAGTAAAGACGTCTTACCAGAACCAGTGGCACCCGCAATGATATTAAGTTTCCCGACGTGGAAATTGATGTCCATGTTGATCAAGCGGAATGCGTCCGTATCATTAGCAACATCGTCTTGTGTGCGTCCATTGGAAGAGGCCCAAGAGCACGTCGTCTTCTCCATGGCAATCTTCGGTGGTTCCCCGGTAACATTGGTATCGTGAAGCTGAGTAAACTTCTCTGTCTCCTCTTCGTTCAAGTATTCGTCCACACGATCCAAAGAGACCTTGGACTCTTGAACGTGCGCGACCATATCAGCCAGCTGGTCCAGCGGCACTCGCAGCAGAGAGAACATCGACAAAGCCGGGAATGCAACCGAGGGGGTCAAGCGCTTGTGCTCTACAGCAGTGTACAGCAGGAACGACGTGAACGTGATGAGGATTGGTGTTCCATACCAGACAGTAGCCGCAGTTGACCAAATGATGTAGCGGAAGCGCAGGGCCTTAAGCTCTGCCCGACGCTTCTCGTCCACGATGTTTTGGAAACGTTGCTCCCAGGCGAAGTACTTGATAATGCGGATGTTCTGAAGAATCTCGTTTGTCGCATGAATACGAGCATCCGTGCCGGCAAGAATCTGCTTCTGGACTTTGGTAAATTGTTTGGCGATCAAGAGATTCACTGGCAGCATAAGGACCATGAGCACAATTCCTGCAAATGAACTGAAGCCCATGATCTGGTAAAGCAGAGTGACGGCAATGATGACCTGAACGGGCACGCTGGCCCACAGGAAGTGTAGATAAGCACCCACTTCACTGACCTTGAAGGAGTCGATGGCCATTAAGTTAATGATGGTTCCAATGTTGGCCACTTGATCTGGCTTGTTTTCCTTGTCATCGTCTTTGTTTGCGGAGGCAGTTTCGGGGTCGGCGGTGCCGTTAGACTGTTGTTGTTGCTTCTTCTTACGCCCGAAAGAAAAGAACTTGCTCTTCTTCTTATCGCTCTTTGCTGGCTCCTGGGGCTTCTTTGGGGCCGAATCTGTGGACGCGCCTGCTTTGCGCCTTAGCGCTTTGGCATAGATTTCACCAATGATGATCGCACGCAGTTTCAATCCCAGCTTGCGACCGATCCAGAGAGACTGTCCATCGGCAATTCCCTGGATGGAGCTCGAGCAAAACAACAGGATGGCAAATAGCCAGGCTGCGTTCGGCGTGGTGGACCGAGGGTCTTCGACATACTGCAAGATAGCGCGAAGGAGCACCGTTGGCAAAAAGGTGAAGAGATTCGAGAAGACGGTCCACGCGCCCTGTAGTAATAGAGTACCGTAAAAATAACGACCAAGTCTCCACACTAACTTGCCCTCGGGTTGCTTGTGACGGAAATCTTGAAGGACGGCTGCAGCCTTCTGCGACGTGGTCAGGTTCCAGATATCCCCGAGCTCCAAAGGCTGCCGGTAACCCTTGTAGATAAGGGGGCTCAACCATGAGAAAGTGGCCAATGAAAACAAGCTTGCCATTGGGTGTCTCGGGGGCTCCAAACCGTCTTCGCGCGGAACCCAGACCGGCTTGTTTCCTCGACGGGACAGCAGTGCGACGGACAACAACACCGAAGACAACACGAACTCGAGCACGTTGAACGTCATGGCTCGTTTCGACATGGGGTGGATGAGTGCCGATCGGAAAATGAGGACGGTGAAGATCCACTGTAAGCCATATAGAACGGCCGTATGGTTCCAAATTCTAGGCAGCGAGTCGAGGTCCAAAGTCGACAGGACCAGTCGGACCAACACCAGGAACAGGATATATCCCCACGAGACCAATTTTCCGATCGCAGGAAGCGAACCATGACGACCCCACCCATCTGTAGAGAGCACGACGACGAAGAGAACGACCTGAGCCACCAGGGCGACAATTTCGAAGACAATCAGCGCGACCTGACCACGGGGACGATCAATCTCCACCGACAGCTCTTCACTCTGGGTCGCCTTGGAGAGCATGGGATCCGACTCGTCGGGGTTCTCATTCTCCACGGGTTGTACAGCCTGGCCATTGGGAGTATCGTCATCCACCGCATCGTTGGGTAAAATCTTGTAAGCCGCACGTTGACGGGACACGGCCAGTTGGTAGGCGAGACGAACGAGGATCAATAGGAGAGAAATACCGCAGACGGTTAATGGGAAGATGAATTGAAGATAACTTTTGGTGCTGTTAGTCGCGACACCCAAGTCCTCCGGAGGTTGTTTTAACATACTTGCGCTGGAAACAGCGAGAAACATCATCGATGGCCCAAATCGGGCCATGACATTCTAAGGTCATTGCAAATTGGAACGGAATATGGCTTTCATTCAGATTAGAAAGGAATAATATAGGTGTGAGGTGTGGTGGTAGCGCCGCGGTTTTTATCGGCGGAGAAAGATGGTCATGGCAATCCTGGCGACTGGAAGAAGCCGGTAAAGGCGCCGGTTGGGGGGATTCTCGAGGTAATTAGGGAATGGAGGAGATAAGACTGAGGAGAGCTGAAGGAGAGGAGAAGAAATATAAGAAATGGAAAACAGGTGTGAAGAGCTGAAGAGGGAGGAAGACAGAGGGAGAGAGAGAGTCACCGCCTGGGGAAAGCCAAAAGAGGAAAAGAAGAGGCTGTCGTAACGGAAAAGCTATGACACCATAACACTGTACTAGCTGGGAATCCGATCTTCGCCGTTATTTAATTAAACGAGTCAGAATATATAGCGCTAGAATGTCGCAAACACTTCTGATACGCTCTGCTTATCACGTTTTGTATACTAAGAGTCATATAACCCTGTATGCATGGAGTACTCCATACTACAGATATCCTACGGTACTCTAAGCGGTATGCTCGTAATTTGTATAAAAATCTGCTCCATCGCCACTATCCGCCATTCCTACTAAAAAGGGTAAGGCTTACTGATTCCCTCCGTTATCGTTATCAGCCACCACCATTACCACCATTCTGCCTCTGCCACTACTGCCACCACCACCACCTTTCTTCTCCCTTTCCACGACCATTGACAAGGGCAGTTTCAATTTGTTTTCTCTGTTACACAGAACAGCGCAGGGAATCATGGCGGAGCGCATTCTCATGAACGAATACAAATCCCTGTCGCAGGAAGACTGGGTTAATATCGATGTACGCTCTATACACCACCCTGGTACCTCTGCTATACTGCTATACTGCTATACTGCTATACTGCTGTACTGCTGTACTACAAATACTAACCCTGTCAGCTTCAAAATGAAGACATTTTCAATTGGAAAATCGGTCTCATCGTTCTCAATCCCGAATCCATGTACTACCGCGGTTACTTCACGGCTACTATGAAGTTCCCCAGGAACTACCCCTATTCCCCGCCTGGTACGCTCGTTCTTTACTCTGTCTCTCACTCATATCTTTACTGACGATGGCATGATAGAATTCCGCTTCCTCCGTCCCCTCTGCCACCCCAACATCTACTCCGACGGCAAGCTCTGCATCTCCATCCTCCACCCGCCCGGCGAAGACGAAATGTCCGGTGAACTCGCCTCCGAACGTTGGTCCCCCGCACAACGCGTGGAATCTGTTTTAATCTCCATCCTATCCCTGCTCGATGATGCAGAAGTCTCCTCCCCAGCAAACGTTGATGCTGGCGTCCTACTCCGCAAAGAACCCGAAACATACAAAGCCATTGTCCGCCGTCAAGTCGAAGAGTCAAAGAAGGATATCCCCGAAGGCTTTGTTATGCCTACACATGAGTCGACTATGCGGACGAATTCCGTGGACAAAGTGGACGATGAGGACTTCTGGGCCGACAGTGATGTGGACGACGATGTATTTGGGGGAAGTGACTCGGATGAGGACCTTGATTTCGACGGGCAGGAGACGAGTGATGACGAGTGATTTCTTTTCTATCTGTTATATTATTTAACATTTTATGTTTGGCATCTTGGTGGGTATTTGATGGGTGGGTTTGTTATTTTCAGCATAGCGCAGGCGCACCCGGAGCTTAGGTTATAATATACATATTCCGATCTCGTACATTGCTCATTATTTATTCCAGGGCTTTTAATGGAACCAATACACACTGCAGGCCTTGACACATTGCATCTTGTATCGATATAGTTGAGAACTGACATAATTCATTATCAAACCACTCAAAGCATATCCATCAATGTTATTGATATACCAGATAGCCGTTACTGACAACACTAATTAAAGTCAACCACAAAAGTACGAACTAATGGGATATTTCTTTTTTCTGTTCTTTTTAACCGCGTTCAATCCTCCTTGTATTGCTACAAAATTAACAATACATAACACACTTTACTGTCTCCAGGACAAGAAAGAACAAAGCGTATCATGATGAGCCTCTTCACCAGTAAAGAAGAACCATTCACAGTGACCACGGATACAATTATTTCACTTCATTTCAGAGACGATATCCAACTTCACTGGTCTCTAGCCGTTGACTGCATTTTGAGATTCAACGATATCTTGGACGCAAAGCGACTGCGTCACTCATTAGATCGATTACTGGAACTCGGGGGGGTGGAGGAAATTTGGGGCTAGGTTGCGATTGAAAAGTGTACGATCTTCTTACGATTCTTATGGCCTTGTCCTAATGTACGTTTAGGACGGAAAACTGGAACACCATGTTCCAGAAAGGTATGATGCGCAACGCCCAGGGTTCATGTGAGCAGTTGTCGAGCACGAGATGAGTATTGAATCCCATCCCAAGGGATCCGCACTACCTACAAGGGACACGAGCCAGCCGAGCATCTGCACGTCAATTAAAAGATTCGACACCCTCTTTGGCAAAGGGCATGCGCCGGGCATAAGCGACGACTGGATCTACACAGACCGTCCGGCACTGGATATCTACACCAGCAAATTCGCCAATGAGATCCTGGTAAGGGTTACCTGGTTGCACGTTTACTTGGATGCAGCAAGACTCAAAGGCCTGATCGACGGGTGGACGGCAGTTTTGCGTGGCCGCGAGGACCAAGTCCCGCCGTTTCATCGGTTTAGTGAAGATCCTGCTGTGTGCCTTGAAACGGATTCGAAGCCGGAGAAGTGGGTTTGCTGGAGTAATGCATTGAGAAGGTTTGGTAAAGTGCTTTTCATATTTAGGGTGATGCAAGCACGAGAGAGATGTCTTCATGATGTTGAAACAGACCTCGTAGATCTTGGCATGCTTCCTGTTGTGCTCGGCTAATAAGGGTCCTCGGAATAGTAGGAGTTCTAGAGGAGAATATTAACTAATGATTCAATGCGGATGGATGGACTCACTTTGATATTGTGTTCGCCTTGGCCGTGGCGTTCGAGGTAGAGAATTGGGGGCATGTTGGACAGAAAGGAATCAAGTATAAGCTTTTTTTCATGCTAGGGCTTGGTTCCACGGCCCCGTGGGGCCATTGAATTTGAATGCGAAGGAAATGTTCCCGAGACCGACTTTTCCGTAACCAGCAAGAACCTGGATTTTGATGCATGATATTGTACATCTGGACTTCTGATCATTCTCGGCTGCAGCTTCAGTCGGCTTCCACCTACGTGTCAAGAAGCAAATCGGGAAATTTTCGACATCTAGATATACTCAGCGTAGGATCCCCAATTTGGAAAGCTAGCCGAGTGATCCATACACTGCAGATGCTCGTTCTAAATGGATAAAAGATACCAGAAGTTTATTCAATGTCATATGTACCCCAGGGAGGTTCGATTTCGATATGATGGAACCCGTAAGCATAGTTCGGTTGTCGCACATGTTTTAAAAGATTATCAATAATATATATATATATAGGATAGAATGTATATTGGAGTCTAAATACATACAAGCACATGACGTCTGACACTCGTACTAAGTGTAAAAGCTAACAATTTTGGCTAAGTCAAACACCCTTCAGCATAATTATGATCCGCAAAGCTTCTCGACGCCCAAATGGTTTACCTAGCAGTATAGCCACCGTCCACAGGGAGAAGGATACCAGTAACCCAGTTGGCATCGTCGCTGGCTAATACAACAGCAAGTCTAGCAATATCATCCGGCTGGCCAGGTCCATTTAATGGGTGTCTCCGCTTAAGATCATCCAAGGGAGTCATGTAAGAGGTTGTCTCCTTGAAAATGGCCGTTTGCGTATCTAGGTGAACGATCAGCACTAGAACATCAAGGGACCTAGAGAGACGAAGTCATACATCCAGGGCAGATGGCATTGACATGGATACGATGGGGTGCATAGTCCAGCGCGACCTGTTTAGTTAGGTTGCTGACAGCACCTTTCGATGCGCAGTAAGACGCTATTTTGGAGTCAGTATTTCCTATTCAGTATCGAGGATGGATTCATTGATTTGTACTCACGATTATCAAGCCCAGCCACGATACCCATAATTGAAGACATGTTGATTATCCAGCCACGGTCTCCGGAGGCATGCGGAGGCTGCTTCAACATCTGGGCAGTGGCATACTTACAACCCAAAAAGACTGACTTGACATTGACACGCATTGTAGTGTCCCAGACATCCTCGTCTGTCAAGTGGCACACCGCTGGCGTTCTGGCTTCCAGCGCTACGCCGGCATTGTTGACTAAACTGTTATCCGCTAAAGTCAATGAAACTGTATGAATGGGACAGCTCAATCAGTTAAACTTACATGTCTAGTCGACCAAACCTGTCCACTGCAGCTTTGACTAGGCTTTCCATCTGCCCCGCATCACCAACGTCGGTTTGGACAAAAATTGCATGACCTCCATCTTTGATAATCAGGTCGTGCGTTGTGAGGTCCAACTCTTCGGCGACTTGAGAGCGTGCTGTAGTAGAGAGGTCGGCACAGACCACTTTGGCCCCTTCATGAGCATATCGCAGCGAGATTGCCCTCCCAAGTCCAGACGATGCGCCGGTGACAATGGCGACTTTATGCTGGAGGCGTAATGCAGAAGACATGAGAATGTTGAGTGAGCGGCTAAATCCTAAGATTTTTGGTAAAGTATAGGACATCTGGTTAAGCAGAAATGTTCGCAAATTAAAGCGGCATCCATTATATATATCCCTTGGCTCCCAAGTCCCTCAAAGTGTAAGGCAAAGGATCCGAGTCGACGATGCGGGGAGCACATGTGCCACTTTTAAAAAGAATGCTCGGGTCAATAACCCTTCAAGAGAACGCCAAAATTAAAAGAGGGGAAACTGAAAACCCAGGAGACCCATACTGGGTATGCTGTTAATGCTTAGCTCGGGTGTCTTGCCCTTTTCGAAAAAGCAGCCATACGTAGTAAAAACCGCGGAAGAGTGTTGTATGTATAAGTGAATATAAGCTCATCGCACCATGTTTCTTGACGCAGATGTTTTCATAATTTGTGCCGGCACGTCGGGGATCGGCAAGGCCGTGGTAGTGAGTCAACAAGAGAATAAAGCAAGAGGCACCGAGTTATATTGGCTTTCCCTAGCGTAAATAAAAGACCACTGTCTTATTCAAGACGAGCAGCACGTGACATTTCTTCAGTAACTCTACGTGATAATGTGGGAACGTATATCAGGGATTTTCGCTAGATTGTCAATTCTCTCATCGGGTGATTGCTGAACCTGATATAGTCGTTCTCTAAGGTGGCTCTGACTGAACACCACTACCTCGGGAATGCGCTCCTACTCCGGCTGGTATGTGCTCCGGAGCATTATCAATAGATGATGGCTCATATATTACCGCAGTTTGACTTGCAAAGGCCGAAAACTTAAATGCGATGAGGCAAAACCGACCTGTGATAACTGCATGAAAGCCTCTCGGGATTGCACTTATGCAGAGCAGCCTATATTTCGTAGTCAGGACATTCGTTCAACGCCAAGGCGCAAACGAGCAAACAGTGCCAGTTGGCAAGAAGAACAACATCCCACCATGTTTGGCAAAAATCACACCTGGGTTGAGGTTCCAAGCAAGCAAGCGTAAGTGTCATAACCTGAGTGCGTTTTACTCTGCTCACAACAGATCAGTCACCTTTGTCCAAGTTGAAGATCCTTGGGCACCTGATGATGATACCATTGTGGATGCACAAGAATATAATACGGATAGAGGGACAGATACTGGCGTGGAAAATGCCGACTCTGGCTATCATGAAATGTCAGACTACGGCTCTGTCCAATCTCCCTCCTTTCAACGTGCGGCAGCTCTAGATGCACCCCAGGAAAATACTCCCCCCATTTACCCTTCCGAAAACTTAGATCTTAGCCCCTTCAATAGGGTTATAGCTTCACACTTACTGCGACATTTTCAGCAAGGCCCAGGTCAGTGGTACGTATGGATTGAACTGAATCCAATTTTCTTTGCTAACGATCTAGGATGGATATCTTCGATACAACGGCTTACTTCTCCTCAAGAGTCCTCGTGCTTGCAGCATCGAGGCCACTATTGAAATCCGCAGTGTGCGCTCTTTCTGCAAAGCATCTACGGCACCTCTATCGGCTTCTGCACCTTTACGCAACGACTTCGGTCTTCCTATGGTTGACGAGGAGACATGGCAGTATCAATCAGCAAAACATTACGACCAAGCCCTTGGCCGTTTGAAAACAGCCATAGACATGGAAACATATAATAATAGCCCTTCTGAAAAGGAAGAGATGCTTGCTGCCGTTGCCATACTCTGCACCTTCGAATTGATGGACGCTCCTGGTAGTGCTTGGAGAGCTCACTTGGGTGCTCTACCCCTCTTCGATGATAATACCACTTTCATGCCAGCGCAATCAACCATCATAATTCCTAGAATGGCTATAAAGGTACCAATATTCTGGAGACTCGCAAGACAAGACTTGCTATGTGCCTGTAAGCTTCTGGTCACTTTGCGAATCCAATGATGCGTGGTGGCTAACCATCACAGTCATAAGCGAGACTCAGACCCGACTGGATTTGAAGGACATATGTCTCTGGCAGAATGCAGGTCTAGCAACTGATGAGCACGGAGCTCTCCCACGTGCAGTCCCCTTAGTACGACAGATATCCACAATTCTTCTGGTGTTAAAGAAGACATGAAAAGCAATGAGCTCACGTGGATTCTTGGTAAAATCGCAAACCATCTGACCGCTGGAGATGCTCTGATTGCCGAGGATTCCGCATTACCTCCCGGGCAACAGCTCCCAATCGGGATGAACCAGGAGTATCTTTCAAACCGATGGAACATGTTGATGACCGAGTTAGATAACTGGCATGACTCTCTTCCGCCAGTCTTTACCGCGATTGCTCGTACACGGGCATGGGGCTGTGCTGATCCACAACACACGCTCACTTTGGATGCTTTCGAACAGATTTGGTTTGACTTGCCACTATGCGCTGCAACAATGCAAAGCTATCACCAGGTAAAGATATTGTTATTGGCAAATGAGCCGCAAGAGTCTACAGCTATCCGGTCAACCGTATCAGCGCGCTTGAGGTCTTATCGACATGCTCTCAGGCAGGTTCTCTACCACGCCAGGGAGATCTGTGGCATAAGTCTTGGAAACTCGGGAGATTCGTTTCGGATCAACTCCGTGCAAGCCTTGTTTGTCGCTGGACAAGTCTTCCAGGAGCCCCATGAGCAGGATGCGGTTCTTGAAATACTCCTTGGAATTGAAAGAGATCTCGGATGGACGACAATATACCATGTGGCTAAGCTGGCCGATGAATGGGCAAGAGGAAGTGAAGTTAATCACGTTGGTCGGGCTGAGCATCGGGATGGCCGTAACTGCTTTCTTCCATAGTTACAAATATGAAGGTCTGTCCTCAACAGCTTCATCCAGCAGCTTGTTCAGCTTCAAGGGGATTGTTCGCCAATCATTGTCGCTGGTGTCACGAAACTGAATCTTACGTCTCTTCCTCCTTCTTCTAACGCATCTCTGGCTAGTTTGTTCCACTTGCCTTTGCTCTATATCCAATCTCTGCAAATACGTGCCTTCAAAAGACATTTCATTCCGCGACTTATATACAGACGAACATGACACTTCCCGAAGACTTCCACCAAGCCTCAATAATCGCCTGTTGTATAAATCCGTTATCTGGTATTACTTTCAGCCAATATAAAAAGCGCGTTATCAAAATACCAGATCAACATGTCGTTAAATGGGGTCCGGATGCAACAGAAGAGGGAGCTGAGAGCCAGAGGATAGCTTTTGAACTCATCAATAGTCGCATAGCTCGCATACCACGTGTGTATAGTTGTTATTTTAGTGAAGCCAGTATTTCATCTCCTTGGGTATCAAACAACGTCCAAAGTGGTCTGTCAACTAGTCACCTCGGAATTTTAAACCCTTCCACCTTTCTCGTGATTTGGCAATTTCACGAGTTGGCACCATGAGTCATGGAGTGTATGTTCGTCCAATAGAGGTACTCCTTCCGTCCTTCGCTCAAACCATTGTTCATTGGACGTCGGCATGTTTCCTTGCAATGGAGAGGTAGAAAGGGAAGGGTAAATCAAGGCAGTAGGACATCATACCCGCGCAAGTCAGAGAGTCCCGGGCCTCCCAGGTATGACTCGGGGCTCTTCGAGCGTTGGCAGTCGGGTTGCAAGCGTGATAAGAGGAGAGAGGACCGGATGATTGGATTGTGAGAGGTAAAACGCAGGCTCGTCGAAGACAATATAATCTTAGCCAACCTTTCATATTGCCCGTCTTGCGGACCTCTGTGCATTTGGTTGCCCTGGGAGGAGGATCGAAGGGCCCAGAACTTTTTCAGGGCCTGGAATAGGGCGAATGTGAATAGAAAGACTGTATTGGTTGAATAGTCTCCCTTGAGGTGAATGCTGTACATATGCTTTTTTTGTCAAGTATTACTGCATTGGCATTTTAATCTATTGGTAGTACACTTCGATTGATGAGGACTAGAGGACAATACAACTCCACGCTACTAGTGATAAACAGATGGACGAGATGATTGGTTACAACGTGAGGCAGCTGCTTGACACAGCATACCAGGCATTGGACGAGAATATCGATCTCATAAATACCTGGAGTTGTTTCCCATTTAAATCTAACAACTAGATTGATCGACAAACCCCTCTATACCAAGTCTGTGTCACCTTCGCCTGAAGCAAGCCCTCAGCCCTCCAATCCGTATCCAAAACGACAAAATCAGCACTCAATCCTTTCCTCAAGCTGCCAGTCCATCCTTCCGCAAACCGTGAATACGCTGCCCCAGTTGTAGCAGCCTCGACAGCCTTTGCCAATTCAAGCCCAAAATGCTTATTCACTGTCTCCTCAGAATCAGGCTCAATAGCAGACTTCCGCGTCGTGGCACTATATAGATTTGGCAATGCCAAATGCGCAGCTGTGGGCGCGTCTGTTCCAAATGCTATCTTTGCTCCTCCTTCCAAAAACTCTTGATACGCAAACGCGCGTCCGCAGCGATGTTGACCGATGAGACTTGGCCATGCACGGAACAGAACGGGGTCTGAGTGGACTGGTTGCACGGAGGCAGTAATGCCGAGCTGACCAAGTCGCTTTGCATCTTCGGGAGAGGTGAGTTCAAGGTGCTCAATGCGATGGCGGGGAGGTATGCTGGGCTGAGCTTTCGACGATGCTGATAAAGCGTCGATTGCTTGTTTCACGGCGGCGTCTCCAATTGCATGGACGGCGCATTGAAGCCCGGCTGCGGTGGCTTTTCGGATTACGACTTTGAGCGCTTCTGTCGGCCATATGGGAGCAACCGGGTCTGTGGTGTTGGTGTAGGGCTGACTTAGGGCCGCCGTACAGCCATCTACTACTCCGTCGGCTATCAGTTTGATACCGGCAATGCAAAATGTTGGTGATGTGGCAGGATGGAACTCCTGATGTAGCGCAATGGCACGATCAACGTGCTTGAACACGACATCCATATCTTCCGAGTACGGAACGAGCCAATGCGCTGCAACATGGAACGGCAATCCATCAGCATGCCGCTGGTGGAACAGCTTCAAAATTTCCCAATCCTTCTCGTTCATCGCCATATCAATCATCCCTGTGTATCCTGCAGTGGTATACGCCTTGACTGCATCTTCCAACGCAGCAAACTTCTCCTCAATAGAGACCATGCTTGTCAAAAATGGAAGCGCAACGTTCAAATGCGCGGACTCACTAAGTAAACCTGACGGTTTTCCATTTTCGTCACGATGGATCGTGCCTCCTGGAGGGTTACTCATGTTCTCCGCGCTTAGCTCATGTAACGCAGCGGTGTTGCACCAGATGGAATGGAGATCATTTGCCTGGATATATATCGGTCTTTCATCCAGATCATTCAGCATGTTTGCAAGGGCCACACCCCCTGTGCTCGATTGCACCCATCCTTTGCAAACGATCCGTTCTAATTCCGAATGTTTTTGCGCATATGTTTTGATCATCTCTCGAATATCCACAAGCGATTTGCAGGACAAGAGATTCAATCGACGCTGCGACAGAGCAAAGTCGAGAATATGCACGTGGCTATCGACGAAGCCGGGGACGACGATATGGTTGTTCAGATCGATTTCGTGAGCTCCAGATAATTTGGCACGGAGGACGGCAGAGTCATCTCCTGAGCCAACGTGAAGTATTTGGTGACCAAGGATTATCATGGCTTGTTGAAAAGTGTCACTGCCGCTACCCGTGAAGATGCGGGCGTTTGTGAAAATTGTTGTAGTCATGGTATCTAGCAGGCAGCACAGTTGAAATGGGTGATTGGGCTGGGTTAGACTGTAATCGCATTAGTTTGGGGATATACCGATTTATATACAAAACGGCAGTAGAAAAAGTAGAATGGTGTTCCGCTAGCCGAGACGTGCCACTGCATAAATAAAAATGGATCATCGCGGAAATTGACGCTATTCGTCAATAGGGCTGATAGTCGGTATCTATGAGAGAAATAGAAAATCAAAAGCAGATCCAATTAGGCTTCTCTCATGTATAAAGGTAGAGTTTAATCCAGAAAAACTTCCATATCGGAAACATTGACGCTCATATGTCCATCTCCCCAATACCTCGTCAATATATCCACCAACCGTCGCATTGTCCCATTCCTAGTCGCTTTCCAAAATGCCATAACCTGTGATAACAGACACTCTCGGTCGAGCCGATCAACAGTCGATATTCCCACCACCAGAATCGGCCAGCAGTAATACTCGGCGTAGTAGTCTGTAGATGGTTGCAGTTGGGTGATAAGGAAAATCCCATTGGAGACTAGGGATGGGATGTGTGTATCTGTGTGTATGGTTATACTGGTTGAACTGGATGAAAAACTGATCAAGTGTCTTAAGAGGATTCTCGATGCTAGGATGTAGAGTCTGGGACCTAGTGAAAAAGGATCGGGTCTTGCCCCGTGATATGAAGGTGAACGAGGGAACGGAGTTCGATTCATTATCAGGGCCCCATCCCAGTAATCCAAGATGCGTTCCAGTTCGTAACATCGCAATATATCAACTCCCTCAACTGAATGCTTTTGATGCATCAAGACTATTTCACGAATATATCCAAACAACTTCGGCCGGACTGCAATGATAGAAGAAACGTAAAGACATGTTTCGGAACGGTGGGATGACTCCTCCAACGCGCGCTCAGCTAGTGGAAAGGTGGAATCAATAACTGCGGACTGCACAAAAGGCTGCTGGAATGGGATGCTAGTTGTAGCGTGGAATATGAACGCTTCGAGCATGAGATGAAGCATGGTCGTATCTGATTTCGAGAGCACACATGTTTTTTCTTGTTTGAGGTGTAACTGGATTAACTGGGCTGCCCCGAGAAGATGGACGTCAACGCCTCTGGAGAGACGGGGTTTGGATCGCTGGGCAATATCAGCAACTGGCCCCAATGAAAATAGTCGACATGATATTTACCTCGTAGATACAAAGCACAATGACAGCCATCAAAAGCACAATAGGTCTCACCGTCGAGTCAGTGCCACTGTCCAAATGCTCCCGCAACCCACCAATTGCCTTCGCGTAGTGCCTCTCCGCAATCCTGTGATAGCGCATGTCTTCCGCCGGAAACTCCGCTCCGCAGCATGCTAGGAGAGCATGCATGAGGAATGGAGTGCTAGATGCTGACTGTAGGTTTTCCTGTTTGACGAATTCGACCGTGGCTGGATGAGCCATTGGGTGTATGAGAGTGGGTAAGAATGCCGCTCTCAGGAATTCAAATAAGGGGATGCTTTCGCGGGATATGACGGGTGAATATGATATGAATGGACTTTGTGTATAGATGCATGGATTAGCCATTTCCATGCCTTTCCGAGCATGTCTGAGATTACCATTGAACTCGATATGGAATGTGGTTTCGATGGTACAGGGTGACAAGGTCAATTCTTCTGGAGTGGCTCCTTGGTTTGTTGGGCTCGCGACGTGCCTCAGTTTGCTAGGCTCACCACAGCTGGACTCCGATGGCCATGCACATGTGTGATTTCCCCGAGAACAATTCGTGCAGGTTTCCGGTGTCTCGTCGCATTTCTTCTTTCTTTTTCTGCCTATTAACTGTTAGTACGTGTGGGGATAATGCGTGTTGAGGAACCCACAAGTCAAACATCCAGTCTTGGTGCGCAAGTGCGCTGGTCGCCTGCGTGGCTGACGGTAATGCTTCTTCTGGTTATCCATCCTTGAATTGATGCAAAAGTGACTTGTGGAGGTGAGTGTTATGGTCGTCTCCGCATTGTCACTAATGTTCCGATATCTAATCTGTGACCAATGGCGTCAATTTGCGCGGTGGATTCTATATCACGTTCCATATGCCCTATAAAAAAAAAAAAAAAAAAAAAAAAAAAAAAAAAAAAGGGGAAACCAGAGTTACCAATAGTGTCTTTGGAGCCTAGAATACTGTGGTGATAGGTACTAAATTCTCCATCTCAGGAAGGAATACCAGAAAGTGCTATCTACCGATATGTCCGTGTCGGTTATCTCTACTACACACCAGAAGTGGCACACAGCAGTAATGGCGCATTCATGGCTTATTTATATTTCTATATCCCCAAGGGCTATGGGGTTTGTGCTACTATTGCAAGTATCCAAGGCACAAGGCCATGGCAGACAGTAGTTTGGAGATGCCCCCGGGTACTGTATACTTGGGAAATGGTATTCGTCCACCAATCACTATCAATATTGTTCATCTTCCTAATTTTTGATGCCCAGGACACTCTGATATATGGGGTTCTAATCGTGATGTCAACGGACAGGTTGCCCTCCACCCGCAGCCATCAAATGACCCTAATGAACCATTGGTAAGCATTGCACAGCCGTTGAGCCTGGAAACTTGCTGACAGCCCTAGTAGAACTGGCCCATACATGATAAGGCAGTCAACTTCTCCATCGCCTGTCTATTTACTCTAATGGTATTTGCAACGTATGCTTTGCTTGTTCACAGCCCATCTTACAACCTTCCAATTACACAAGACTAAAGGCCAAACAGACTTGATGTCGGCACAGTTACCTGGAACTCCATGGAAGCTGAGCTTGGCTTTGAACATGACTTTCTTACCGCTAGCTACGCAGCCGCTTTGGCTGGACTCGCCGTCGGCTGCATCCTCTTTGCTCCAGCAGCTTTAGTATTTGGACGCAAGCCTGTTTATCTATGCATGACACTTACAATGGTTTTGGTCAATGTTGGACAAGCAATATTTAAGACGAAGGCTCAATATGTTGCGCTTCAGGTCTTGTCCGGACTAGCGGGATCAATCAACGATACCATTATCCAGATATCGGTTGGTTCTCCCACATCAAGCAAATTGCAGCTGCTCACTTGGTATAGATATCGGATCTCTTCTTCGTCCATCAACGTGCAACGTTGACGGGTGCCTATACCATGATGGTGGTCATCGGCGTATGTCACTTTTACTATTTTCTGCATCCGAGCAGAGCTGACCTTTACAGACCTACCTCAGTATGATCCCGGCAGGCTACATTGTAATGAATCAAGGTTGGCGTTGGGTATGGTGGTGGTGTGCAATTCTCAACGCCGTCATCCTTATATTGTTCACATTTGCCTACGGAGAAACAAGATATCGTAAATCCGATAACTGCTTTATTGGCGAGGAGCATTCGACTCCAGCCAAAATACTCGAAGAAGACACTGATAAGAAAAGCGATGCTGTAGCGCCTTGCTCTGAGGCCCAACAGACAGTCCCAGTCCTATCTGAACAACAAACACCAACCCGAAAAACACATATACAACGCATGGCCGTCTTCGGTAGCTTCTCAGGTTTCAATATCTACTCATATTGGCAGCACATGTGGCGGCCATTTATTCTCTTCTTCCGCATCCCAGCTGTGGCATTTACAGCGATCGAATACTCCTTCATCCTCTGCTGGGTGGCCGTCCTCGCAACGACCCAACCGATCCTCTTCGTAAAACCGCCATACAACTTCTCCTCCATTGGAGTGGGGAATATAAACATCGCGCCTTTTATTGGGGCAATAGTTGGTGCAGTGTATGGTGGACCGCTGAATGACCTTTATGTTGTCTTCATGGCTCGACGGCGAGAAGGCATTTATCATCCCGAGACCCGGCTGCATATGCTTATTATGCCGATGCTGCTTACGCCGTTGGGACTATTTCTGTATGGGATTAGCATTGCCAAGGTAAGACCTTTTCTCCTGTGGTATTCAGTCCCAGTGGCTGATAGTCCAGTCACAATCATGGATTGTGCCCCTAATAGGATCAGGACTTGCCGGATTTGGAGTTGGTGCTGTCCCTGCGATTACCCTAAGTTACTTTGCAGATAGTTACCGCGAGGTATGGGGTGGATTCACTTTATGGTATCTGAGAATAAACTAATGTATCATGCTCAGATCATCGCCGAAGGACTAATTATCATAACCGTCGTACGCAATGGCATCGCCACCGCTACTACATTTGCTATCAACCCTTGGTTAAATGGACTGGGGCTGCAGAATATGTTCATATCGGTGGGATGTATTTCCCTTGGGATATTGTTGTTGACTATTCCCATGGTATTTTGGGGGAGGAAGGCGAGATATCATACTGCTGGTTTCCACAATGAGGTTGCTGCGGGGAGTGTCGATTGATGCATATTATGTGTTAGACATGTGTTTCGGGACGGTTAATATGGTATCTCTTGGAACTGTGCAGGTTTATACAGAATGGCCATATTGAAGACAAATGATATGCGTGTTCCAATCAATTGTGTAATTTCGCTTCCAAACAGAGAAACTCAAGGCGACAACGGAACGCAATATGCTTCACCTTGGGGATCTAGATCCGCGATAAGATAACAGCGCAAAGTGACGCCATTGGCCATCACGGTACGTGATGGCTATCAGCCTCGATCTTCTCATGGGGACAACATGAGTCTGTTTCGCTTCGCTTCGGCGATACTCCGTAGCATCGTGAGAGAAGACCTGATTCCCGATTAAGCATGTCCACCCGAATGCTCCAACTTGAGATGATATAAGTAAACCATGCGATCTTGCCATTGAAGTCAATCACTAAAGCATCATCAACTTTACAACATACACGGTCAACATGACTTCAGTTTCTCGCGATACTCAGGCTGGTGGATGCTGTGCTCCCCGGTTCTCGGTGTCCATTCCTTCCCATCCACTAGGTAAGTTATTTCCTCCCGGCAGATGAAATTAGACTAATTAAACGATAGATCCCCTGTCAATCGAGGAAATTCCCCTAGCAGCCAATCTTATCCGGCAAAATGCTGCCTCAGACCGTCTCAAATTCAACTGTATTACGCTGCATGAGCCCGCCAAAGCCGAATACACAGCATTCCGTTCCCACACCGGCCGTCGCCCAGACCGGCGCGCCTTTTCCATCGTAATCCAAGGAAAGCAGTCGCCTCGGGTTTCAGAAGTCATTGTCAACCTGACTTCCCGCCAGGTCGAATCCTGGAAAGATCTCGCCAATGTCATGCCCACCTTGACCCTCGATGATCTGGATGTCACGGAGCAGATCGCCCGGAATGATCCGCGTGTTATCGAAATTTGTCGGGAAATTGGAATCACCGATATGTCCAAGGTGTACTTCGATGCGTGGGCAATCGGGATCGATGAGAGATGGGGCTTCGAGCGACGACTGCAGCAGGCGCTGCCGTATTACCGGAGCTCGAGATATGACAACCAATATGCGCACCCGTTGGACTTTTCCGTCGTGACAGATACAGAAGCGCAGAAGATCCTCAGCGTGGATGTTCGACGGGTTAACGGAGAGCGCACGGCAGTGTCTCGTGACGAGCATAACTATCTGCCCCAGTTCATTGGGAATTCTTATCGCCCTGAACGACTCAAGCCAATTGAAATCACGCAGCCGCAGGGTGTATCGTTCCGAATGAACGGCAACGAGATTGACTGGGCCGGATTCAAGATGCATATCGGGTTTAACTACCGCGAGGGGCTCGTATTATCGGATATTCGTGCTCACGATCCCTATGGGCAGCGGGAGCGTATGCTCTTTAACCGGATCAGCGTCGTGGAGATGGTGGTGCCTTATGGCTGCCCCAAACCTCCCCACCACAAAAAGCACGCCTTTGATGTCGGGGAGTACGGCAGCGGCCTGATGACCAACTCGCTCAAACTGGGCTGTGATTGCAAAGGCGCCATCCGTTATCTCGATGCCGTACTACCGACTGCCACCGGCGAAGCCTCTATCATCGAAAACGCAGTTTGCATTCACGAAGAAGACAACGGCCTTCTATATAAGCACACAGACTTCCGCGATGGAAATGTCATCTCAGCTCGGGATCGCAAACTGGTCATCTCCCAGATTATCACGGCCGCCAACTACGAATATGCCTTCTACCATACCTTTACCCTAGACGGCACGTACAAGCTCGAGATCAAATTAACCGGAATGCTCAACACTTACCCTCTACACCCCAGCGAGCAAGCTGCCCCATACGGAACAGAAGTAGCCCGTGGAATCGATGCCCAAAACCACCAGCACATCTTCTCCCTCCGTGTGGACCCGGAAATTGACGGCCCAACAAACACAGTCGTGCAAAGCGATGCAGTCCCGTCAGATGAACCGGTTGGCTCAGAAGCCAACCCCTATGGTAACGGCTTCTATGCGAAAAAGACACCGCTCCGCACAGCTAAAGAAGGGGCCACAAACTACTGCCACGAAACTGGTCGCACGTGGGACATCACCAACCCTAACTGCCTCAACCCCGTCTCCAAGAAACCCGTCTCCTACAAGATCCTTAACAATAACTGCGCACCCCTGCTTGCAAAACCAGATAGCATAGTATACAACCGCGCCGCCTTCGCGCGTAAGTCCCTCTGGGTCTTACCCTACCGCGACAACGAGCTTTTCCCTGCGGGACGGTACGTGTGCCAATCAACGGGGAAGGAAGGACATCCGCACAATGACACAATTCTTGACTGGACAAACCGAGACGAAGGGATCGAGAACACAGATATTGTCTGTTATGTGCAGTTTGGGATAACGCATTTTCCACGTACGGAGGACTTCCCGATCATGCCTGCTGAGCCTGTGAGTGTTATGTTGAGGGCTGCAAATTTTTGGCAGAAGAATCCGGCACTTTGGGTGCCGGCTTCGGATGTAGTGAGAGATGTCTTTTCGAGGGATGCGTTTGAAAAGAGGGTTGATAGTGCTCAGAGGCTGGAGAATGCAAAATTGTAAGTTTGGGGGTTGTTCTTGTTCTGTGGCATGTATGTTTATATGGTGGCTTTAGCTATAAGAAATCTACACATGATATCATCGCTTTACCACAATGTAAACCAGTTCCGTCTATCTCGTCGGAGTAAGGCCCTCGCGCCCAACCTGCCCATACCACTTCGGTAGATAACCTGGCATTGGAGGGGGTAAAGGGTGCAATTCGTTGAATGTCGTAATGAGCTTAGGTACGACTTTACCTCTTCGAACTGGCTGGAAAGAGATGAGTTTCGATCGACAAGTTTAAACCCCATGCACTTACAACGGATGTTTTTGGACGTTTCTCCAAACACACAACATGGCTTCCTTCAGGCCCATCTCTTGATCTGAAAGAGGTTTTATCGAGTCCAAAGAAGGGAATTGAAGCTACCGCCTTTCCCCCAAATAATACACCGCGAACAGAACTCAAACAATCGTGAATAGTAGCCGGCATATGTCCAGTCAACAAGACAGAGACCCATCTTCCTGCCACAGAATGTTCGGAATTACTATATCTAAATGGCAAAACGCGAGTTCATAGCTCCAATAAGTCAGTTTCGGATTGTGCGCGAAAAGCCAAGTGAGCCACTTCTCCATCCTGTGAAGACTGTCGAAGACCAGATCTTCAGTTTCGGAGAAGAGAAACACGCGACAGAACCCTCTACAGAAAGACCCAGGAATGTTGTACCGGAATGTTGCGAAACAACCAAGCGCATGGTAGGATTAAGCCATCACTGCCCTCTTCCCACTATTAGTCGAAGTTGCATAATGTTATGCACCAGAGATGTTTTCGAATGCTATTTTTTTTCAACCATGAGAGTTACGGATCAAGATAGAAATGAGAACACTAAGTTATTGCCCGGCTAGTATGGTGGATACCATACCGTACCGTCTGGCACCAGTAAAGGCGAAAACGACATTACCATTAGAAAATTAATATGAGAATAACTAAAAGCAGTGTAAAATAGGGCGTGAGTGCAGACATAGATGTAGTTTGCTGTAGACGTGACGTCCACCGGCGATCCCATCACCGCCTACGCTACTCCGGCAGCTCCATCTTATCCACGAACTCTCCGACTTGATGCTCCGACCAGAGCATCAGTTATAATCATGCGGCTCCAGGCGGCACTTTCATTGCTCGCCTTGTGCGTTCCTTCAACGTTAGCAATCTATGCCGACGAAGTTAACCACATCGACTTCCACCATGCGCTCCTCGGTCTTCCCTCGTCCCAATCTACCTTCTTCCTCAAGCCTTCCTCTGCCTCCAACGCCTCGTTACTCTACACGCTATCTGAAAAATCGATCTTGGGTGCGATAAACCCGCGAGATGGTTCATTAGTCTGGAGACAGAACGTGTCGCGGTCGTTGCTCCCCGACTCCGCCGCCGCGGGAGGTGGCCTCTTGCGCGCCTCGGATGGGATCAACGCCGTGGTTAGTGCGACGGGCGACTACATTTCATCGTGGAATGCTCTAGATGGCAAATTGATTTGGGAGAATTGGTTTACGAGTGAGGGGTCTGTGGCGGATTTGGAATTGTTGGAGCTGGAAGATGCCAGCGCGGCTGGGACATTTAGAGATACGATTGCGCTTGTTAACGCTGGTGAAGCGGGTGTTGTCAAGCGAATTGATGGGCAGACAGGAGACGTCAAGTGGGAATACAAGGATGAAAGGTTAGTTATCGTCAGGATGTCTGTGGGTTCTGGCTAATGATGTTGTACGCATCTAGTGGTGACGTTCCCTTCCAAGTCTCGTCCTCGCCCACCGAAGTGTTCTACATTTCTCTGCAGTCGGCTTTGCTCAAGGGGTCCAAGATCAAGGCTACATCATTAGACTCCGTTACCGGTAAGCAGACTTATCAGCAGACCTTGAACTCGGAGAACGATGTGACCGGACCCGACTCGATCGTTTTCGTGGGCGCCAATACCGCCGCACCTATAATTGTCTGGGTGGATAAGGCCCGAAAGGTATTGAAGGTCAATGTTATCGGCACGAAGCAAGTCTCGACAATCAACATCGATAACAAAGGCGAGGAAATCAAGAACATCAAGGTGCACGCCCCGAAGAAGCTCAATTCGCTGCCGCATTTCTTGGTCGGCTACGAGACGGAATCCAGCTCCTGGGCGGAGGTGTACCACACTGATATGAAGTTGGGAACAGTGACTAAGGCATATGATATCCCTCGGGTGCAGGAACGGTCTGTTTTTGCTACTAGCAACAAAGACGCCAACGTGTACTTCACCCGTAATACGGAGTCGGAGACTACTGTGGTCTCGTCTGCTTCTCACGGAGTTCTGGGTCGATGGGCTCTGAAGAACCCTTCGACAGAGCAGGCTTTGCATGCCGTTTCGGAAGTTGTTGATAAGGGTGATACAGTTGCTGTGCGATCTGCTTCTCTTTTGGCTTCTGGTGACTGGCAGTTGATCCGAAACGGTCAGGCTGAGTGGACGAGACATGAGGGATTGTCCAGAGCATCTGCAGCCGCTTGGGCTGAAACTGATGAGCAGGAGGAACTGGCCCATCAGCTTGAAGTCGAAGGCCACGAGAGCTTGCACGGTGCCTACGTTCACCGTGTCAAGCGTCACATCAAGGATCTGGAGTATCTCCCTGAATGGCTCAAGGAGCTGCCCAAGCGTATCCTGACGAGTATCTTGACCGATGAAGTGTCGAACCTCGATAGCTTTGGGATTTCCAAGCCGATTATCATTGCTACGGAGAATGGTCGTGTGTTCGCTCTTGACAGTGGAAACCACGGTGCTGTCTCTTGGAGTGTGAAGGCAGCGGAGACGGATGCTTGGAATGTCAAGGCAATTATCACGCAGCCGGGTACTGCCACTGTGTATGCTGACGACGGAAGCTCTGTCACGCTGAAGGTTTCCTCTGGAGAGATCGTTGGACGCACTGCTCCATCCAGCAAGGTCCATTCCATCGCTGTTATCAACAACGGAGCCTCGATACCCGTTAGCATCAGAGAAAATGGTACTCCCATGGAAACAATCAACGGATCTGGATTTCTTGTCACTCTCAGTGCCGACGGCAAAGTCCTCGGGTGGAGCGCCCAAGACAACAAAACCCCGGTGTGGGAATTCATCCCTGCGCGAGGCCAGAAGATTATCCGCGCGACATCTCGCCCAACGCATGATCCGGTTGCCTCCATTGGAAAGGTCCTGGGTGATCGGTCCGTACTATACAAGTACCTGAACCCGAACTTGGCCCTCATCACCGCTGTCGGCGACAACTCCGCCAGCTTCTACCTCCTCGACGCCGTATCCGGCACTGTGCTGCACTCGAGCATACAAGAAAACGTGGACACAAGTCAGCCCATCGCCTCAACCATCTCCGAGAACTGGTTCGCCTACTCCTTCTTCGGCGACAGCACCGACGCCTCCGAGGCAAAGGGCCACCAACTGGTAATCTCAGAACTCTACGAATCCTTCATCCCCAACGACCGCGGCCCTCTCAACTCGGCAACCAACTATTCAACCCTACACGATGTTGACGCACCTGCACCCCCACACGTCATCGCCCAATCCTTCGTAATCCCCGAACCCATTTCGCACATGGCTGTCACTCAAACAAGACAAGGCATCACAACCCGCCAACTCCTCTGCACGCTTCCCTCCTCGAACTCGATCATCGGCATCCCGAGACAAATCCTCGACCCCCGCCGTCCTGTCAACCGCGATCCTAGCTCTACAGAAGCCGAGGAGGGACTGTTTAAGTACAACCCCTTCCTCGAGTTCGATGGACGCTGGTTCCTGACGCATTCGCGGGATGTCGCTGGTATCAACAACGTGCTTGTCAAGGATACTTTGCTAGAGAGTACGGGCTTGGTCATTGCTTTTGGCGGAGATGTATATGGAACCCGAGTGATGCCCAGCCAGGCATTCGATGTACTGGGCAAGGGATTCTCGAAGATCCAGCTTGTACTTACCGTGGTGGCGTTGGGAATTGGTGTTACTGTTCTTGCGCCTATTGTAAGTCTCTTTCTTTCCTCCCTTTTGCTAGATGGCATGCTAACTTTGACTTGTACAGGTGCGGAAAAAGCAAATCAATACGATTTGGAAGACTGGTTCTTAGGTGTTGATGTACAAGTATTTTATGCTTCCTGTTATGATTCGGAATGTGTCATGTTGGACTACATAGCTCCGTAATAAAATCAAAGATTAGATATTATGATTTTGCAGTATATAACCAATCAATATGGCAAAAAAGAAGGCCAGTCTATCTAGATGTAATATAGTGAAGTGTAATGTATGATGTATGTTTCTCAATGCAGAGCAAGTCAAAATTCAGTGCATATTTTATCGAGGACGGACGAGATGGGGCAGCCCTGCTTAAGAGGCTTGTTCCTGCGCAGGCACCGGAGCAGCAGCAGTAGCAGTTTCACTAGCCTTCTCACCGTCACCAGCAGGAGTAGAAGCACCAGCACCAGCACCGTTGGCAGCCGCAGGGATATCCCACCTTCTCTCACCCTTCTCTTCTCTCCCAAGCACCCGAATCCCCTCCCCATCAAACAACATCGGCCCCTTCAAAAACTCCTTCCCATCTCCAGACCCAACACCTCCAATAAGATCCTTAGCAGGTTGGTCGAGATTCGGCATATCGCCCCATGTCCAGTCGAGGTCTCCGCCGTATTGCTTGGGGATACTGGAAGGGTCCATGAAGGAGGTTAGGGTTGGTTTTACCTCGGAGGCGGAGAGGATGAAGATCTTGGATGTTGTGCCCGGGTCAAACCAACGCTTGATCCAGCTCCAGACTGTGGGGAAAAACGAGGGGGCGCCAATTATCTATTCCTGTTAGTAGATGCATTTACAACAGTGTGCTGTTCCGGGAATAGGGTAAAAGAGGGGGGCATACAAAAATCCGATCCAACGTCTCGGGATAATGCGCCGTAGCCAACACACTAGCATCCTGCATATGCCCCTTAAGATTCCAAAACTGCTTTAGTCCAACCCCACTAACATCAACAATATTCGTGCTCGTGACAATCGGCGTCTCGGGATTCGGCCGTGGCAGCTTCGAACACACAGGCATAACGAATCGTAGCAGATTCTCATACAGCGCAAACAATCTCAACAAGCGCTCCGGCACAGTTGATGATTTCTGGGCTTCCGCAGGCAGGTTCGAGGTAGTCATCGTCTCGTTATAGGCGGCCATATTCTTGGCGTTAAGATGTTTGATTTCAAAGACGTAAACGGGGATGCCGCGGCGGTCGCGCCGGCCGGTCCATTGGGGATACTGTCCTCATTAATCCCTGTATCCAGAATGTGCTTGGGAAGTAGGCGAAGGGGGCGTACCATCCGGCGTGCAGACTCGTACGAGTCAATGTCGATGTTCTCGTATAACTTCTCAATCGCATTATCCTTGCGCCAGTCCTCAGTATCCTTAAACTGGTCCCAAGCAGCGTTCACGTCAAACTTGCGTGCGCGGAGAAACCGCCTGCTCCAATTAGTCCAATTCTCTTCCAATATCCAATACATTATCCCCTTTAGTAAACAACGGTGGTAAGAGAAACATACAACACCGTCGCATCATCATGACTAGCCTTTCCATTTCCCCCATCCTCACCACCGGTCTTATAATATCCCTTCTCCGCGCACAACTTCTTAAATTCCTCCAACTTCCCCTGCTGCTCATCAGTCAGATGGTGCAAATGGCCCGCGAGCCATTCCGTCCCGGCGGCGGCGGACGCAGATGCGACGGGGTCGTTTTGCGGCTGCTCGGATGGATCGGGGTTCGACGAGGGTTTGGAGGAGCCGAAGAGGGGCATTTTCGTCGTTTCTCTGTGTACAGAGGACTTGGGTTTTATTGGTAACAGATGTTAGGGAGTGAAGGTGAGAATTGAGTTGTTAGAGATTGGAGCTCAGCTCCGGCCGAACTCCGGGGCGGATGTCGGGTGTTGGGGTTCCGGGTTGTTTGTTTGTTCCTGGCTTGGATTTTCTTTGTTTGGGCCAAGTTGGGTAATTCCAGATATGCGGGACTCGATAGTTCAGAGGGGGAATAAATAGTCTCGACAATAAGTCTATTATTACTCTGTACAGGGCTGGAGTGAGATATGACACGTTGTGCACATAACCGCTTATGTCAGCGCTACGCAGTGTACAAGTTGAAAGAAAAAAAAGAATACTTTTGGTGTAAATATGCAGGATATCTCACCACCAAACAACAAAATAGAACAAGATGTAAAGTTACATGCCAATCTCGCGTCCAGTGCACATTTAGTCTTCCGTCAAATCACCATACTCCCACATCCCCCGTCTCTCCTCCTTAGCCTCACTCTCCAACTCCCGCAGGCTAGCCAATGTATCACCAGCGCTGCGCTCCCACGCCTTCAACTTCTTCGGCACCATAGCCAGACCCTCACGGACGATCTCGGCGTTCAGACTCTCGTCCAGACTCTTAGACTGCGAGGGGTCCAGGAGCGTCACGTGCATGGTTCCCTCGGTGGAGATGTAGTCGACATTGGCGACGAGTTGGCGGTCGAAGGCCTGGTCGCCGATGAAGCCGACGGCATCTTCGAGGTAGTCCGCTGCAGCCGGGAACTGGAGGAATGATAGGACGGCATCAGCAGCCTGGGGACGCAGCTTCTGGGCGGAGAACTGCGGGCTGAGTGCGCGGAGGCGGGACCACGGGAGGGTCTCGGAATTACCAAAGTCGATGTAGAGGACCTCAGCCTGTTGGTTCTCGCGGTCGTTGCGGCGGACTCTGGCGCGGTACCACTCATTGTCTTCGCTGAACTTCGCCGCCACGAAATCGCCAGCCTTAGGGGGACCAGACAGAGGTGTGTCGTTGGCTTTGTTGATGTGGAACGAGCGGAATGCGCTCATCAATTCAGTCAGGGCGGAGGTGCCAGAGCCAATCTGCTGCAGCTTCAGCTTGCAGGTCGTGGGATCGACGTAGGTCACCATAACATCGCGGTAGTCCTTGCGACGCTGCGAAACCTCATCGGCACCGTTCTGGCCGTTAGTAGCAGCAGCGGCGGCAGCTTCCTCCTCCTCTGCCTCAGCAGCCTCCTTGGCAGGATCCCAGTCGTGCCAGAGTCCCCGACGGGCCTCCTTGGCCTTTTGCTCAGCGGCAAAGTACTCGGCTGCGTTACCGGACTGTTCAGCAGAGTAGGCGTGCACGGTAGCAAGACCCTCCTCCAGCAGAACCTTGGTGAAGTTCTCCTTGTTCACGTACAAAGTACCGATGAAACCACCGACCTTGTCGATAGTCTCAACGTCAATCTCTACATCTCTCTGCATGCATCTCCGGTTAGCCAGCTCGTGTGCCTCCTGGCCGAATGGCTCGCCAGCCTCGCCAGGACCACGTGCCGAACGGGGTGCGCGAATACCAGACAGGACAAGGGTCAACTTGGCGTTCTCCCGGGGAACGAGGACAGTGAAACGAGAGCCAGACTTGACAAAGTCGACGACGGCGGGGACGCGTTTCTGGCGTTGGAGAATGGAGACCTCCATCTTGGCTTTTTGCACGTTCTCCGAGTAGTCCTGGTACTGCTTGGTCCGGGGCGGCTTGGGCGACCACATGCCCTTGCCGTCCTTCTGGGCGTCTGCCTCAGCAACCAACAGCGAGTCGTAGTCGGGCGAGCGGTCATCATCATCCGCACGGTGACGGATAACAGAGGCGTAGCCAGCCTCAACAAGAGAAAGAGCAACGTTGGCATTGTTTTGAACAACGGTCACAACATCGCGCTCCTCGTAACCTTCATTAGCAGGCTTTTTGCCATTAACGGTCACCTTGACATGCTTGCCAATAAGCTTCTTACGCAGGAATTCCTTGGCATCCGCACTGAATAGGGCCTGGTTGGGATCCGACGGCTTGGGCTGACGGATACTGCTGAGACTAATCTTCTTCTCCTGACCGGCCTTGCTGCGCACAAAGATAGTGTCCGCGTTCAACACACGACTAACAGTGTAGTCCTCCGCAGCCCCGCCCGCAGGGCCCTTGGCAACCAGATTGGTAAACAGACCCTTCCGGCCATCCTTGGCAGCTTTCTCAGCATGCCGGAAGGCAGCCATATGAGCACCCAACAGGGGCGAGTGGTGGTCGTGGCACCGCGCCAGACCACCCTCGAGCAGGAACTTGGCAACGTTGCCATTGGGGTGCAGAACGGTGGCGATGAGCTGGCCCTGCGGCGTAACACCCAGCAACGACACCTGGACCTTGCGCTGCAGCAACCGCGACTCGACAAACGCATGTGCTTCATCGCCGTACGGCTCAGCAGCCTGCTCCTTGCCATCAGCTGTGACACGCTTCGCAGCAGGCGCACGGATACCCGCCAGTGCAACAATGGTCTGCAAATGCTCCTGCGGTGCAAGCAGCAAACGCAGAATCAGACGATCCCCATTCAAGACCCGCTCGACAATACCCTGCAAATCCTTCCCCTTGTATTCCTCGACTAGCGCCTTCGCATCAGCCAATTCGTAGCTCGTCTCGACCTGTCCTTGTGCCAATCCAGCCCAGATGCCCTTCTCAGCATCACGGGCATGATCTTCCAGCGCGCGCAGGCGCTCAATTAGAGCGGCAGTGTCCTCAGAATCATCGGAGCGCTTTCCAGCTTCTTCACGAACGCGGGACCATCCCTCCTGGACGCTAATGTCGGGGAGTGAGGCGTCGAAGCTGGGGAGCTTGATGATACCGTATTCGCGTCTTGCGCCGGTGGGGATGGTGTAGAGGGGGGTGAATTCGACTACTTTGCCGACGAGGAGTTCGCGGAGGAATTCGCGGGAGTGAAAGCCATATGCCTGTCAAATATGAGCATTAGCACGACTCAACAGTTGACCAACAGTGTCTTGAGCTGAAAGGCCACCTTTCAGCGACCGTAGGTCACAAACAACACCGCCAGCTCAATGAATCTTCAAAGACACTCACCTCATCACCTTCTCTCCGCAATCTAGGAGCGGACACATAAGCTAAACTGAGGACACGTTCCTGGCCAGGGTTGGCGATATGGGACAGGACCACAGTGTCGCCGGAGAGAACGGCCTTGACACGGGCCTCGAGGGGCATTTTCAATTAAAGGGAATAAAGAGAACGGGATAAAAAGAAAAGAACCAACGGTAATAGTACACAGTGGGGAGAAAAAAAGAGAAGTGTGCAAGACGATGAAGACAGAAACAACAATGATGTTGTTTGGGAGAAGACAGCTGTTGTATGTGGGGACAATCTACAATCTGGCCAGACAGGGGTCTATGCTCTGCATTCACTATGCACTATTTATGCATCAAATTATGCAGTCAATACTAATTATGCAATTTCACTCAATCATTCAAATTTTGCTATCATGCTATCATACTACTCATCTAGTCCCCTAGACGGAACGTTTATGCGGAAATACCAATAACACCACAAGCAGGGCGAGTACCAGCATTACCGGTCTTCTTGGACTCCTCGTTACCACCACGGCCAAGGTCGTCAGTGCCGGAGTGGACAACCAGGGTACGGCCAAGGACGCTCTCAGCACCGAACAGCTTCACGAACTTGTCCTCCTTGGAGCCAACGGCGTTGCCCTCAGCGTTGGTCTGGAAGTTGCCCAGGTCACCGACGTGACGGTCAGAGTCTTCGGGGGCACCGTGGGTCTTGCCGTGGGGGTTGACTGCACCCGTTAGCTTCTTCACCTTGTAGAACGATGCAGGGAGAGGGTGAGGTACAGTGAGGACCGGCAGAGGTGCAGCCGTTGGTGTTGTCACCGAACTGGTGGACGTGGAAAGCACGCTGGGCGTTGGCGTCGTTGCCGAGGATGTTCCACGAGATGGTGGTGGGGGCGTTCTCGGAGGTCTGCTCGAAGGTGACGGTACCGTTGACCTTGGAGTCACCACGGAGGACAGCGACTGGTTGTTGTTAGTAGAGACTCTCTATAGAATGATTCTGGAATGCTGGTTGAGAGACTGTGAGGGATTGTGATAGGTAGAGAGGAGACCACAAGGTGCTCAAATGTGCTCACTCAAGGTCCCCCGGTCGATCACGAACCAGCGAATCGACGACAGAAATAGAAATACTTACCAGCCTTGACCATTTTGACGTTTATTAGTGTTTGGAGGTTATAGAGGTTATAGAGATTTGTAGAGGATGGATTATGGATGATGGTGATGGTTGAGAGAAGAGAGAGAGAAGAAAACAGAGAGGATGAGGGAGAAAAGACTAGGCCGGGTGGATAATGTAATGGTCCCCTCCCCTCCCCTCATCGCTCACCTCACATTACTACTCTCTCTTCTTCGCAGTTCTTCATCGGCGGGGTTCGGATCATGACGTCCCGTTGCGTCACTGCTAGCTACGGTCCTACAATTACTTACACACATTCAAGTAAATGCATACAGCCCAGTATCTTATTCAATTGATCAGATTGCTATATTCTCCAGTACAATTACCACTCTAATTGCTACGGTAAAGGTATAAACTTGTTCTCTACGTAATAATACCTCCGACCTCGCTGCCCCACCGCCAAGCACGCAATGCCGCCGTCATTCCCGGTCGGAATTAGAATCCTCTCTACTACTGCTACTATTTACTACTGTGTACGGAATAATACAGTAGAATAGTAGAACAAATTGTAGCATTCATAAATCGTATCTACTAACCGCCATTTTACAGGATATCATAATACAAATTAAGCCTCAACCTTCTGCTTAAGCAGGTTCTTGAGGGTGATAGCATCAGCAGCGAACTTGCTGATACCCTCGCGCAGCTTCTCAGTAGCCATAGCATCCTCGTTCAAGTCGAAGCGGAAGAGAGCCTCGTCCTTGAGGTACGACTGCTTGGGGATGTCCAGCTTGACAGCGCTCTCGCTCTCGAGCTTCTTCGGGACCGCAGCGGTCGAGTTGTACAGGTCCTCGAGCAGGTTGGGCGAGATGGTGAGGTAGTCGCAACCAGCAAGCTCGGTGATCTCACCAACGTTACGGAACGAAGCACCCATGACAATGGTGTTGTAGCCGTGCTTCTTGTAGTAGTTGAAGATGGCCTGCACCGACTTGACACCGGGGTCCTCCTCGGCGCTGTACTCCTTCTTGTGCGCATTCTTGAACCAGTCAAGAATACGGCCGACGAAGGGCGAGATGAGGAAAGCACCGGCCTCAGCAGCGGCAATGGCCTGGACGAGCGAGAACATGAGGGTCAGGTTGCAGTTGATGCCGTGCTTGGTCTGAAGGATGTGCGCGGCCTGGATACCCTCCCAGGTGGAGGCGATCTTGATGAGGATGCGGTCGCGCGAGATACCCTGGTCCTCGTAGAGCTTGATGATGTGCAGGGCCTTGTTGATTGAGGCCTGGGTGTCAAAAGAGAAGCGGGCGTCAACTTCGGTCGAAACCTTGCCGGGGATGATCTCAAGAATCTTCTTGCCGAACTCAACAAGGAGACGATCGAGGGTGGCGTCAACCTGCTCGTCGACGGTGCTGCCCTCCTTCTTGCCGGAGGCGACGGCGGCGTCAATCAGGCTGGCGTACTCGGGCTTCTTGGAAGCAGCCAGGATCAGAGAAGGGTTGGTGGTGGCATCCTGAGGCTTGTACTTGCCGATGGCTGCGTTCGTTAGCATTCATTCTTCACTTTCAAGTGTGTTTGTAAACATACTGGCAAAGTCACCAGAGTCACAGACGACAACAGTGCCGCTGGACTTGAGCTGATCGAGAGAGGAAGACATGATGATTAGATGATATCAATTAGATATTTAGTAGAATGAGAAGTAGAGAAGAGGTTGAATGAAGATGAAGAAGAGAAACGACGAGAGAAAATATAAAGAGAAACCGTGGCGATAGGAGGGGTTGCCGTGGAATGGTGGGGCTATGACGCTTCAAGCACAACAACTACGGAGTACCTCTATGTACATATCGGAGCACTGTCTGCAGGCACACTATTCTTCTACTATCGGATACCTGTCCTCCATGCGCCTTATTCCATTTTCCTCTCCCTCTGTTTGCTCTCTTCTTACCAATATCCGACGGCTTTTGACTCTCTCCGGCTTCCCTCTGGTTCCGACTCCGGGGCGCACTGCTCCGGTGTAAATACTCCCTCCGGAACCACTCTCTCCGTATGACAGTCAGTGGGGTCGGACTAATAAACCCCCTTCACCGGCGCCCTTTACATATTCTTTTAGGCACATGGAGCCGCCGCTTTCTCTTTTTGGTATCATATGAGTTCCCCAGATATATCTCAAATCAAGGTACGTATTCAAGTACGAATCTAATAACAGGGCAAATACTTTTACTTTCCATTCATTGTGACTTCTACCGACGCTGGACGCAACTCCATTCATACTGAATAATAACGGTTAGCCAGCTGTATATATAGCAGTCAACGTGCACTAAAAGGACAGAACTCACCACTCGCCCGACCTCATCTCCCGTATATACTACCTGCGGCAGCGCCAGAATGCAACTGATCCCTGCCATAATATTCTCCCCAGTATCCCGGTTCGGATCTGTGTGGTGCAGCTGCCGGATCAATTCGAGCTCGAACCGTCCATCGAGGATCGTTTTGCTCCAGATCTGCTTTCATTAGTACCACTGGCAAAAACCAAGCGAGAAACTGGGGACTTACATTGACTACTCCCCGTCGATGACCAGTAAACAAGAGCTCTCGCTCCAGCCATTCATCGCTAACCCCCTCGTAGAACACGCACGATAGAATGTTATCGTCGGCCGATTCGTAGATACCCTGCCGAAGCAGTAACGCTCCGTTGAGCGTGTACAGGCTGATACAGTTTCCGCGGCATACGGCAATATCTCCAGTCACATCGTTGATGCGAGCGCACTAGAAACATCAGCAAGAGTCTACGGGCAAGCGTTTGTTAACTCACATCGACCGGTCCATTGGTCGGAAGCTCCCTCACGAAGCTTTGTTGATTCAGATCCCAGAGCATAACCCGTCCATCACTGGACGCTGTCAGGAGAGTGCTGAATGAACGCGATACCGCAAGAACTGTGATCGGCGATCGATGGCCAAATAGGGTTCCTGCCGGTTGCAGATCAACGGATTTAATGCCTGACGTGTACGTCCAGATAGACACGGTGCAGTCTCTGCCGGCTGTCACTAGTGTTCGCGAATCTGCAAAGATGGCACACGACAGCTGGTCGATATGGAGATGCTCGAAATGGCCGAGCAACTGTTTCAGTTAGTGACACTGTATGATGGCGTAGTACGAGTTTAGTAAACCGACCTTTCGACTTTCTGCCGAGTAGAACCGGACACTACCGTCAAAGAATCCCCATTCCATATACTTGTCGTAGGTCGGAGGAATATTCAATCGCAGTGGAGCAGCACATAATAACCGATCTTGCTTCATGGACAGCGACGCCACTCGTTCCTCGATATCAAGGAGCGAAATAGGAAGCTGCGTCAACGACTCCGCAAGTCGATCTAACCGCGGCGCCTTGTACTTCAAGTCCTCTCGTTGCGGATGCGGCCGACTGAATATCTGATGTGGTGTTTGCCCAAAATTATGAATGATCCCAATGGTCGCCAGCCGTTCTACAGGATCATCAATGTTATCGATATCCTTGGCACCCTGATACGACAGATGATGGAAGACGTTGACTGCTTCAATAGCGGCGTCGCCTTTCTGTTTGCACCCAAATACCAGATCGATCCAATGGTGCAGGTTCTGTGTCACGTAGGGACTTTCGAGGGCTTCACGCTGTTTTGCGATGAAGATTTTGGGGTCGCCTTTGGCCCACGGTGGTAATTCGACCGAGTCGATGGCTGTGGTCATGTTCTGGAGGACTCCAAACTCGTAGTTATTCGCGTTGACCAGGAACTCAGGGAGATAGAAAAATTCGGGGATCAATTCGCGCACATCTGACATGTTTCCTTTCGAGGCGGATTCCCAGGCCTTTGCAACCGAATAGAAAAGACGGTCTGCATGGTCGAACGTGCCCCCTTGCAGGAGAAGATATGATTTGACGAAAGGCTGGAGACGAATAAGGTAGGAGCTGACGATCATCGCAGAAGAGTAATGTGTCCCGTAATGGAATGGAGGCGAATCATCCCCACCCATCTCCGCAAAGGCGTTATATCGTTCTCTGAACTCAGCCTCTCGATCTAATGTCTGACAACCCATCGGTTTCGACAGATCACGAAAACTCTTGGGATTGGTCAGGTCCAATTCCTCACTTGTATAATCAGCGAGTACCCATGGGAAAACAGGGTACTGCGTCAGGTCATTGAAAGTCCTCCCGGCAAGAGTGTTGACCAACATAAGGTAGTGAAAATTCGAAATTTCCCCTCTGGCCCATTTCCGGGTCGCCGGGTTCTCAGGCGAATGACCAAAGACACTTGCAAATTTAGATCCAAGAGTCTGCGGAGCATCCTCTTGGCTTCGAAGGGTCTCGAACCTCCGTATATCCTCTGGGCGCGAATGTCCGACACTTCCAGTGACCTGGGGAGCTTTGGAACCCAGCTGGCTCGACAAGTCATCCCGTGCCTTCGATGAGACAAGCGTCAAAAGAAAGCTGCTACCGTCCGTAAAGAAGATTTCAAGCGCCACATCACGGAACAAGAAGCGTCTCTTAGACACACTGACCAAATCAGACCATTTCCAACTCCTTGTCTCGTGCTCCTGCGGCTTGCGTTCATCGTCTTCCCGCCCAGCAATCATTCGAACGTACGGATCCCGCTCATCCGGGGGTGCTTGCCAAACATTAACAATTTCGCCATCAGAGCGCTGGAAAAAGTTATCCAGGAGGTAAATATGATCCTTTCCCAGGATAAGGAGGCCCTCGCAAGCCTCCAACCCGATTATCCGAGACATGTTGCAGACATTCTGAACCTGATCGCCACGGTGCAGAGTCCGCATGACCTTTCGGTTCTTATCCTCGTAGTCTGCCATGACCGCTTTCGGGTCGTCGATCATTTCAAAGCTGTCTTCCAGCATGCCTTTGTTGTCTGCTTCCACAACTTGGGGGTTGCCCTCCACTAGCGCCAAGGGTAGTGTGTCGCTACCAGAAGCCGGTGGAATTTGCGTGTCCATTTTAATCGCTGGTGGTTCTGAAACCTTTCTCTTTTTCGGCTGATAATCCTGTCGCTCATTGGACGTGTCTGGGACCACGCGTAGCCGCATCCGACTCCGTCCTTCTGTCTGGTCAAGCCGCCATTTTGTCTCTCTGTGTTCCGCAAGGACTCCCCCGAAACGATGAAGGTCCATTAACAGACGAGCAAAGGTCGACCATATGAACATCAAGTCATCTTGCTGATCTTGCAAGGACCGTTGGTATTTCAAGAATTCCGAGGCCGATATGTTAGATATCCAGTGTGGGTGCGTGGCTTCATGTTTACGAATCGCCTCTTCGCTGAGCTTTTCACCATGAGCCCACTGTTTCAACTTATCTTGACGTTTCGAGACGCGGACGCGTGCTGAGGTAGCTGTACTTGCATCCTCCTCGTGAACGAAATGGTCCCACGATCTACCCAACGCTTCCAAAAATAAAGCATCAAGGTCTTCCCCTCGGTCAGCAATCCATTGCAGAAAAGCAGTATCTTCCATGCCGACAAGAGCGTCAAAGTCATCTAGAAGACGCTTTTGGAGGGGCACTGACGCATGGCTCAGAATTGCAGACATGTCATCCGGCTTCTGTACCAGAATGATTCGCCAAAGGCCTACGGCAGCCCGGCGGACATCTTCGTTTTTGCTGACTAGCTTGGTATAAAGCTGATAGCATAGCAGCTGAAGGTATTCTGAGTGAAACTCTTCGGTAGATAGTACCACTGCTTGCCAGTAGTTTAGACGCTTTAAAAATGCCAATGTGTCCCGATCATCCGCCTCTGACAGTTGGAGTAGCACGGCTCGGAAGAGTGTCGACCGCATCGTCGTAGTGGCTTGATTACAAAGGCGAACACTCTTTAGCATGGAAATGTCCGGACGTTGCAGATATTCTAGGATAGTCCCCAGAAACTCAAGAGTAGCAGCTGTACCGTCAATAAACCAGCCTTCGTATATGGCTTCTGCAACGTGAGCGGCTAAACGTCCTAAGTTGGTCAGTGTTCTCGGTTCTAAGAATAACTGGGCCTCTGTGGACACAGCATCTTGCAAAGCCGAAAAAAGATGCTTCATTAACCAGGAACTGAAACATGCTTGATGTTCCAGGAATCCAGGCGGCGTCTTCAGATAAAGGCCTAAACCAGAAAAGTCTTTTCGCTCAAGTAACTGGTCAGTGAAGACGGCGAGAACGAGGCCTAAAATGCTTATTACAACAGGGTTATCCGTGGCAGCCCCATTTTCCTTGGCATGGGAAGGCGTGAATGCATGGTGTAGACGTGCGTGAGAGGGCGCAAGGTGCACTTGATCGGATGAAACGAGGATGAACGACGATCCGCGGCGCAGAGGTTTTTGGCCACGGCTATTCCGTCGATTCCCTCCTTGCTCCACAGTTCTTGTTCGTAAGTCTGCTGCTCCAGCCGATTTGGGGCGGGTGGCCAAGCTAAGGTCACCCAGCCGAAGCCCGCCATCATGCGAGTTCAGCTCAACGTCTGCGTTGACAATATCCGAGCCGACAACAACTGGAAACAGCACACGAAGTAGCCCCTGTACGTAATCGGACTGCACTGCAAATTCGCGAAAGTCTTCCGATTTGGCATGCACCACAGCCAAGAGTTCAACAGCAGTTGTTAAAACGGAAACTTCTTCGATAGTTTGATCGACAGGTCTCG